CTAGACAACCACTCCGTCCAAACGATGGGAAAACCAAACAACCGCACGTATCATATCCTTAGAAAGGTGCCTAGGTAGGTATTCAGGACCGTCCCTCCCTCCCTATGCCATATACCTTCCCCCCTCCCCCCCTCCCCGGCTCCTTAGCCCCTATCCCAGAAAAAAAAACATAGAAAGGCAGATGATAGGTATCAACGCGCAAACGCCCAACCCGTGCGTACACGAGCCATGCTAGCTAAACGTAACGTAACGTCCAGTCCAATCCAATCCCACGAGAAAGAGGAATATGTATAAAATTTGGAGACAACATCAACGAAAACGGGTATAAGCTTAGATCAGCTCGACCTCTTCTTCTTCTCTCCTCTTACTCTCCTCCCACGCATTAATCAGCTTCTTGCGCGTCTGCTCGTGCTGGCCCCATTGCTTAGCGCCGATCCGCATACGCGCTACGGCGCGGAATACGCTGGCAAAGACTTTCAGTTTGCTTGGTTCCTTCTTGGCCGATTGCTCGCGTTTTCGGGACGAGAGCAGCGCGTCTGGCGATTTGATGCCCAGCTGCTTGTGGATGTTCCTTAGGATGCGTAGGTCTGCCTTGTTGCTGTGGGATTGTTAGTTGTTTTATTCATTTTTAATATGGGGGGTAAAGGGGTAAAGGGGTAAAGGGGGTAAATAAACTTACCAAGCCTCGGAAATTTCTAGTTGTAGTGCTAGGAACTTCTTGGCGAACGCGGCGTCGTTTCGTAGCTTGGCTTCGCGCTCCCATCTTGCCTGCATCCACTGCATTTGCAATGCTAGGCCGCGGATCTCCTTGGTATGTCGTTTCTCTGCCGCATCCGCTGCGCGGATCACGGCCTCGTGGTCCCGTTGGTCAACCACGTCCATCACGATGTCGCCATACCGGAAGCTAGCTTTCGTGCCCCTCTTGTTTATATGTGGTGTGTAAGATATGGAAGAGCTGTTGGGCTCAGAGTTCTTCGCCTCGATCCAAGCTAGTGCTTCCTTTGCGCCCTCTTGCAGCCGCTCGCAGTCAGCTTGGAGCTTTTCGGCCGACGCCTTATAAGCGGCACGTTCGTTTCGTGCTCGGTCGAGCTTTTGGCGGAGTTCTTTGCATAGCGGGCTAGCATAGTCTAGATCCTGCTTTGCTAGTTCGAGCTGTTCTCGTAATTCTTCGCACAAACGATTCGCCTTCTCCGACTCCCTGGTCGCTCGGTTCAGATCTCGCCTGAGCCCTTCGGCAACACGATTGGCCTGCTCTACTTTCTGGTCCGACTGTTTAGACTCGTGTCGAGTAGCACGTTCCGCTTGCTGCTTTAGACGTTCGCATTGGCGCTCGACGTCGCGCAGCTTTCGGTTCGCATCTTGGAGTTGTTGGCTAAGGTCTTCAGAGATCCGATTGGCTTCTTCCAGCTGTTCCCCGAGATCCTCGGCTCTCTCCGACTGATTACGTCTCGCTAGTTCAAGCTGACGTCTAAGGTCTTGACAAACTTGGTCAGCTTCATTCAGCTTTTGGGCAGCGTCTTCCGATTCCTCGTCCAGAGTAGCTTGAAGAACTTCAACCTCGTCCTCTAAGGCCTCGACCTTTTCAGCCTGTGCTTGGTAGTCCAGCTGGCTCTGCCGAAGGTCTTCGCGAACAGCAGCAACCTCATTTCGTAGTGCCGTTAGAGAGGATTGTCGCGTTTCTAAGTCTTGTCGTAGATCGTCTATCTGGCGGCTGAGTGCGGCCTCCTCATTCTTGTGGCGCTGCGCCTCGCTGTTCAAAGCGTCTTGCAACTTCATCTCTTTGCTAGAGAGCGTACCCTCGGCGTCGCGTAACCGGTCGATAGTCCTCTCAAGTCCAGCGGCCCGTTCCTCGAGGCGATCTCTTTGCGCCTCCAAGTTACGCCTCTCAGCCTCCCATTTTTCGCTGTCGTTGTTGTAGAGGTTATCCTTTTCGCGAATAGCGGCGTGAAGTTGAGAAATATCATCGTTGAGGCGGTCAATTTCGGATTTGAGCTGGTTGCGAACATCCCGCTCGATCTGACGACCATGGCTCCTTTCTTGATCTAGATTGAGTTCTAGATCGCCAACTTGGCTCCGTAGACGAGTGATCTCTCGTTGTAGTGAAGTGGATTCATCACCAGAAGTGGATTGACGAACTCGAGTATTCGCCTTTTCATGATCAAGATTTGTCTCAAGTTCCTTGACGCGCTTCTGCAGACGCTCCATTTCTCGCTCCAACGACGCAGACGCTGATTGACCTCCCGCAGCTTCTCTACGGACCCGGGTGATCTCATCCTGAAGGTCGGCAATGTTGTTGTTAAGGCGGTCGACCTCTTCTTTGTGCTTCGTATTAGCTTCGTATAGATTCTGCAGGGCACGAGCCTTCTCTTGGCTTAAACTTGTCTCTAGTTCGCTTATGCGTTTTTGCAATCGTGAAACTTCTCGCTCCAAAGAAGCCGAAGCTGACTGACCACCGGATGCTTCGTCACGGACCCGTTGAATTTCATCTTGAAGGTCTGCGATATCATCGTTCAGCCGGTCAACTTCTGCTTGGTGCTTGCGGTTCATGTCGCGTTCAATCTGTAACCCGTGCGCCTTCTCCTGATCCAAGCTAAACTCAAGCTCGTCAACCTGCTTTTGGAGTCGTGCCATATCCCTTTGTAGAGAGGCCGACTCGTCTCCTAGAGCGTCATGACGGAGCTGCAGAAGGTTTTTCTCATCTGTGCGCGTATCTAAGTCTTGCTGCGCGGCTTCCAGTTTCGACATGAGAAGTTTTCGTTCGTGATCCCATGATTCCCGTTGTTGTAGCAGTTGTTCAGCCCTGGATTTTACTTCTGTGCTGAACCTATCCTTCTCGGCTACACCCTGCTCAAGAGCTTCGTACTTCTCCTGCCAACGGCTCACTTCGGTTTGCAGGCGGGTAACCTTCTCTTCAACTTGACGAGAGAGACCTTTGGTGACAAGGGACTTGTTAGACATCTCTTCTTGGAGTTCCTCAAGGTCTGCTTCGGCTCGGTCTTTATCTGATATTGCAGCTTCAAGTTGTTCTTTCATGTCATTGAGTTGCTGCTCGAGCTGCTGGACGTCAGATTCGAGGTCTCCAATAGTGCCTTTCGCTTCGTCGAGTTCCTCGCTTGATCGGGCATTCTCCTGAAGCTCAACTACTCTTTCTTGGGCGGACTTCCATTTCTCTTCTGCCTGCCCTAGCTTCTCTTCTAATTCGTTCAGTTCCTCGTCACGGTCGTTGATTTCCATGTCCTTTTCTCGTAAGTCTGCTTCCAAGTCGCGAATCTTGTCCTGTAATTCCTCCAACTTTCCCAGGTCCTCAGGGGACTGCGCCTGCGCTTCAAGATCGGCGATCTTGTTTTGAGCAGACCTCCAATTCTCTTCCACTTCTTCTAGCCTATTCTTTAATCCATCCACCTCCTCTTCGCGTTCGTTAATTTCCCGGTCCTTTTGGCGTATATCCGCCTCGAGGTCGCCGATCTCGTCGTGTAACTGATCAATTGTACCTTGATCCTTACTTCCTCTTTGCAATTGTCGTTGTAGGTTCTCGATCTCTGCATCCTTGTCCTCTAGACTTCGCCGTAATGCTTCGATCTCAGCCCTCTGGTTCTGATCCGCGTATTTCTTCTTGGCCTTCTCCTGAACTTCCAATATCTGCTGCTGATAGGTCTCGAGGTCCTTTTCTGCTGCAGCCAGGTGTTTCTTGTACTTGTGAAGGTCTCTCTGCATCGTGACTTTATCGACTTTGAGCTCTGTGTTTTCCTTTAAAGCGGCCTCACTAAAACCTGGCCCGGTTTTTCTCAATGCTTCCTCGAGAAAGTGAATTTTCAGCTTCAGCCCAAAGTTTTCCTTCTCGATCCTATCGATAACGTTCTCTTGCTCCCGAAGCGACAACTGGTTTCCATCCTGTAAGGGACCCTTGTTTCCACCGCGTCGCGGTAATACAGCTAGTGGTGTGGATGCTGCGCTGCTGTTTTCTACCTGAGGTAGAGGCGTGGACTCGACGTAGGATTCTCCTCTCGAAGGACCATATAAGGAGGTCTCGACAGGAATGTTAGTCATGTCTATATCCTCGTTTATCTTGCTTAAGGTGGGCGTAGATACGCCATTCGTATTCTCCTTGCCGAATCGACGTGCACTATTTCGCGTCGCAGACTTAAGCATAGGTGTGAACTCTGCACCGGCTATCCCAGCTGGCAGGTTTCTCTTGTCACCTAAAGGCGCGCGACTGTTCCCACGTGGTGTTCGCAAGTTGACGCCGCGGCCATTTCGTAATTGTTGTACAATATTGTTATCCTTAGATGGGGAATGAAAAGAAGATTCCTGTGTCATATCGAAGTCGGGAGGTGCCCGACTTAGGTAGGTGGCATCACCTAAGTTGGTTCGGGGAGTATCCATCTCGACGGCGCGAGAGGTGGGATGGGTATAATAGTGCCGTACAAGTGGGATGGAATATCGTGATGTGCCGGCTTGCCAATTTAATTAATCATGAGACAGTAAATATAGTTGAATTGAGGGTTGGGAGTTGAATGCTGTATTGTTTGTTGTATTGTACAGAATTACAGAATTTCTTGAAAAAGAAAAGTTGATACTTTCCCGTCAACACGGTAGGTAGGTAGTTTTCATCAACGACGCGTTTTGGCCGTGTTTACTTCCGTAGCAAGGTTCAAAGTGGTCCGGAGCTTAAAGCCAAACAGCCAAAGAGCTTAAAAGAATACCTAGGTACCTAAGGTACTACGCTACATGATAAATGTACCAAGATACATAGGTACCTATGTACCTACGTCTTTCATGAAAAGATTGAAAGTCACTAAACCGTAACCGCGTTAGCCTCATGCATCATTGTGTGACAGCCTTCTTTAAGACTAGCGCATTCTACGAGAACCCTGAGGACCAGTGGCTGAAGGTGGGGGATTGAGACATGGATTCTCTAAATGTACTAGCGTTACGTGTCCCACTAGAATTACCTAGAATTACCGCCTCTTGCCTGCTCTTGACGTATCAGACCCATTGAAATTCACATTACATCCTTCTCTCATCGCAGTTGGTTCGTCGCATAATAAGACTCGCATGCTTCCCTTTGTCTATATACAATCTCAACTCGGCGCAAACTTGTTAACACCCCCCCTCTCGGTGATAAAATACGCGCCACTATTTAGCTATATTTCTCCTCCCGAAGACTTGAACAAGCTAACTTTCTACTTGGACGGGATCAGACTCAGAGTAAAATATGGCGTCTATCAATTCTTTACCCGACGAAATCGTCCACCACATTTTACTTTACGTACCTCCGGAAGAGACTTTATCTAAGATCGCACATTTATCAAAGCGTTTCAACCGAGTCGCGCATGAACCTCTCCTATGGAGATGCTATTGCGAGCATAATTTCAAATACTGGGAAGCCAGTCATCACTTCAAAGAGAGGTTGAAAGGCTACTTACACGGTACCGACTGGCGCCGACTATTCCTGCTGAGACTTGGACGTAATGCCTATATCGCACGCCTCCTTGATGGTATTGTCGCGTCTCGCGTCTCCCGACTGCAGAGAATGGAACAGATCTGTCTATACGGTTACGATGCGAAAGATTACCTTTTAAGTCAGTGCCAGACTCCCGATTCGGCTGAAGATGCTTTGGCGCGAAGGTATGCTCGTTTAACCTACAATACATATGTTGAATTGTTGAGCCTAATAGAGTCGCGTTCGACCCAAACTATAGATATTACTCGTGCTCCATTCTGGATAGCATACATCGAAGCCTTGCGATAGAAGAATGGGCCAAGTATCAAAAGTTTGCGGCACGTCGCATTGACGAAGATACTCCATATAGCGAAAGATTAAACTGCGGCATGCGCCTCGAGCGCGCCCTTGGCGCCTTTGATATGTTCATGCTTCACGATAATGAGGGTGATTTAGAAGAGGTTTGTTTAGCTATCCTATCATATCTAATTATGTGACTGACCCCATATGCTTGTAAGATTACCGAATTGCTGGATGATATTGCAGACCGGTTCCGAAGTGCTCATCCTTACTTCGACGAGTTGACCACCCGTCAAAAGGCCATCGCTTTGACTCGATGGTTGCGCTCGAACAATATGACGGGCTTGAACGATCCTACAGAGCAAACGTATCGTTATCTCCGTAACTGCTTAATCGGCAGGGCTCTTCGAGATGAGCACCACCCATCATTGCCAATCATCTCTGCCGCCATTTACTCCGCTTTAGCATCACGACTCGGATTAGAGGCGTATCCTTGTGCTTTGCCTAGTCACGTCCATGCCACAGTTTTGTCACGACCGGGCATGACGCTAGATGATCAACCCCTCGTCGAAGAACTGTCCCAATCTCAAGAGAACATGTTCCTAGATCCTTATACTGTAGAAGACGAAGTCCCTCTGGATCGAATAATCGACTTCCTATACAGGCTCGGCATCCATACGGGCCATAATAATTTGCTAAACCCTACGCCCACGGACCTCATCGTGATGCGCACGGCGCAAAACATACGAGCGTCATTCACTAGTTTTCGAACTCACGACAGACCTTTCGCCCAGATCATCCCCATGATTGAACTTAACCGCGGCGACTGGGCCCGTAATCTGCAGCCCGCCTTGTACAGCATGATCTGGGCGAGCATCATGATGGTCCCCGTGCTGCCGGAGAGCGACGAGATCCGTTGGGACTGGCAACAAGACGTGCGCGACCTGCTCTCGGCCTTCTACGAGCATTTCCCCGAGGACGCGTGGCTCGTGGAGAAGTACGTGTGTCCCATGTACGACACCTTCGCGGCTCCGTCGCGTCGCCGGAACAACTGGGAGCTTCCCTCCAAGAGCGTCCGGGATCAGATCAAGAGTATGAGACGGGTGGATGCAGCAGTGATGCCCGCCCGCCGGCGCAGCGAACTCGCCAAGGGTGTGAAGATCAAGTATCGCGTCGGCCAAGTGTTCAAGCATAAGCGCTACGAGTATCACGGCCTGATCCTAGGCTGGACCCTTGAGGGTTCTTCTCTCGACGACCCCTTGTCCCCAACACAGAGGCCATGGTGTTATTACACCCAGCCGTATTACCGGTGCATGTGAGTTTATTCTTTATTTGCTTTCTACTATAACGTATCTATCTTTATCCTGACACAAACGCAGGTCCGGCACCGACGGGTTAGACCAGCACCTCATCGCAGAAGACAACATTGAAATAGTCGATTTCCGTGGTGGCCCGGAGACGCTGCCGCCGGAGATCAAAGATCTGATGCCCATGGCAGGCAAATTCTTCAAGCGCTGGGATGGCGAGCGGGGCGTCTTCGTCAGCAACATGAAGGAGATGTACCCTGAAGACTAACGGATGACTTACTATTACTTACTTACGTTTTCGATCAGCAGCTGCTGACTTCGTATATTCCTAATCCTGGCTATTGCCTATTCCCCACAGTATTGGGGCACGGCATCTCCAGACACTCTCTCTTATATATACCCACCTTGTTACGACTTAACTCTAATAATGCTTAAGCCCTCAACGATACGATACGGCTTCGAAAGATACTCCCATTTTGCGTTCGAATTACTACTCTCACCTCAACACTAATATGTACCGATACATTGGAAGGATAACTGGTCTGCTTGGCTTGGCTTGGCTTGCCGTAAGCGTGCAGGCGTTTTGCGGGGATGATAGTATAAGTTGATGATAATATGGTGTGCGATAGGATATTGATTATACGAATGAATTAGTGAGCATTTACTACTTTACATATGGTGGTGTATTTTCTACTGGGGAGTGGCATACATACAATGTGAGTGTACCTACATACATAAGGTACCTAAGCTTTGATAATTCCGAGTTTGTCGGCGCCGAACTATCGGGCTCGGCCGTCGACTTTGAGGCTATTGGGGCATGGGTGTTTGGAGTGTTGTCCAACCTACCTAGGGAGCTGATCCTACCAGCTAGTCGTATTCCTATGTACCGCTTTGACCTAGCTGTCATGTGCCGAGGTAGTTATAGTATGATGTCTAACCTTGACTGACTGACCGCATACACAGATGAAGCCTAAGAACAGAGTCTATTAGAGTCTATTAACTACCTACCTAGGTTAGCTGATTGTTTAGACGTGACTAGACGAATTTCCCAATCTACCTACCTAAAGCAAGTAGGTACTTAGATTGATTCCATTACTTAAGACTATTGCAACGGTAATAGTATAATTCGAAGCCATTGATAGTGGTAGACGTACGTTAGACAAACAACATAAGTCAAACTCATCTCTCTCTACAACTTAATGTAGAAGCACTATCAACCATTCCCAACTTCCTACGTAACAACCTAAGAAGAATCACCTATTCACGTAGCTATCCACTCCACTGCCCACTCACCATCAAATACATCACATCAATAAACTGCATGCATGTACAACCTATCCAGACTAGACACTGGTATCATCATCATTAATGTCCATCTATGAGGTACCTAGGTAATCTCTATATGCAAACCGTACTCTCCCGCCACCTCACCCTTTTAGAACAATGCATACATTAGGTACTAGGTAGGTAGTTAAACCTCGGCTATTCCCTAACCACCTCAATCTTCTCAATAACATCCCCCCCAACCCGCGCGATCTCCGCAAGAATAGCATTCCTATTAACCTCGTACATTGCACCACTATCCCCATTAGCACCCCCACTACCCCCAGACGGCATAAGCGAACACGGCATATGCGCCGTAAACGCGCGCGGATGCAGCTGCGGATTCCACAACCCCCCAATCACAGTGTCATCCGGGCCGCCGTGGAAAAACAGCAGGGGGCTGGAGTACATCGCGTTGAGCTGCCTGAGAAGACTCTGGGTAGGCGGTTCCAGCAGCGGGAGCGCTCTCATCCCCGTCTCCTCGTCGAGGTTCTTGTACTGCGAGCGCCTGGATGCGTCGCCTCGGGAGATGTTCTTAAGTGCTTTCGAGGACAGATGTAGTAGGACGTCGTAGTCGCGTAGCGGGGATTGGAAGAGGCTTCGCATGCCGAGGTCGACTCCCTTTTCTTTGACGGCCTTGCATGCGGATCGCGCTAGGCTAGTCATTCGCGTAGCGACGACCTTGGTTGGGCCGTCGTGCGTATATGCGACGCCGCTTACATCGTGAGACGTAGCTACGAAGAGGATCGTGCGGTTCATATTGGGGTCGATTTTCCGCCATGCTTTTAGCCGAGTACCGATTTCTAACCGTTGCGAGGTTGAAAGGGATCCCGCTGAGTCGACAACAAGGGGCTCGTCACGCCAGTCCCATCTCGATAGCAACAAGAGCGTTCGAAGGAACCCGGTTATCGCGCTGGAGGGAGATTGCCAAGGGTATGGCTTGAGGAACGCCTGTAGAACAAACAGCTCTATGACCTCTTCGTTAAAGTGGCATGATAGCTTGTGAGAGTTAAACCAGTGCTTGGTGAGGCGTATGGATGAGGATAATGCAGGGAATCTAGTGCAGAATGTAGAGATGGTTTGGTTGTGGAGTGGTAAGTTGGTATACATCCGCTTGTACAAGGCGAGTAGCTCGGCAGCTTCAGTACGAACGTGACGCTCAATTGTCTGGTCCTTCGTGCGCCTGTCAAGTAGGGCTTCCTCGAGATCGCTAAAGACGCGGAGTCTGAAAGAAGCACCATCTTCGTAGACTATGTCTAAGAATGCCAGGTTTTCGTCGTCGCGGGCTGTATTCTCTAGTCCAAGATGTGTCCTGACATCCTCTTTGACTTCTTCCAAGGAACTGGCAATTTTCAACAAGAACGCAATCTTGGCTCTCTGAATAGCCGCTAAATTTTCAGGCCATTTGCCGGATACCTCAAAAGAAACTACAACCTCCATTGGCTGTAGTAAAGGCTTTCTGAAGTTGAATTCTGGTACAGATAGTGATGTACGCCGCAAAGCTGTGCTGATAGGTGCTACTTGCTTTACGTGCAATGGTAGGTCCTCTAGATTGCGAATATCGCGCTCAAGATTCTCGAACGCTTGTTTAGCGGTATCGAAGGCCACCTTTTCCGAGGGTGCAAATGATATGACCTTGGGTATATCTTGCCCGTAGAACTCAAGATCGCCATCACCTACCTGGAGCCGCAGCTTTAGAATATATCGTATAATAGCCTCGCATATTCCGGGGAAGCCCAGGTAGCTATATTCTGTCCAGTCAAGGCTCTCAACAATATTCCCGTCGGGAAATTGCCAAAGATCTGCCTTTTCACCCCAGAACTCACGGAATTTAGTCGATTCTTTCTTCTGTTCATACGGTGGACCATAATCACGACCCTGAGATGCCTTCAAGGGATCTATGATAATCCCAACGAGGAGGCTTGCCTTTTTCGTCTTCGGCAAGTATGCCGAAACTGGCCACGTCGCCGTCTCTGGTATGCTAATGTGGATTAACTGTGCTCGCTCGCCTAACGCCTTTTTTACTGTGTTATATAATTTCGTGCTGAAATCGCAAACAAACCCTTTGCGATCGACCGATTCAACCCCTTCCTTCGAGGTGGGAAGTTTGACGCTCAGAAGTATATCAAATGTCTGTAGAGGTTGGTCGACTTTAACGATGAATAAGGGATCGAACTGGTCATTTGGGGTGTCGTTTATTGCAGAAAGTGACCACTTGGCTTGTTCGGTTAGCATGGCTATAGACCATGGCGTCATTTTGTAGAGGATGTTTATTCCACGAGCTGTATCATGTAGGACTGGCATCGCCTGACGAAGAGAGTCTGTATCGACGGGATCCTTGCCAATAACCAAAGCCTTCTTCTGCAAGTTCGCCGAAACGATGTATTGCAGAGTCGCCTTGAATAGCTGCGTGCTATGTAACGAAGGCGAAAGCACCGCCTCTCCTTTTCGGCCTCCGCTCTGTAAGAGAAGAGCCACCAAGACTGCCCATTCGAAATGACCAAACCCGCCATTGCTGATATTACCGTTGAATCCACGCTGCTGGAGCCATATTCGCCCTAGAACGCATGCATCTTTAAACGCAGAACAAGACTTTACAGTTCGAAATAGTAATCGCAAATAAGAGGGGAATAAGCCCTCGGCTTTGAGAGTTGTGTTATAAAAAGGTGTAGGCGCCTTCTTGTCCTCACCTCCTTCGGATTTGCCTGGTCGTATAGCATTGCTGACTGCCGTGAGTTTTCCTGCTGGGAAGTAATCTTCTGGAGCGCATGGGATTATGCGGATTGCCGGGATCGATTTTCGACGGGAATTAGACTTCTCTGAACCATCATCTCTGTTCGCGGTGTTTTTTGGTCGAGCAACCAGTATCGGTAATAACATGTTCCCATGCATATGATCGAAAGCGAATTCAATAGTGGTACCCAGCTCTTCGCGAAGACCAGCGGCAATATAAGCCAAGTAGTATGCCCTTTTATAGAAATATCTCATGTTCAAGTAGTCTTTCTCCTGGAAGATGGAGGAAGGCATAACAACGATCATGTCAACTGCCATATCCGGTTGGGATTTTGTGTTGGTCTTCAGAATCCAGCTGCCGGCTACGTTGACCTCAGCTGGCTTGTCGAAGGAGAGCTTATACGGGGCATCTTTCGCGGGTTGCGGATCAGGATACGGAATGGTAATTCGATTTGTCTTTTCAAAATTCGCCGACACCTCACCAATCTAGAGGAGCGAAATAGACATGAAAGTTAGATATGTATGGCATTTAGCTAGATGGTCTCTGTAAGGGGTTGGACTCACGGGAAGGGGTTCGTGAGGTTCCGAAGCTTCAATAACATCTTTAAGCTGTCGCAAGATATCCTCGACATCGGAGGATGTTTTGCCATAATCAAATTTCACTTCCTTTAGTAATTCTTCGGTCTCCAAGACGAATGCGCTTGCGCCGGAAGCACCCATGGTCGAAGCTGTCGCATTTACGGCTTCGAAAGTTGGACCACCATCTGCATGTTCCAATTTGCGTCGCTTTGCTGTATTGGACTCCATTTCGTATTCGAATGGGTCCGAGATCCGAGAAGTGAAAGCGCACGGATCTTGTTGTTGAAGTTAACTCTTCGTATCCCCTGGCCAATTTTTGAGATTTTGACAGCACTGGCCCTCAAGTTCCCATCTCAAACTTCAAAAAAATTACTAGAGACGCAGTATCGATAAAGGTCCATGTTGTGGCTTATTTATTGTTGATTGTGGCTAGTTAATAGAATTGATCCATTACCTATATGTATGTACCTAGGTACCTACCTAGGCTAATCCATGGATCATCCATGGATTCCCCAATTCTTGCATGATCCTCCAACGTCATCTGCCGAATTGCTGCTGCTGCACCCTGTGTTTACATAATCCTTAACAATTGTTTGCCGCTATTTTCCGAGCTGAAAATAAGCAGCGTAAAGCCGCAGTAATTTCCCCAGTGATGGTACCTATGGAATACAACGATGCGATGCGCGTAGATCCAACCGGCTTCCCCACGCTCCGCTTTGCCCTTGAAACTGCCGCTGGTTGTCTCCGGCGCATACAATCGCGGAATCTAATTTACCCCATCGGAATACGCCTCTTTTTCTTCATAACTAACCGTAAGCGCATACAAAGATGACTAGCCCGTGGGTAATATCGAGTAAACCGTGTAACTATCTCTGTTAGTCGTGAGCGGCTTAGTTGAGTTCATCCCTAGCCGAGCACTGCCGAGCGCGGAGACGAAGTAAATACAAGGGGCATGGCTTTTCTGCTTAGAATAGAGGATTCTTTTATTTCTTTCGTTTAATTTATTAGAATAGACTATCAGCGAGTCCGGCGATTTTGTTGTTATATGTACTTACTCTGAGCCGTGTTCGACGTTGCTAGTTGTTCATCCCTGTCACGTAGACGATCATATTGAGTACTTGCCGCAATGCCTTCCGCAGCTGTGTGCATGAGAACGCTGAGAGCATATTCTCGCTACGGATCGAATGTTAGTGAAGCAACTTATCCAATACATTATAAGAATATCGATTAATTGATCCTTTAGCATGCTAGGATGCTCGCTAGGACGTTCTCGGCGACGTCTAGACGCGCTGAGATTAACAAGGTGTATCCGTCTGCCACTGAAGCTTTAAAAGATATGAAACCAGATTCTACATTATTATGTGGCGGATTTGGTCTTTGCGGTGTTCCAGATACCTTAATCAACGAGGTTCTAAATAAACCCGAAATCACAGGCATTACAGCAGTCTCAAATAATGCCGGAACGGATTCCTCTGGCTTAGGAAAACTCTTGAAGACTAAACAGATTAAGAAGATGGTCGCTAGTTATATAGGCGAGAACAAGACGTTCGAGCAGATGTACCTCACAGGTGAAGTTGAACTGGAACTCACGCCTCAAGGTACTTTGGCCGAGCGATGTGCCGCTGGCGGTAAAGGCATCCCGGCTTTCTACACTCCTGCGGCTTTCGGCACCGTAGTACAAACCGGCGAGCTACCCCTGAAGAATAAGAGCGACGGAACTCCTGACGTGTTCTCGTACCCGAAAGACGTGAAGGTCTTCAACGGCAAGTCTTATCTTCTGGAACACGCTATTGCCGGAGACTACGCCTTCGTCAAGGCCTACAAGGCAGACAAGCTCGGAAATTGTCAGTTCCGCCTTGCTGCTAATAACTTCAACGGTGCCATGGGCCGAAATGCCAAGATGACCATCGTTGAAGCCGAACACATCGTCGAGCCTGGTGAGATCCCGCCCGAAACAGTTCACTTACCAGGTATCTACGTCAAGAGGGTTATCCAAAGCACCGCGGAGAAGAACATCGAAAAATTCACCTGGACGAAGGATGAAAACGACGCAGATGCCAAGAAGGTGCTGGGCTCAGGCGACACGGCAGCTAAGAGGGAGAGGATTGTTCGCAGGGCGGCCAAGGAGTTCAAGAATGGCATGTACGCAAACCTGGGAATAGGTATGCCTATGCTTGCGCCCGGATTCGTGGGCCCCGAAGTCGAGGTGCAACTCCAGTCCGAAAATGGTATTTTGGGTCTTGGACCATACCCAAGGCCAGGCGAGGAGGACGCCGACCTTATCAATGCCGGGAAGGAGACCGTAACGCTAAAACCGGGTGCCGCCGTCTTCGGTAGCGAGGAGAGTTTCGGTATGATTCGTAGCGGTCGTATCAACTTGACCATCTTAGGAGCTATGCAAGTTAGTGCTACGGGTGACCTTGCAAACTGGATGCTGCCCGGAAAGGTCAAGGGGTTTGGTGGAGCGATGGACTTGGTCAGCAACCCGAGCGCAACGAAAGTTGTTGTCACAATGGAACACACAGACAAGAAGGGTAACCCGAAGATTGTCAAACAGTGTATTTTCCCCTTGACGGGCCGGGCTTGCGTGTCTAGGATCATTACTGAGCTGGTAAGTACCTAGTAGCTGATCCACGTATTTGGACTATATGGTTTTGCTAACATGTTTCTTAGGGAGTTTTTGATGTTGACTTTGCACACGGTCTTACCTTGATCGAGATCGCGGACGGCGTGACGGTGGATGAGATAAAGAGCAAGACTGAGGCGCCATTCCACGTTGCGGAGGATCTCAAGCCGATGCTATGAATTATGGGGATGTAGGTGTAAATATTAATGCAAAATGTATACTATGGATTTCTGCAGAATACCTTTGTAAGTATATACCTTAGGTATATAGGTCAATAACTTACATGTAAATAACCTACCTGTGATATATATCGAGTATAGGTATTGTACATACCTACATAAGTATGTGAGGTTGGGAAGATGCTTTTAGGTACCTTATATTGAATAATCACTGAATAAATGGTGGAAGTAATGACCTGCACTTAGAATGTGGGGGCAACGTGAACTTAAGTACCTACTTCTCAAAACGCGTATGTAATTGCATCTACAAACCCTAGACAAAACAACAACATCCAGTTTATTTTACATTATGGCCATCGCTGTATATGTAACTGCAACTTTAATATAAAATCAGTATTAAATAGAGATTCGGCACCTGAAATAGGTACTTATAGTCAACCTCTTAGTGGTTGCAGAATTACGTTATCGTCGCTGCATCGATAAACACACTATATCAGCATGTCTCAACCTACCGGGTCTGGACCTGCGTATACCTACGACAATGCGGCTGGGGTGGGATTTCGTCATTGGAAAATACATCCGCTTAAGCATGATAGCACCGAATGGCATCGCCGTCCTCTTAGCCTAAGCTCAGTCGGAAGGACATCAGCTAGGCCAGGCCGTAGTGAAAAAGGGGCCCGCAGTTTCCTTGATATGATAATCAGAGTCGTCGCGGACAATGCCGCCGCTCTCGAGATAGGACAATTAGACGGCATCCCTTTTCGAATAACATGCCGCGTTTGGGACCTCCTTGTTCGAGACCGCCAGTAAGCCTTCTAAATTCGACAATTCCATCACACTTCTCTAGTCAATGCTAATCACTCGTATTATCCTAGGCCTATACCGTTGCAATCATATATAGTTCTCGCAACGTGTCTTGCTAAGCAACACCGGGAAGACGAAATGTCCCGGTCAATGCCGGGAAGTATTTTTCGCTTCAATTATGCCGTGTCATCTCCGTTTGGGCCCTTGAACACCTACTTAAAACCACTTACGTCAAACTCTTTCGATTTCATCGTACATCTTACTTTCGCCCATTGTAACACCTTGTTCTCCGAACATGAATTTCTATCGCTGGCACTTCTTAAAAATCTGGGTGTGCTGGAAATATTGCAGCCAAAGCGTTCGAGTATCCAAACATTCCCTCGCATAACTGACTCCATAATCAGACACTGGTCCGAGGTACCAAACCCGTTTCCCGTCCTTCGAGTCTTAAGAATCTGGGGGCATGACTTCACCACGTTTAGATCGTTAACTTACCTCTTAAAATTTCCCTCTCTTATTGTTTACGATGTCGCCGGCTGGCGTAGAGACTGGGATCAGCAACTGCAACTTCTAGACTCTGATTGGTATAGACATCGTTACACTTACGACCTACACGATTTGATGTTGAGATACTTTAATGAGCATTACCCAAGTCCCATACCTATCCCAGTCGCGCAGCTTCATGATACTCTTGCAACGGAACATCCTATACTAAACCACGGGGTAGGAAGTTATGGGATGCCAGGCGCCCGGGCCCAGAGGGTTATGATCCTAAAGAGGGATAATATACCGTCTCAACCCGATACCCCGGTATCAGAAACGTATGATATATGCTATGATATCTGTCTTCACTTTTTAGCATACCTACTTTATTGCCAGATTGGCCGATTATGGTCGGATAGGGACTTGGCTACACAGGGCGTGAGTGATACTGATAAGGCCTTTGTTATAGACAACTTTCGTCTTATTCCACCCAGGCCTTATATCTCGATAAACTTTGGTCCGTGCTGCACTCATATGAGCAATCGATTAACGGAGGGGCTCTATCCCATCCCGAATACACCATGCCCTTGCGAGGATTATGCCACTCTTTTTCAGGCACACTACAGTTTTATACGAAAGAAGAATGACACGGGGAAACGCGAGAATCAGTCTAGTTCAAGCCACGGACTATCCAGTAACAGCGGCCCATCGGACACGTCAGCTTCCGGTCCAAGGCTACGAAAGAAACGGAAGATGTTCTCTATGGAGGATCTTTAGGTTAATAGTGGATGCTTAATTTACGTTTAGACCGTGCTGGACAAGTTTATGCATAAAGGGTACATCACAACATTTCGACGGTTCTTTGCCTTGTAATGCCTTTTAGTGCTGATGGTTACCGAACTGTGATTGTAGGGAATGTGGACCAATGTATGGCTCACACTGAACTGACAAGCAAGACGCAAACGAGTGCGCATTGCAAAGCACCATTTAATTCTCTAAAATGTAGGTTACCGTAAAATCTCCTCTCTCATTTATAACCTTATAGTTAACCGCACGCCTAGACCGAAGCAATCTCGAAGATCAATGACCAGAGCTCCAGCATTATTTGATGGCTTTCCCGAAAAATGGGAACTATACGGCTAAGATGATGCTTAAGAAGTTATTAGCTATGAGTATTGACATCACTAGATGCTTGATAGATATACAGTAGCATTCGGTCTATTGCTTCTTATAGTCCTACCAAGTAGCACATCGACTACTTCGTGCCGTTCCAGCCATCGTTTTGACGGCTATGCGGAACTAGCTATAGTTTGCGTAGCTGTCCTGGTTGTAGTTCCAGTTATTGTGACCACGGCAGTACTGGAGATAGTCCTGATTTCATCGTCAGTCCTGATTTAACTTATACCCTTCCCCGGTTGGTAATACCTAAGCAATAACTGGAGTTATTGTAATTTGCATAAATGACTCGCAATCCTCTTCTTGCAGCGACGGAGCCGCCTCCTGAACAGCTAAATTGTTAAGCGTCGGTATGATAGAAGTCGAGGGTATCTAAAACTCTTAAGACTTACCTCGGAGGCAATCGTCAACTGCACATTTTGCAGTAGCTCCCGTCGCTAACGCCACCGCGACGAAAACATCCAAGACACGCATCTTCTATGTATCATTTACCCAGCGTGGTCAATCGATCCATGTTCGCGTTATACACGAGAAGACGTCGATCATTATGACTTTAGCCAATGGTGTGAAGTCTTACCCCTAGTCCAAGCTAGACCCTGGCGACTTATAAGTGACATGTTATTATGGACTCGATCTGTTATGAGATCGGACTCATCGTAGCACTCGTCATTCTCATTTGAGACATCCAGCATGGTGAGTTTTATGAATTGTTATCTTCAAACCGTTTCGAATGTGACCTCTGTAGAACACCAAACTATTGAGTCCATTCGATTTCGCAGAACTAAAAGAAATTAGCAGCTTACAACAACTTACTAGTACTTAAGACAATCCTAAATAATAGTCAAAGCCCGGTCATACTCTTTATAAGAGAATGCTTACACTAAAAACACTACAACGATACCAAAATTGCTTTCATATGAGAATTGTATAGGTACCTATTTTATAAACATTTATAAATGAACATATCTACAAAAACTTGGCCTATATAAACAAGGTCTTGGCCTTAGTCTCATAATGAGACTCTCATCATCATCATCATCATCATCATCATCATCATCATCATCATCATCATCATCATCATCATATACCGTATCTCCATCCACCACATAACATTCCCTCATCTCCAACCCATACCTCTCCCCGTAGCACTTCACGCATAGACGCATCACACCCACCTTACATACCTCAGCTTAAAGAAGCAGTCAAACCCCATCCATCAAACCCTAAATCTTAGTCCTCCACCCCCTCCCCGTCCTCCTCATCCTCACAATCCGCGCACTAGACAAGAGCATAGCACCCACGAGCAGACTCGCCCCCGTGAACCCCTGCGCGCCCTCGTACCGTCCACCCATACTCCCAATAATCGCTCCCGCAATCGGATTCCCCGTGAGAACCGCAAAACTCACAATCGTAAACGCCATCCCCATGCGCGTCCCCTGCTTGCGCAGGTCCGTCGTCAGGCTGCCCAGCCCCGCGGGGAACAGGCTCTGTATCGCGCCCGCCACGATCCCGTACGCGACCGCCCACCCGTACAGCTGGGATGGCGTGTGCACCGCCATCCAAGCGAGCACCGCAATTCCGCACCCCACGCACGCCGGGATCATGAGGTTGAGCGGCCCGAACCGGTCCGCGAGATGGTTTGGTAGGACGCGGCCTAGAATGCCCACGCCGTTTAGTATGAGCAGCAAGTTGAGCGAGTCCGTGTAGTCCAGCGAGGGTGTGATTTCGGACCGGCTGAAGGCCGCTAGGTAGTAGAAGCCGAAGTACACGCCCCAGAAGTTGAAGAACATGCCGATGGCGTAGAGCGTGTACTCGGGCTCGCGGAATGCCGCCCATTCGACCAAGCTACCTGTGCGCCGGGGCGGCAGCCGCGATTTCATAAAGGTCACGGCGAATATCAGCGTGGTCAGCTGCACGAATCCGATAGCGCGGACGGCCCATCCAAAGCCGACGGTCGGGAGCAACTGGCGTGCCATGGCTGGGAAGACCAAGCCGCCGGTCACAGAGCCACTAGCCGCGAGACCGATAGCGAGGGAGCGTTTCTTGCTAAAGTAAGTCGACACGGTGGAAATGAACGGACAAAAGACACACCCGCTACCAATGCCCATGCACAAGCCTTGCGAAAGGATGAGCTGCCAGTACTGCGTCGCGACGGAAGTAGTGAAGATGCCGAGGGTCATGAACACGATGCCGCAGACAGACACGGGGCGGAAGAACCCAGCGTCGGTGAAGCGGCCGGTGAAGGTACCAATAAAGAAGGTTAGGAATACCTGGATGGAGCCGATCCATGATATATCCGAGGGCGGGCGCCCGAGCTGCGCTACGTAGTACGCCTGGAACACGCCAAACGAGTTGATAAAGCCCCATGTATTCATGATGGCGAAGTGCCCGCAGAGACCTGGTTGTGCCCGAGATTAGAAGATCGATCCTAAGCAGTTGGATACTTGGGTAGTCTAAAGGTGAAGAACCAAGAGAAAAGGAGACTCACATGCGAGCCACGCGACTTTGCCACCATCCGGCGGCGGACCAGGGTTCCAGCTCGATTTCGTCGAGATCCTACTCAGCACCCGGCTTACGGCTCCGGCCATGCCATCGGCATCCGGGTTAAGGATATCGGGCTCAGGCTGAATTTGCCAGTCGTCCGCCCCCTCAGCAGGACTATCAATATTTATTTCTTCATCCTGTTTACACTGGCTAGAACCTTCAGTTCCCGCAGGAATAGGGATCGCCTGCTTCTCGACGTCCACCGGGAGCTCGCCTTCGCTGGAACTAGGCGACGAAGGAGGCGGCATTATCGCGAGCGGTTAATTGACGTATCGATCGGTATAAAGCAGGATTTTCTTTGTCTTGCTGTAAAATCCTTGTATGCCGAACTCATCTTAAGACGAATAAATAGATTAAATGGAATCCTTAAGATACCTCACGAATAGATACCGTATATATTTACTCTTCCTCCAGATCGCCAGCTACCCTATGTATAATATAGCAGTAGCCCGCGATGAGTCAACCGAGATCGAAACAAATAATCAGAGGGGACCAATCGCACTAAAATCTCGGTAGATCTACTTAACAAAAGGGCCTTGTTCACCCGGGCACCGCCGGCTATCGGTCTCACACCGCTCGGGTAGAGAGCGAGTCTCATACAACGGGGTTCAAAGCGGAGATGGCAAACACATTGCGCGCGTGTAGACGGCGTAAAATTAAAAATCTAACTAGGCCTTCCCCTTAGGTCGGGCAAGGGAGCGGCGGCGGAGAACGGGAGAGCCACCGAAATGTAACTTCTTTAAGACAAGCTCCGAGTAAAATCTCGAGGTTTGGTTCGTTATGACTGCTACAAATATATTTCCGCGGCGCGCGGATATGTTTCACTCAAAATCCGTTAAATAGCATTTATAAATTATAATCGAGCTCTATATTTTCCCCCGGAATTTCACGTGTATCATTTGTAATAGAGCCGGCTTCCCGAATCCCTTACAATGTCCAATTATCCTGGTAGTCGTATATGGAAATAGTTTACGAGCTCACCCAAGATAGTGAATTATTCCCGAGACGTCTATATCACCCGCCCCGCACTCAATTTCCCTCCACTTAAATAACTACCTACCTCTAGGTATGTAATGGAAATTGCCCAAGGCCCGAGAGTAAGCTAATGGTTAGTGTAGAGGCTCAACAGCCATGAACATGACGTGGGTCTATGGCCCTATGTTCCTTCGTACTACGTGAATATTTACATACCATTATACATCTATTTTTCCGATGTCGCTGGTGGCTCGGCTATACGCGTGCCGAGGTAGTCTTGAGTTTATGGCTACATCTTCTATCATTCTAACAAGGCACGATGTTGGGCATCACATTATACTTGAAGGAATAGCTCATTCAGTACATAAGATAAGCGAGCAAAGATGGACATCGAGCGATGGCTGGATAGCGACTCAGCACATGAGAATGCATTTGTTAGCCTCGTATCTAGGCGAATATGTCTAGTGACATTCCTCCCATCTAATGTAAATGATTAAGTCATGATAGTACATGAGGACAAAGAACCGACCAAAAATGCCACCACGTTGGACTTCATCTCTTCCATCTCCTCCCACATACCTATTATCCCATAGACTAGGGCAATAACCCCATTCACAACTGGGCTCCTGTTACATCTCAAGAAAACCTCCTGGCAAGTAGCAAACTAGGACGAATGTTTAAAGGGGGTGCCCACCTGTGGCACTCTAGTGCGGCGATTCAACCACGGAACAAAGCAAAGTCTAATAGCCTCGATCTCGGTTTTCGGCCACTAGAAAATCCGTCACGTTTGCGAACAGAATCGCGGACTTTCGATCGGCAGATGGCCTTCTCGCACTGGTTATCAGACCATCCAAGTGCGAGATCATCTGCCCACCAGACCTTGGCCTTCTCGTCCACCTTGAGGGCGACTTGGACTGATGTCAAGTTGTCAAATCCCTTGAACACAACCGGAACAAGTTCGCAATGGTCCGTGCTAGTACATGCTGGGACATCGACCGTCAGCCAAGCCACTTCCTTCTCCTGCTGGGACTGTTGGTCGAATCGCAGCCCTGTGAAGTTGAAAACGCAAGGAGAATCCTTGGAGTCGCAACCAAGACTGAAGCCGTTGATATTGAATGAGAAGCAGGACGACGAGGCTTGGGGCCCAACGCTAATCCTTGCTGTGTCTCGGGGCACACCTGGATCAGACAGATTCGACATGGACGATGGTGTAAATTGGAGCATCAGATTTCCGGAAGATGGTACAAACGGAGTGGGAGGTGGGGGAAGGACGCTGAATCCTTGCGAAAAGTAGAACCGATGGTGTGGGCTCAACATTGGCATCGGGCTAACATCGTGAGGGTCTACACCAGATCCGACCCCAAGGGGTGGGAGATCATCGAACTGGTTACAGTATTAGTCGTTACTTGGCACTCTTTGACGATAGGATACTCGCCACTTACATTGAGCGTAAAGTCTCCCACATCAGCTTTGTTCCCGCAAGCAGTTGACGAAGGAGCCTCACTGCCGGCGGTCGATCTGGGCGCTAAGCTAGGCGACCTCACAATAACTGTTGACAATGTAGAGGGGACAGGAAGTTCAAGGTTATCTCGGGCAGAAAAGGCATAGCCTCCAGAATTGGGAGTCGAGAGGGCTGCAGTCTGGCTGGGGGCCGCGTTTGCGTTGCTTGGCTCTATTGTTGCGACCTGAGCGCACCATGAGAATGTCCTCGAAGACATCGTCAACGTAGTCATTGATATGCATTCGACAGTAGCACCAGTAGGGAGCTCCGATGCAACCTCGGAAGCTGTCGCGGCGGGCAATGACTCTGGTGGTGCGGAAACAGGTGGTGGTAGATTGGGCATGGGCGTAAGGGACACCGTAGGGACGGACTCCGACTCGGTGCACGATGTCGAGATGGCTACAGTAGAGTCAGCGCTGGATGCAGTTGCATTCCACCCATTAGTTGGCACGATGGACCATGGGGTTCGTGAAGAGGTGGACGTGCCAGTTGGAAGATCTCCCGACCTACCAGTGCCAGAAGTCTCATCGCATGGAACGGAGCCGCTGTGGGCTAGAGGAGTCCCGGTTTCTATAAGTAATATATTCAGTCGTCATTCTATTTTCTGTCTTCAGGGAGGCTTGGGAGTGCGAAACAAACAATGGGCATGGTCTTACCTGTTGCCTCGGGAAGTGTCACAGTGTGGGTTAGGACGCCTGGTCTGGTTGATACCTTGGTGATAGTCTCCGAAGGACTCGCCCCTGCGCCGGTATTCGAAATCCCTTGTCCTCCGGCTCCAGCCCCGGCTGACCCGCTAGCTTGAGGCGTTGGATGGCCAGCTCCGTATCCCCCAGGCGGAATCGAGTCAGTGAGTGTAGCAGCACCAGAACCCTGACCAGCACCAGAACCCTGACCAGCACCAGAACCCTGACCAGCACCAGAACCCTGGCCGGCACCAGGATTGACTGAAGATGCACCAGAACCTGCGGGTGGCTGTCCTGAAGGGTTTACTCCATAACCTCCTGGGCTTGTAACAGTAACAGTAACTTCACCAGACCCGACAGGAGTGGCATATGACAAAGACGGTGAGTTAGAAAGGCCTTGGCCCCCCGCACCACCATTCGGCCCTGCTGATGGGGCGGTCACGGTAATTGTAGGCAGAGAGCCACTGGCTCCATTACCTCCATTGCTGCCGCCAGAACCCCCGGAAGGATTTCCAGGGCCAGCTGCAGAGGACTGCGGCGATGAGCCACTACCAGCTCCCTCTGATGGAATTCCAGGCGCTGTCACAGTGATGGTAGGCAGTTGTGAATTCCCTCCTCCATTGCCACCAGGACCTCCGGATGGATTTGCGGGAACAGTGACGGTGATTGCTGTTGGTGAAGAGCCAGCACCTCCATTGCTTCCGCCAGGGCCGTTGTTGGTGCCGGTGATAGTGGTAACATACGGGTACGAAACTGAACCGGACTCACCCGTGGTGCATGGTGTTGTACCCTGGCCATTGGAACCTCCGGGCGACCCTCCAGGATTACCTGCTGATGCACCTGGCGCTGTCACAGTGATGGTTTGGGGAACACCTTGGCCACCTGGACCTCCAGGCCCGCTTGCAGAGCCGCTTGGGGATTCACCTGGCGCTATTAGTATGATGTCCTGCGGGGGGGACTGGGTGGTTCTCACCTCCTGAGCCTCCGGATCCCTCACCAGTGTTGCTTGGTAACTGTCCTGGTGCTGTCACGGTAATAGTGTAAGGAATACTCTGGCCACCGGGACCTCCGGATCCACCTGCAGGGTTACCTGACGGCCCGCTGGGAACTGTAAAAGTAATGGTTTCTGGAGCACCTGGAGTAATTCCAGTACCAGTGACAGTGATGACAAACGGAGCGGAACCTTCTCCTGTACCCGACGACTCCCCGGGAGCTGTTAGAGTGATGGTATGAACATTGCTGCCGCCTCCCGAACCTCCAGATCCGCCAGAAGGATTGCTAGGAGATCCTCCGGGGGCAGTGATGGTGATTGTTGGAAGTATTGTTGAAGGGAGGCCTTGCCCACCTGGTCCTCCAGCGCCACCACCGGGAGCATTGCCAGTGCCGGTAACTGTAACGACATTCGGGTTGGAAGAGCCGGATCCACTTCCTTCTGGGTATGGCGAAGTTCCAGAACTACCAAGCGATACGCTCGGGACTGTCACTGTAATGGTTTGTGGAGTGCCTTGCCCACCTGGACCGCCAGGGCCTCCAGAGCCTCCGGAGCCACCTGCAGGGCCAGTTGGCGATGCTCCAGGTGCAGTAATAGTGAGTGTATCGACAAAGCTTGGGCCACCAGAGACTCCAGGTAGGGTTAAGGTAATCGTTTCGAGGGTGCTTTGGCTACCAAAGCCCCCAGGACTTCCAGGGCCTGATCCGCCGGCAGAGTTGCTAGGTGACCCGCCCGGTGCAGTCAAAGTGATGCTCGGTGGAATGCCCTGGCCACCTGCGCCGCCGGGACCACTACCAGTCTCAGAAGGCGCAGCCCAAATGGTGGTCTCAGAGGGGACGCCCTGACCGCCTGGGCCAGTTTCGGATCCTGAACCTCCGGCATTGCCAGTAGATTCGCAAGGGGTAGTAGTAGCAGCTGTTGGTGAGATGCCTTGACCATTTGGACCACTTCCGGAACCAGAACCAGAACCCGAGCCTGAACCGGAACCGGAACCTGAACCGGGGCCAGAGCCGGAGCCAGAACCAGAACCAGAACCACCGGGACTTCCGGCAGTCTGTGAAGGGAAGACAACAACGATTGTCTCAGAACTTTCTGGGCCATTTGGTCCTCCCTGGCCAGCACCACTTGGTGAGCCTCCAGGAGCTGTGATTGTGATCGTAGCAAAAGGAGTATTACCAGCGCCTCCAGAGAGAGTCTCAGTGTAAGTGGCAGGATACTGGCCGGGGGAAGAAGAGATACCAAATGGGCCTGGAGGAATAGTTGAGACTCCAGGGTTGCCTCCTGTCGATTGCCCACCTTGTCCACCTTGTCCACCAGCACCACCACCAGGGCTGACAATCGTGTAAGTGATGGGAACGCCGGGAACCGTGTTGCTAGGAGCAGGAGGTAGAGTGATGGTGAGGAAATCAGTAGACCAGGGAACAGTGCCAGACAATTCAGTAGAACAAGGGATAGTGATCGTTCTGGACGGAGACCAAGCCACAGGTGAAGTAGATTGAAAGACATTGGTGCCAGAATTCGAGCCAAAGCCACCAGGGCCACCTTGGCCAGGAGTGACAGTAGAAATAACAGTAGAGATGACAGTAGAGACAACAGTGGGAAGATTGGCCGGAGTAACAGTAACGAAGATGGTATGAGCAGGACAGGTTCCAGCGCCATTCCCACCTCCATTTCCACCACCGTTTCCATTTCCGCTTCCACTTCCGCCTCCAGCGGTCGAAGAAGGTCTTCCGAGACTTGTTAGCATCACCGACAGGCAGATAGACATATCATGAAGCTGGTCAATCAATCAATCACTCACCCGTTCCCGTTTCCGTACTCTTGAGCCGCGGCTAATCCCGCGAGCCCAGAGGCCCCCAGGACCCCAAGAAGGGCGTTTCTTCGCATCTTAACGTGATCTACAGTTCAGTTTATGCTGGTTAGGTTGGTAAAGTGGTGGTGAATGAAACGATTGATGGTAGAGACACAATGAGGATGAGAGATAGAGACGAGTTGAAGAGACGAAAGAGTGGGAGACTAAGGGATGAGAGAATAGAATAGAAACCTGGGTGAGTAAATTGTTGGGTTGAAACACTGCTTCTATTGTGCCTTCCCGACTAATATGGAAGTCTCCCTCCCAGCCAGGAGTGGGAAGGAAAGAGCTGATGGCTTAGCATCAAATTGTGTGTCATAGTATGTCAACTTGGAAGTCTCGATGGCAAGTGGGAAGTATGTTCGGCATGTTCCATCCTAATATATGTCTGTTGAGCTTGCTTCTATAGGTAGGTACTGCGCTTGCCCTCACATATACTCAACTGTTAAGGACATGTAGTACTTTACGAGACAATACTTCGATCTGGGTGTAAGTAAATATAGCAGGAACTTCCAGAGGTGATCGGTGTCTACTTTAACACTTCTTGGTTACAAGTGTCTCTGAGCGCTCTAACTTGTCACATATACAGGTATATTAGGTACCTATATATTCAATCAGGATGCCCAATCTAACTGCATGTATATATCTGAATCGTGTAGACAACGGATTGATGGGAAGATGTAAGTAGTATAGGCAATGAGAAGGTGCCTGCATCTTCACCTAAAGTTTCTGCTTGTGTGATACGGATATGACGTGATGGCGTCAATCGTGATTTCCAAGATATCGGAACTTTCGAGGCATAGCTTCTTCGATTAGGAAGGATGACGCAACACCATACTATGTGGACATGCTTAGGCAGTCGGTATGTAGGTCCTTTCCCAAGGCTCTAAGTTTGAAAAAACTTTAGCAATTGGTATGACCACACATAGTGTGGAATGAATAGGGAGGTGCGTAGGTATAGTATATTTGGTGTTATATTTTCCAGGAAGTTGCTAGTCTGTATGGAGAGATGGAGACTTGGTGAAATGGAATCTTCGATGGTGAAACTGTTGAGTTGAATGCTGGACACCGGGAGGCACCTACCTGGGTACATTAGGTACTGTTAGTGCAGTTGGACTGATGAGTTCAACTATGCCATCTCTTATCTCCAATGCAGATATATAGAATTAGGAGGTACCTATAATGTTGGCTACAAACGTACTTAAGGTACCTAAGTTAAACTGGTTGGAATGAGATATTCTGAATCTGAATTATTTTCATGGAGGATGTGGTAGCTAGTGAACTCAATAGACAGAATTTAGAGATACCTCACATACCTGTCATGTCAATGAAAACTGTAGAAAAGCCCCTTATTCCACCTGAAAAGGGGCGTATCCCTTAGATGCTCTGTTGAATAGTTCCATAGACACAGCAATCTTAGTTGGGATTGAGCTTTAGTGAGATCGTCAGTATGTGCTATACTCAATGCCTATTACATCTAACCGCAATACCAACTCAAAAAGAGTAAGGTTAAGTGAATAATTCCTCATAAATTTATCATTAGTCAACGTACGCAAGTCGCACATAATCATACAGGGTTATCCACATAGGGTGGAGGAGGCTCATCAGGATCATACTCCTGTGGATCTCTCAGCGGTGTAGCAGCAGAAGAAGTAGGGGCAGTAGTAGGGACAGGGGTAGGTAGTCCTCTTGCCTGCTGTTCGAGCTTCGCTGTCCAGATCGCAGCGCCCGCCGCCGAAGTAAGGAGGAAGAAGAAAGATAGAATGGGTATGAGCTGGAGTATCATCGCTATGGTACCGAACCATGTGTACTCCCACATTCTACTCCTAATCTCCTGCTTTCGCTCCTTCTTCGTCAAGCCCCTTAGTTCAAACCACCTGTAATGCGCGAATGTTCCTAACCGGGCGCCTGTGATTATGATGAAGGCCAGGGTACCGACCTTTGGGATTAGATTGAGCGGCAGGAAGACGATTAGCTCGACGATCTGGATCAGACTCCACGGCTGGTATACGGCAGAGCTTGTTGGTTTGCCCAATTTCTTGACGGAGTTGGGTGCATCTGGGAATAGTAGTCGATGCGGCGCAACGAGGCTCTCGAGATCTTTGTCGAGAAGGGTTGCCTGACAAATGTTAGCATTTTAATGCTGCCAAGTTGACAATGAATATTCATGGGAATCTCTGCGGAGTAGATCAACATACATCAAACACATCTACGCGACATTCGTCGACGAAGAAACCCTCGAACAATCCCTGGATAATGACTAGACCCTCGCCTAGCACCAACACCACAGCGTTGATCCATGCGCTCCAACCGTGGAAAATGGCTAAGAATGCATACTGAGGCAGAAATGCAAACGTGAAGAGGATCGTATAGACTAGGAACGAGATGATTGAGAGAGGAAGTAGTCGACTGAGAAATAGAGGATAGTATGCCGGATGACGTAAGAAGTAGTAGATGCCTTGAAGAGGGTATGAAGCTGCAACTAACCCTCTTAAGATATAGGAACCAAACCTTTGTAGTGGTCGCATAACTCGGGGGGAGCGATTTTGGGACTCCATGTCATCGTTATTTGAGGTATTGTAGGATGAACAGGCTGAAGAGCGATCAACTCTACTTGGAGTTTGATGTTGTAACCTGTAAGCTGGCTATATGCAATAAAGCGAGAGCTGACGACACTGCTGTGACACATGCTGAAACATCCTTATCGCTTATCGATAGTGCTCTTGTAAGGCATGTGAATACATTGGGCGTTGTCAGCACCTGACCTCCAGGAAGAAGCCATTTCTTCAAACATTGTTCAAATTTACTGAAGCACAAAATTCATCAAGTAGTTATCACATGTGAAAGTATTTTCATAAAACAGAGCGGTTCTATTATTAGATATGTATGGCTAAGACCCCTAACTAGCACCATGACGAAATAATTGCCAGTAAGACTAATTTCGAAGCCATACGTCACGGAACAAATTAGCTCTCTCAAGTACCGTATCCATCTGTTTTTCAGATTTCTTTCATAATCCCCAACGCCATGCATAACGCGAAAACTCAATTGTACATCAGCCTGCTAAAGAGAAGAAAAAAAGGGACAGCGCCTCAATTGGACATGTGCTTCCACCCCCTATCCCTCAATCGATTGGGGATTCGCAAAAACGTTGTTCGGATCTAGAACCCTTTTCAACTGCTTTAGCTTCTTGTGAAGTTCTTTACCATAGTATAGATCATTTGCTTCTTCTCTTGGCAGACTCGGATCGGTATAATTAGAGTACGCGCCGTAACTTGGGAGGCGCGCTGTCATAGCGCTTGCTAGTCCGTTGATGAAGTCGAGACCTTCCGGTGGGAATACTTGCTCGTTGTCAACATAGCCGTATAGTTGGGTGACCCACAGAGCATCACGGTGTGCAAAGGCGGAGAAGCTCTGATCTTTGGCGTTGATCTGGCTGTCGGCGCCACCGTACAAGTCTACTAAGATGAAGTACGAGATAGGCGCGCGTGCGCCTTGGTCGAGGAGGTATGTGAAGAAGTCCGTCAGCGATTCGGTAGTAAAACCCGGCTCGGGTATGGTAACACTCTTAGCGAAGAAATTGGCATGCTCTAAGAAATCCGTCGGAGAGTCTAGTTCTCGGCCTTGGTTGAGTAGCTTGAGAGACGTTGCCCAATCTACCTGCTTGACTTCAATAGTTGGGAACTCGGGAATGCCTTCTAGCAATGCTGGTATGACCTTTCGTACGAAATCATTGCGAGATCCTAAGTAGGTACCCCCTACTGCGAAATAGTCCGATGATAGAGTCACATTGAGCCCCAACTGGCGGTCGACGACAGAGTTATCGTGAACAAATGTTTGGATATGCTGAAAGGCTCTGACGGCACTCTCGATGCTTTTTGTTGCATCGCTAACCTTAAAGTCCCAATGTATGACGGATTCGGGTGCAGGCTCTGTATTAAGATAAAATGCTACAGCGATGCCAAAGGAGTCAGCTGCGCCTCGCATCGCCTTATTTCGAAGTTACATGGTTAGTTAAAGCTGACCAGTTAAAGGGGGGAATGCAACAAGAACATCAGGACTTACATAGAATAGATCTTGATTCTGGTTTTCATCAGCAAGGACCAGTTGGCCGTTTGCTAATACCACCTTAATCTTTGCGATGCGATCCATGGCAAGACCCCAAGCACGGGAGAAGAATCCATATCCCCCGTGTGTGAAATGCCCGCCGACCCCAACGCTTGCGCAAGTGCCATGAGGAAGAGCGCGTTTCCAGCCCGTACGTTGGTCAATGGTTTGAGCCAACTCGCCCAATCGCATACCGCTACCAACTATAACACAGTAGAGGTCGCCTGAAGCCGAGGTGCTTCGGAATTGAACTTCTCCGAGGTCTATTACCACAGAACCATCCACGCCTCCATTGCTGTAGGAGGCATATGAGTGCCCGCCAGATCGGGCTTGCACTTTGAATCCATGTTTGCCTGCCAAAGTAATGGCATTGCTGATATGTTTGACTATGAATGGAAGAACAACAACAGCAGGGGTGACTGGGAGGCGCAGGTTATAGGTTGATGAATATATAGGCCAATCACGGTCTGTCGGTGTTATGAATGAAATGCCCATGTCAGTTAACTCTCCTATGAAGGAAGCCACGTCGGCAGAAGCCATCTTGGCTACTATGAAAGGCGACAAAGAAGTGGTAGAATATGGGTTCAAAAGAGTAGAATAGATGGTAGGATTATCCGTTTAGGTAAGTCTTATCCCGCGACACGTTTCTGCTTTAGAGTTTGCTTGGGTCGCGATAATCATAAGTAACGACGCGTGATTTGCGGTGAAAAATACTGCCACTGATTCACTAGATTGGATTTAATCGGTCCAGTTAATAGACGGATAGAAAATGGATAGAAGGCAAACATTCATTTAGAGTGATTTTGTGAGGCCATCTGGTTGGATTGCTACGGTATGTTTGGGTACCTAAGGTGCTAAATACCTAGACCTAGTGATTTGCTTACTTACGTCTGCAGCACGCGTCTTGAAGTTAACAGCCTTTTTGTAGTTAGGGCCCATCTACAATGGTTCTAGCACCTGCCATATGACATTCCAACTTCATTCACGAGGACTGGTAAGTAACTGAGTGGATTTAGTCCAGTGATATATGCAAGAATCATGAGATCCGAAAGACCGGCCAATGACCAATCATGAATTGAACTAGAAAATTGTTATTTAAATGGGAAACTCAGATAATCGGATGGTCATTCTATGCTAATTCGTTTCCTTTCTCTGCAATAGTATTATAGTCTGATTTATTACCAAAGAGAAGCTGCTTAGTTATTTAAAGATGGTGTGGTTTCAATCAAACCGCCACGTCCGAACTTACCCCTATCTAGCCCCTTTTTTTTTACTTTAGCGCTTGCTCACGTAAGAAGAGATGATTATAGATGTATGATGTACTACATACATCCCTAGGAGTTGGCTTTTACTCTCTATTCCATCTTGATGTAGTTTATTTACTAAACTTGACCCTCGGTTTCACAATATTTAAGTTAAGTCTTGTACGACTTGCGATGGGTTGCGCATGTTTCATGCGACGTTTTACGAAACGGCCCGGGCTTATAAAGGCATGAACCGATTTGAACCCAGAGAGTTCAGGATCGTTGTAGTTATCCTCACGGGCTTTGCAGAAAATATCCATATTCTTTTCACAGTTCTGGAAGCTGCGATGGCGGTTGACAGTACACTTCATTGAGCCTGTCTAACTCCCCACAGAATATGTTTAGCATATGGAGAGGACATGCTCTTATTAGCTAATAGTCACGCTGGAGGGCCTCGATGATAGTATTGACTTTGTCGAGGTCGCTTGTATCATTAAGGGGTAGTAGCTGCACACATGCTCCGTCAAACTATTTAAGCAGATTTGGCCAATGATTAGAAGCATCGCATGCAACGGGTAGTTGCTGTCTTTAAATTTGGGCTTTATCTACCAAAATATTAAACAATTCCATTCTATCACGCGTAGTTGCTGGTAAAAATCGCTTAGCCTTGCCGTCCTAAAAAAAAAAGGATACAGGCCTAAATTGAATAGCTTATGTACTGGAAGATGCCGTACGAGGCTCTAGCAGCTCGCGGGATATTACCTGATTTGTATAATATCTCCATTGCTGTGCCTCCCCCTATATCTAAGATATATATACCTACCTATGAATCGAGTTTATTTACCGTTCAGGGTTTAACCATTCTTGTGGGGTAGCATTATGAGATACACGAAGGAAGCTTATAATCTGTCAACGAGTCCTTGGGCAGCATTGTTAATATTCGCCCCCCAAATTTTAGCGGTACACTGTCGGTAAGTTAGCATAGATCTACATATATAGCTCTCTAGACAGCGTTCCGGCCGAAGTCAAGAAGATCCATGAGAAAAGAAGGTATTTACTTGGAGATATAAAATGCCGTCTTCGATCTCGCACTCGCAATATGAGTCGTATTTGAGCGTGTCTACAATCCGGAATGCGATCTCGCCTTTCTCAACAGCCTCGTGGAAGCCCTCACGTAGCAGCTCATCTAAGTCAATGGTTATAACGTGAGCGTAGCAAATGGTGTTCAGCTCTTTTAAGCCATCTTCCCCCGCATTATCTTTAAATTCTTTGAGCCTATATATCGCCCCGTTGATATATCTAAATAAGAGTAAGCATAGTATTAGATACAATACCTCCTAACACTTACTCTGCGATGCAACTGCCAATGGACTCCTTCGCATACCCCTCTTCGGCGTAGGCATATAATTGGTTAGGGTTCACGTCAACAGTCCAAGAGGTTGTCAGAGTATCTGAGAGCTTCTGCTCAAGATCAAACTTCTTATTGTCCCATTCATCGCGAACTAAACTAAGTCAGCTTTGACGAAGGGGGGTGATGGTATGCCGACTCACTGTTCTTGCGCAGGGCAAGAGGAAGCTTCTCAACAGATGGTAGCCTAGACATGTCGAATATGATAATTGGTATTTGGGAGAGTTTCAGAGTATTATGAGAGAATATGGAGTGATGGATTGCGTGATATAGTTTTTACGAGATCATAAAATCAACTGGGTGGTTAGGTCTTAACTAGTATTGATTATTACCATCTACCCTTCCCCGTTGTCGTGGCGTATTGCTGGTTCATTTTCCACTAATTTACTGCTCGATTAAAGGGGTTGCCTTGGACTAACGCTTGCAACGGCTACGCTAGTATCGACAGCTTTCGCGTCACACACTTACATGCCTCGGCAATACAGCGCTCGTCAAGTATAGATTCAGCCCTGAGGCATCAGAGCAAACAGATTGCCTCCGATACGGAAATGAAACCGAGCGGTCTACATCTTTAGTTGCTTCGCTAAGTACGCTATTGACTCATACAGTTCGCTGTTATTCAGCCGCAACTATTTACCGGTCAGTCCTGTTAATAGTGGATATATGTCAAAGACCAAGAGAAGTTTCGCATTGGTTACCTACATTTCTGATCAAGAATAAAAACAAGAAATGTCACTATATTCGAAACTTCAAATCTGTTAGGATATGTGAGTACCTAGATAGACAATTCCTTAAGAGTGTAGTAAACGCGCATTGTGTTCGAGACAAACGCGTTGGAGTTGTTAGAACCTGATAAAGATCTACCGACGTTCAGCTTGGCTTAACAATATCTTCAAAGGTGGGGGTATCTCGATGAAAGTGAGATGGGCTGTGCACGTACCCAGATATGTCCTGCAAATCTACACCATATTAGGAAAACGATTGCGGATATGATTGGCTGATAGCCCCGGAGACAAACAAAAAGCAGGGATCATCTCTGTAACTACTATGGTTATATGGGTATGTTTAACGAGTGGGCCAGGTATTGCGGCCCGTGCTGCACCTATTACAGTATAGCGCGACCTTATATGAACATAATTGTATAAAATTTGCATTTGGCTTGATAAATTTAATGCGATAAAATATTAAGATTTTAGGCTATTTAAGGATTATTTTGATATGTTTTTTTATTAAAAAATCTATTGATTTGGTTGAAAAATGGTAATATTTGATATAAGTTTTTTGATGTACCTGCTTGTCCCGGACACAGCCACAGGTACCTGACCCACTCGTTAAACTTTGGCCTGTAACCATAGTAGAAGCTGCGGCCTACGAAACGCCTTGCAGTAAGCCTGAGCTGTCCTACGTACCTAGGCTTCAAACGGACGGTTGGAAGTGGTAAGATGGCGTTGACTAACCCCTATATAGATAGGAGCGCCATCAATTCTTGTTCCTGTTGATTCATTCTTATGAGAGTCCTAGAATAGGAGGTCGATGTAGATTTATTCGTTACCTAGGTATATATTAAAAAAATCTATTGTCAACATGGCATCATCAAAGCTGTAAGTTGTTTAATACCTCACCTGCGACAGAAACTTCCAAGTTATTAAACCGTTCGTAGACCCCTGAAAGTTCGGGTTGGCATTCGTGATCACTGGGACAACGTCGATGCCCCCCTCCAAGCGACGCGGTCTGCCTTAAAGGAGACTCTTGGGATCGACGTAATACTTGAGATTAACTGGGATATTGTCTTTTCTCATTTAAGTGCTGACTATCCGGATAAGTCTACATTTGTTCCTTCGATCGCGGCTGGTGTCCAGGCATTCCTCGACGGACTGCGGGAGATATTGGATGCCGATCTGAACCCGGAATGGACTAATACACTTCTCGAGAATGCAAATGGCTGCTTGAAACTTCTAATAGGCGTGAGAAACTTTCAAAGGTTGACTAAAGAGATTGGTGCTAAGAACTTGAGATTAGGTCTCTAAGAAAGAGGAGCCAACGGTTCTTTGGTCTACAAAAAGCGTAGGCTTCCAAGTCAACCTCCCTAAGGGCACAATGCCGTCGGCGATTCAGATGCAGTCCTCATTCAAAATTCAACTCGTTGATTGTTTTGATGACCCACAGCCTTCCTTTGATGACTGGGCGGACATTTCTACAGAAGCTACAAGAGAACGCCCGGCCATAGCAGACGAGCATAAATCATTTGACATACTACCAAATATCAGCCTTCTACCATGTCCGGACGACCTACTTCTCAAGCCACCGTATCATCTAACTGTTTATGGCGGAGGTAAGACTACAGTCGAAGTTCAGTGCAGTCATAGCCCGACATTAGAGCTTCTTGCAGAGTATCTGAAGAAATGGTGCAAGGTCAATCATCAGGATACACGACATGTAAGTGCTTCCTCCCAAAAGAGTGACAACATATATGCAATGTCTAACGGACAGCGAATTTGTACAGCCTCCCGCGGTCGAGGTCGAGTTACATCAGTCGTCCTTCGGGTTCGGTCTTACGTATGACCGTCTAACAATGTCTGTCCAGAACCGTAATCCACATTTTCTCGTATCCCCTATGATTGTGCTACCTTTTGTTGAGAGTGTGTTAGGTTACAAGAATATATCGGTTGATGGGTCTTCTTGGATCTTCCGAAGGGACATCGAGTTAAGGAAACCTAGACGGTAAATGTTGTCTACAATGTTATCAAAGGTTTCCAGGAGTCGATAGAAGTAATTATAGGCCTGGCTTTACTTACCTAACAATTATAACTTCGGGCTAGGAACATACCTAGTAACTTAACTGAGCGTTCAACTAAAAGGATCCTTCAGTATACAAAGGAACTTATCAAGGGGCTTAATACTGGCCTAATATTCGGTCTCCTTTCCGATTGCCTTTCTACCCACCTAACTTTTGAAGAGTTTTGAGTAGAAAATTAGAGATCTCGAACGAAACCTTTTTCTATAAGAACTTCGATCGTAGTCGATGCTATACGGCCCAGAATCCCACATAGATGGGTTTACGCCGACATCAGTCTCGTAAGACAATTCAAGCTGAGTGTAAGGATGAGCATCTTTTACGGAGACTGACACTAGTCCATACAGCCGACCTTGCTAAGTGGTAGACGAAATGGTTGTTAGGTGTAGAGATTGGAATGGCTCATATTGGTATCGTGGCTATCATAGTCACGTTATAGCATACTAAGATGCGGAGTCAATGCTACCTAACGAAGGCATTTCTTATTATAATTAACTCGTGCCTATGGGTGTATTGATCTTGAGTTGTGTATATTCTTACCTAGGTAAGGAGACCCCCCTCGACCGAGATCGACAAGAGCTCAAGGTATCCTTTGAAAATATGTATAAAGAACGTGTTGCAAGACTCGAGGACCAGCTGCGCTCTCAACACGAGACCAACTCCCAGACGCATAAGTCTATGCCAGACTTGATGGCGGGTATGAAGCCCGAAAGAGAGAGGGGAGCAGGGAACCCCTATGACAGTTCTAACTCTCTACAGCCTAAATTTACCTGTTTGACCTGCAACAGGACGTTTTGGTTTAGGAACGAACTTTTTGACCACTTCGAAAAACGCGAACAGACTGGGAACTCGCATGAAAGGGATACTACCACACCAAGACGAGAAAGATTGAGACGCTGGTAGCTCATTGTATTACATTAGGTAATCAGCTGAGCTACTATATAAGGCGATCTTTAAACTATAAATAGCAGAGCTCGGACTTAGTTCTTTAATCAACACTGTTATAGTGCACCTTAAATGACTGATCATATTTCTACGTGAGTTAATCGAATATGGGGTTCTGGTTGGTGGCGAAGCTTACGCAAGTCTGTTCTGATAGAATGATCGTCGAAAGTTTTATTGTCAGGGGTCAAGCAAAATCTCGTTGCCGAAGTCAGCTGGGCTGTCAGTCAAGAATATGTCCCAGTTTAGGCCGATATACATAGTATAATTTATAATCTTTATATTGGCGTAAAAATTCTCCTTGTAGCTGTTTGAAATGCCTTGGAGCCCCTTCTCCATATAGTAGGACGTTAATACTTATCGAAAACCCCTATTTAATAATATACCTAGTAAATAAGTAGGTACCTATCATGTCTTCCCCGTTCTGGATTTGGTTGCAACCCAACCTAATAAGCTGTGCCTTATAAGCGCCGAAAGTTATAACTGCCCTAGTCCGGTTTAGGTTTTACTCGAGCGGTGTCGTGCAGGCGACGAGGGCTGCTGAACCTATATCGTATGGTTATACTTAAGGCGTGTATCGAAGAGCATCTCTTATATTTCCCTCCAAGGACATACTCTAGTCTCTAGACCCCTACTCAAATACGACCCCACCAATTATCCTCCCCCGTATGCTTCGGCAATCATGCTATCCAAAACCGAGATACGGATCTTAGACCTGTTGCCTTCTTCAGGTTTGAATAATAGCGACGCCCCGATACAATGCCGATCTCGAGTTGTTCCTTTTCCTACGGATATTGATTTTGAGACACTATCATATGTATGGGGAACCGTACAGGATGTCATAAATATTAGTGTCGATGGAAATGATGTCCCAATTACAACAAACCTTGCGGCCGTTTTGAAACGCATTCGTCTTGTAGGCGAGATTCGGACTGTTTGGGTAGATCAGCTGTGTATCAATCAACAGGATGAGGAAGAGAAGGCTAACCAAGTCGCTCTTATGGGCCGCATATACTCTACGACAAGTCAATGCCTGATTTGGTTGGGCGAGATTGGGCAAGATATTTCACTCTCTGATGCTCAGACTGGGCTAGACTTCATTTACTATGTCAGCGAGGGCAAGCGAAAGCAGGAGGGAACTTCGGAACTGAGCGTTTCTGTCGACTTTGACTCAGTGGAAGCTCTACGAGGACCGATGCGAGCGTTGGATTCGATCGGCTTGAAATACAACCCGTGGTGGGCTCGAATGTGGACGCTACAAGAAGCAGTTCTTCCTCCTAAAGCCTGCGTCTTGTGGGGTCAATTATCCATACAATGGGAAACAATCGTTTCTGCAGCTTCAAGATGGATATCTCTTCCTTATGACCCTGTTATATACGCCTATTATGATACTCTCTACAATATTTTCTCACAAGTAAGGGGCCTTGTTTTCGCCAAGGAAAATCGTCAAGGGCCTTTAGACACTGCGTTCCGCTGGAGTTTTCGCGGGGCATCGAACCCCCTTGACAAGGTCTATGGGCTTATCGGGCTTTTCCCACCCGGAACTTTCCCCCGGGCTCGAGCATGCGATTATGGACTATCCCCAGCTACCCTCTATGCTATGTTCACCGCGGACCTGATTGAACATCACCAAAGCTTACATCCCATCGCCTTACGATATTTACGTAACCTTCCACAGAGTACACCAGAATTACCGCGCTGGGCTTTCGACTTGGCCGTCAGTGGTCCTCAGTTCGCATTCACTTTAGATGGGGGTGACTATGGCTGGTATTTAATGAGTACCTACGACTGCTATAATGCCTGCGGCGCAACCACGATTGATTGGTCCCGATTCCGATATGACCAGACATTGAACGCCCTAGAGTTGACAGGTTGCATGCTTGATTCCATAGCAGTGGCTGGGCCAAGGCCACGCGGCGAAGAGCCTGACACTTCCAATCTTTCACGTGCCGGCGTGGCTCGGATGATTCAGGACTGGTATCAAATTGCCGAAGAATTCTATCAAAACCAACCACGGCATGAGTCAATCTACGACACAAATTCATGGCCAGAGTCTTTCTGGAAAGGATTATTGGCTAATATCAAACTCGATTCAGATTCATTCTCCGAAGGTCCAGCCACGTCGGAAGATATAGCGTTAGCAAAGGAATTCGTTCGAACCGGCAGCAGAAACGAGACATACTATAGCATGTTTGCAAACCTTGTCCACAGGAAAATGATTATAACTAAGACGGGCTTGTTGGGCTTTGGCCCTCATCATGCAGAAGTTGGAGACCAGGTTTGGATCCTGCCTGGTGGCAAAATGCCGTTCGTATTGAGACCAAGTGAAGGGCAGTCATTGTCAACCAATGAACTTCTTTTCATTGGATCCTCTTATGTAGATGGAATAATGGAAGGTGAGGCAATGGAACTCGTTGAGCCTGCTATTGATATTGTCTTGAGGTAAGAATTGGGATGGTGGCTGGTGTGTACTCTGCTGAGGAGAGCAAAGGGAAAAGGCGAGGGAGCCATGGTCCTGCTCGGGATATATAGATAGTTTACTTACAAGTAATATTTAAATCCTTCTATGACGGTTTCAACGTTTGAGATAAACCATTGGAACGAGCAAATGGCAGCACACATTCTGCTAGGATGAACTATATTTTGACAGTGGCATAATTAAGTTAATCTCCAAGCGAGAAATCTATCATAGTCAGTAATGAAATATTGAGTCTATATACAATAGGCTGAGACGATCGTCTAAAATAGCTTCATAATTTCGTACAATGGAGGTTGTCATACCTCTCCACCAAGTCCCACTCCAGGGGGATGTCTTCTATAACTAAACATACGAAACTTCCCATCTCTTCAGTTTTCCTGTCTTGCAATCATTCTATTTATACTAACCAACTGAGAACGACTTTTATCCTCTTCAGCTTCTGTTGAGATACTATCGTTGTCGCTACGATTACGAGAGCGCGTAATTGGAAGTGTCGCCATGTTTACAAGAGGGCGGAAGAATCGGTTATAAACGATGAACGTATCATGATCCCCCGCAAAAGCATTCACCGGAGTCGCCATATAGATGCTCCTTCGTCTAATTGCAACAGCATCTTCGGTAATCGGTCGGACGTTGGTGTATTTGTAGATGGCACTAAGAATTGGTATTGAAAGGCCGTGTACTACGATGGAGAAGAGGACGAGGAAATATACCACTAGAGAATAGATTAGCTAACGGGTATGGGGGTGTTAAATAAACACAACTAACCCGGACATATGGCGTCAAGGAGTTCCCGCTCCCTCGCACTGGCTGCCTTTTCCTTTGGGAACAGCAATCGTGTATGCTGAAGATAGTACACCGCCCCGACGCCTATCGGGCCAAAATATCCCATGAATAACGCTTCCCTCCAGTTTTTTACTACTGCCGGCATCGTCTTATATGTAAGAAGTAAAGCAGGGATTCGTCGAAATAGGAGAACGAGGACGCCTAAACCAAAGAGACGAGGATAGGTAATGCCAGTAGTAGCGGGTTGATGGAATTCCTGCCAAGGTATAGCAATACCGATATACATGAAGCCGCCAAAGTTGAGCATAACGTCAATGCACGAGTTAACTTCGTCATGGCGGCGTTCTGTCTCTGCAAGGAACTGTCCGTCCCAGTTTAATGCGCAACCTGCGACAAAGCAAGCAAGAAGGTCACTTGTACCGATAGCTCCGCAAGTTCCAACAATAAATAGCTTTTATACTTCATCAGTATCGCTTAAATATGAAAGGGAGAACTGTCAGAAGTACTTACACCCAACGCCGTCGGGAAAAGCAGATAGCTCTCCGAGTCGATCCATCTTCGAGATAGTGAGAATCTAACTCCCATTCTAGCACAGTACCCCGTAACAGCCCCGTATACGACGGCTAGTAATACGATGTAGATAAGAGTTTCGATGACCCAGTTCCCCAAGGCAATGCCTACATCACGCGTATCCTCGCCAACGCCTCGACCGCGCTCGACAAGCTTTTCCTCCCTGTTTTCCGTAAGGCGTAGGAGGTTGACAGCAAGCATGAGGAAAGGCGAAGCGAAACCATCGTTGGCACCGGCTTCAGCTGAGATGATCTCTCGGAGAGGCCGGGCCACGTACTTGTCAGCGAACGGGCCCTTGGCGACGGCTTGTGAGAGGATCGGATCTGTAGACGTAACACAAGCCCCCATAACAAGAGCTGCAAGTAACGAAATCTTCGGGATCGTTGCGAGTACGCAAACGGAGGTTGCCAGCCACATCAATGCCATGATAGGAACAAGGCAGACGATTAATGCTTTACGGTGAAGTTGAAGATATCTGGCGGGTAGCTGGTATCCCGCAATGACCCTACAATAGTCGGAATCGAAACCCGGTTAGACAAGCGAGTTCATTCGAAAAGGCCGAATACCTTTATAGGGAAAGTACTTATACCGAACTCACAGTTGAATACCAATCATAACCCTCATCACACCAAGCGTTATCGCATCTTGTTGGTCTGGGGTAGCTGATCCCCATCGTTTCGCGTCTAAGAACCTTGCTGCGATAGGTCCTAAGATCGTGCCGGTGAGGACTGCTGGCACTGATGGATATTTGGATAGTTAGCAGTAGGTAAATAAATAGATGGTGCATTCTAAGAAGCGCACTGACATGCCTCCCCAAGGTACCAAACACCCTTTAACTTAACAGCTACCAGGCCGTATATCACAGTGAAAGCACCTAAAATAAGTCAGAATTATTATTCTACTAGAACCTTTGCGAACTTACCAAGTACAGAAACGACGATGTTCAGCTCGCTCACATCTAGGGACGGCATCGCGATGTCTAGCGTCGTCGTAGTCGTAGGTCAATCGTATGTGCGTAAAGAAGGACCCAGAGGTTTGGTTCTAACTTGGATCCTTGATATGGAACAGCCAGGGGGATGCGCCAAGGAAATACAACGAAGTAGACAATCACAAGCTAGAATGAAATAACGATGTACGTGTAGATCTACACCCGCTGGTAAGGATAATTTGCGTGTAAGTCAGTGAAATCTCCGGCTTGGCAATGGTGTACCGATCCATTCCAAATTGAGGAATGCATCTTCTCTTGATGGTAGTTATTTAGCCACCATGTCTCGCTAAGAAGCACCTAAGGCTCCCTGCGAAGACCCGGTGAGCACATACCCGTGTGCTCCCCCTTTTTAGTCTCAGACATATCTTAGCTGCCCTTAAAAACAAGCATCAACAAGTCTGATCGACTCGATCTTCTGTCGAACGATTTGCAAGGAAAGCATGTGTCGCTAATTAGTACAGTCATTGGAGGGATTTGTGTGTGTATCGAGTAACTACATCATGCGGAGCAAGTAGCTGACGAAGCAAGTACAACGGCAAGTAATAGTGGTACGGGGGTCATGGTATTTTCAGGGCAAAGATGCGATAGTTAAAAGTCTGATATTCCTAAGGGTCTATAAGAGACAAAATGCCGAGAGTATCACAAGGCGTGCGTGACGGGTGAACAAAGGGGGATACAAGATCATTGTACATCGTTCAAACAGGATCAGCTCTTGGCAGGACGTGGGGATTTGACTGTGGTAACTGACCTAGAATAGATCCAGTCAACTGGTGAACCATAAATTGATCAGTATGAAGTAATATGAGTATTAACATGTCGACTTATTGGAGAGAAGATGGATAGTGAGTTGTGGAAAGACTACCTTCTCTAATCCTTTAAAGTGACTGACTACCCAAGAGACCGAGCCATATGACATGATGCCTATGCCTGTACCCATTGCCTCGAATAAACCAGCTTCATCGACTTAATGACTGCCGTTTCTTCATTAAAAGTAAAAGTATTAGATGCAAAACTTGGAATTCTCAGGCTAAGAGGTCATAAGGGGAAATTATCATTGTAGACACTTAGAATCAAAGCAAGTACATGGCCGATCAAGCCTAGGAGTGATATTGGAATGGTTTATGAGCTTTATGTCCTCCGTATGGCAGCATAAGTAATACGAAGAGGCTTCAAATTCTAGACCATTGGGGGTAGACTGTCGCATCGTCATAATGACATATTGTACTATGCATGACATTCAATTATCTAATAACAACTCAGGTGTACCTAGGTCAAGTAAGACAACTGTTGTTCAACCCTACCTACCTACCTAGGTAGGTAGCCAGTGGGCTTCGAATTAGACCTTGAAATTGTGAACGATTTAGATAGGTCTTTTATGACATCGTCAATATAGCAAATCGTTTTATTAGTACTACCACAATTTTTCCAACCAATCAGATGTTTATAATCGCCCTGCAGTTAGCAGCTTTGGCTAGCTAATCAGAGGCCAGACTCATCCGTGGCTTGCGCGGATGGGGGAAAGCAGCTAGTTATGGTTCCTTACCTCGTAAAATCCATACTGTACCAGAGAGCATAACCCTTGTTACCTTGGCCGCATGAATGTAGCGCCTTCTGATCACATACAGCTCTACTACATACCAACGGCAGCCGAAATCTCCACTTAAACAAGAGACCTCAGATAAGTCAGTATCAGATGATTTATTCTTTCATTGGGTATTGGTTATTGGTTAACACAGAATCCTATCTTACCCACACTTAGGTAGGCTAATAGGCTTCGGCCTCCGAGCTATCATATATATAATGCCGACTTTAGTCCCCAACTATCGTAGTCTCCATTCCTCTTACTCGGCTGCTCAGGCTCACTGGACTCGAGAATCTCTACAATGGCTAAAAATGCAGTTGAAGGACCAATATATGACCATCTCAGCTCTCTCGAACGAGCTCTTATTATGCATCTTCGACGATTTACTACCTGCAACATTGCTTCAATGTACGCTTTGCTGCAAACGATGGTCACGTCTAGCTTCCCCTATATTATACAAGCACATCGCATTAACCCCAGAGACCTTCTCTAAATGGACTAAGAACCCTTCCGACTCGAATGATGTGGTTATTAGTACATTTACTCTACACATAAACCTAGTGAGAAACAGGCCAGACGATAAAACTGATGAATTTGACCAACTACATGACGACCTTCTGAAGCTTCCCTCGCGGCTCGCGAAAATGGCCAACTTGAAATCTTTTTCGCTCACTACGTCGTATGGTGCGTCTGCCAACTTATGGGTGCCGAGGAGACTGGTTGCTCCGATTATTGATCACCTGCCTCCTACTTGCATATGCCTCGAAATTGATATCATGAGTACGAGCTACGAGACGTATCCCGACGATGATCAGGTACATTTATGTCCTTCTATTCGTCGAGTGCTCCCTCAGCTACAATTCCTACGATTAAGCCTCCCAAAACTGTGCCCTGAAGCCTTTGGATATGGCTTTACGGCCCAGCCGTCAACGGACAATGAAAGCTTTCAGCCTATCCAAATGTTAAAGCTGGAGCAGTGTTTGATCAAAGTAGCGCAGACTAATCTCATTATTTCTACAGTTTTCCGCTCTATAATATGTGATTATCCCGGCGTTCACACCGTGACCATTTTAACGGATTACTTGACCATATTAAAGTCTTCAGGAAACGCGCCTAGGCTCCAAAAGCTATGGGTTATTGATGCTCTATCTTACAAGCATTATTACAAAACATTAGAGGCATGGGTACGTCGTGATATCTTGGAGGGGGAATAGCAAGACCCTACCATGCAAAAACTTGATTGTAAATGAAACCAGAAAATTCCATAGGGAGGCATGTTTTATCCGTATGACAAGAGAGGAAGGTGGCCAAGATCTTATATCAACCAGAGAGGGCTTGCAACTTTTTACAGAAAGGTACGCCTGGGTCCAAGCCAGCAATGGGACTCGGATCCCTGGTCCATATATTTCCAAAAAGACCCATCTCAGCCCGGTTACACCTGTGGTGCGAACGGAAGTGGAATGGCTTGCATTGACAAACGTTTCGTGTAACTTATGGTCGTATGAGGCGACTATCGGTGCCCAGCTGTTAGATGTAGAAGAGGGAGGATTGACCGAACATCGCGTCCCAATGATTCGGCTTCCCCAAGGCTGGACTATGGGGTATGGTGGCCGGCTTCGAGGACCTTGAAAGATTAATACCTTATTCGAGAATTTTGTTGAACCCCTAGAATAGAAGTTTACACTGGCTTTTAAATAATTAACTAATTGGGATTCAAGGGACCGTGTTTCCTGTACAAGTCAAGGAGACGGGTAGGCATCAATAGCTAACTCGAGACTGCAACAACAGAAAAGCCTTTGTAGGACGTGATCAATTCCGGAGGAGCCCCACACCGGGCGGAGACCCAGCCGGACCGGGTGTACCGGGTTGGACCCACTAAATCCCCGGATCTTAGTAGCATAATTCTACAATCTGAATTGTTCTTGTAACTTCTAGTTCTACAAATTCTTTGACCCACCCATTAAAGATTACTAGAATAACTAATGACGTGGATTTGCGAAATACTAAAGAGTGTGAAGAGAGGTAAATAAATAGAAAGCTAGAGGAGGGATTTCTAGAAATATCTGTTTAGCTAAGAATCGGCTTTGTTGAGTGAGAGGAGTTATGGACTAATATAAGACCAGACCTTTAATACAGGTAGCTGGGAGATCTTTGTCTTTGGTGTTTTGGTAATTCACGGATTCGGCGGTAGACTGACGGGCTACCCTTAGGTGCCTCATTCATGAAGATGGAATCACAGACGACGGACGCTATCACTTCAAAGTCCACGGTGATAGGTACCTAATTTACCAGGCAGTGAGGGAAGGCGCAACGGGTAGATGATATATATTATTAACAACGCCTGTTAAGTTGCAACGCGTAACATAGAAAATAAATGGCAAACATAACACATCGTGTGAGATTATAGTATGTACCTAACCTGGTATCTACCTAGGTAGTTCAAGTCCCCGCGTTGTTCCAAGATCATCCCCGACAACATCAACAAACATGTTGTCGCCTAGGTAGCAGACTAACCTCGTTGCCCCTCAGTATTACGGGTCCCGTCTCTTGCCTCAGTCATTCAACTTTTATTTATCTACCCCGAGTACACACACGCACACATACACATGCTTATTTCCGTCGCGGATCCTGGTGTGCTCTCAACACTTTACTTCCTCTACAACCTTTCGCCTGCAAAACCACTTATCCCCCATCAAGTGTTTTTACCAATTCAGCATGGCTCACTTTGTTCCTCTCCCGGAATGGGTATCAACCCACATGCTCCCTAATGACCTAGAGGATGCCAATGCCAGGGTTACAGCCACCCAAAATTTAGTCGAGGTAAGTACTGCCATCGTTTAAGAACCTGCTCTTACTCTAAAATACCCAATACACTAACATTGGACATGATCTACCAGAATATACAAGCCTTCCTCTGCCGCTGCACTACACCCGCCGATACAATGGCAGTAGTCACCGATCTTGCAAACATGACTCGTGCTCTTCAATCCACGCTCAACGCCTTCGCGAATATGGACGTCAGAGCCGTCGACCTATTGGAGGTAGCTGCCCAAATAACGGATTCTCTCCGGTCCAAAATTCAGTACATCATCACGCTCTGGTTAGAATTCGCAGAGCTATTTCAGGGACGTCTGACCGCCCTCCAGGCCCTTGACAGCAGCATGGGCGAATAAAGGGACGCACTACTTCCAATGCTACATACTTCTGCCATCATACTTGAGAGCCCAAGATAGGATAAAGGAGGCGGAGGAAATAGGCATGAACTCCAGGTCATTGGTGCGAGGTAGCATTGCCGCATTATTACGTGGACTAGCAAAATACAAAATGATTTCAGTCCCAACTGCCGATATATTGTTAATGTGACATACTTAAGGTATTAGCGTGACTATAAATATCCGTATCCCTCGCGTAGTACTGCCAAGTATTAATAAGGAAGCTTGAACCTGAAGAACTCTTCAACCCTCCGAGAATTCTTGTGGGAAACCAGGGCAGGATCCAACTTATGCAACCCAGTAGTGACATCTCCAGATTCCTCAATCCTATAGACATATTTCAATCCGCTAGCCTGCCCATCTTTTAGCTTATTCAGGCCTATCAGAACACCATTTAACCCGCCTGGAATAACTTCATACGGGTGCCCCTTCAATTTTCCAGCTTCCAATAGACGCCCGAAATATCTGGACCAGATAAACCCGAGATCCTTATGCGTCGAGAAGACCTTGAGAGAAACGGTGTTGGAAACATCCACGCCATCCGGGAACTTGAAATCTTCTCGACCGTTCGCGAAATATTGGAAAGGTAGCACGGTGGCAATGCTGCCGCCATTAGGGTCAACAACCCGAGTAGTTACTTCGAACGACTCGCCCTCGCTAATTGCGTCGAAAACAAAAGGGACTTTGTTGCCTAGACCTTCCTTTGCGAGGATCTCTTCGATACCTGCGACTAATGCATCCTCGCCCTTCCGGTAATCAAGGACGTGGTCAACCAAGGTCTTTGCGAAGCCGCCAGCTCTGCCAGCAACTCCAATAATAGGACCAAGACCCGAGAGTCGGGCGAGTTGAGCAGCGAATGCGCCGCAGGCTGACGTGACGCCGTATATGAGGAAAGGCACTTTCTTCCCTTCTGGAAACCCCCTCTCGTCAAAGGGAGAAGGAAGTTTCAAGTTAACGTATAAAGCCAGCATAGCGGTGTGAGCGGCAGTAGGAATAGTTGCAGCCTCTTCGAAGGACACATTATGCGGAAGACGAAAGGTTGTCCAGTCCGGGGCTACGGCATATTCCGCAAAGCTGCCATTTGCTGTTATGGCTTCGTGGTACGCTGCCACGCGGTCGCCTGGCTTGAACTCATAGACATACTTGCCGACGGAGTGAACGATTCCAGCGATGTCATCGCCGCTGTTCAGAGGCTTCCCGCTCCTATGTAGAAGTTAGCTTTACCAATTCCCAGAGGTACCGGTGTTAACTTTAGGAAAATCATACCAGTAAGGGTATTTCCAGTCCTTTGGGTTCGTTCCGGAGACAATGACTTTAATGACAACATACTTGTCCCTCGGGGTGGGAATAGGAGATTCGATAACCTCGAATGCATCGAGAGAGCCTTGGATAACTACTTCTTTCATGGTGAGATATTGAAGAATTTAGAATCAGTGGAATTCTGAATGGTTGGGATTTAGCTGCTGTGAGATGTTGCTGGTAGAGTTAGCAATATCTTATTCATGAGCAACATACCTATATATACCCCTTTCTCTTACCATTCCCTCCCCATCGTTAGATCGAGGGTCCGCGGAGGTCAACCCTCTTACGTAGCATATTCGGAAGATACCACCAACAGAAGGAACACATTATTTGTAATGTCCTCTTATGATTATATATCTCGGAGATAACCATATACTGGTTCGTTCACCAGGTACGTCGATGAGGCTAACCCTAGATATCTGACTAATATTGTCCATCTCCCGATATTTCGTGCTCCATTTTAGTCAGGGGGTTGGTTGACAGGGATTTGTCGGACTCCGCGGATCCTAAGGCGGAGCTCCATGGACCTCACACCCTCATCCTCTATCCAGCAGTTCTCGATATCATCGTGTTATTATGCAGTCAATTAGACAGAAAGCCAAGGCGCGTCCGGACCCGGTATCATGTCAATCATGTCGATCGAAAAAGTTGAAATGCAATCGGATCCAGCCGTGCTCGAATTGTGCTGCACGCGGCATCAACTGTCATTTCCTAGTTCCGCCCCTGGGACGATCAGAGACGGCTGCTACAGAATACAATCCTGCGGATATTATAGGGCGTATTCAGCGATTAGAGTCTGTTGTTCTCCAGTCGCCTCCTAGCGATGCTCGTTCACAGCATGCGTCCGATGATAATCTTCGTCGCGCAAACCTATCGTCATTCACACCCATTTCAGGCCACATCGTGGAGCCCGACGTCCACCATAATCGAGACAAAGACTCACAGTTCCTAGAGAATATTGCAACAAGAGAAGATGAACTAGTATGTACAATAATTCCCACTTTATTTCAAGTACATAGGCCCCTAATCCAAGTAGATTTCTCCCTTATCTTGTAGCCTAGTCTTTAGAATAGGCAGAGCACACGAAATCCATAAAGAAAGAGTTGCTACCCAGCAAGCAGTAGCTATCCCGGATCAATATCTGTTAACCAATACTGTTGTGACATTTCCAACATACCGAGAAGCAACCCTACTATTCCAGAATTTTGAATCGAATATAGATCACATGTGTCGCATTTTACACATCCCTACTATTCGGTCTCTTATAAAAACGGTTTATATGAAAATTAGCCAAGGCGAATCTGTTCCGCTTGGACAAGCTGGATTGCTGCTTTCTATCTTTGCGCTTTCTGGGTTCTTCTATCGATGCTCCGAGGATTCCGAAATAGCAACTAGTGAACAAGAGGCCGTCCATATCTCAAAGGTCATAGGCAAGACGGCCTTAGATGTTCTAGACCATTCACGCAGGAATACGTCAGGTACATTGGAAGATGTCCAAGCTTACATCTTCATGTCTCTCCTTTCGTTCCATCTTGATGGATTTTCGGCAAGAGGCCGTCTTCTATCAACCACGGCGGCCTCTATTGCTAGGGATCTTCGTCTACATCGATTAGATGCCGAAGACGAGAACACTGCTGAGAAGGTGCCCAGCATTCGTGTTTTGATAGATCGCGAGGTTAGACGTAGGGTATTTTGGCATATTACAGCCGAAGACTGGTATGCTTCGCATCTCATATACTACTCTTTAATATTAATGTTTCCATAGGTTACAGTCAACTATTAGCGGACCTCAAGAGGGCATGTACTTCATCCATCCAAATCATATAAATGTCAAGCTTCCAAAATACCATTTCGATGACGAAATTTCCTTGAGCGAGGAGAATGAGTCCATAGATGGTCCTCCGCCAAGTGGCGTGGCTTTTCTTCTCGAAAGGATTCGACTTGCGCATCTGTGCAGAGAAGTGGCTGACATAGTGCCATTGGAGGCCTCAAAGGCTATGCAGATTCCATACGAGAATATCATAGCTCTGGACAAGAAATTACAAGATTTTATCTCAAGCCTGCCTTTCTTCTTTAAGACTGATCCCGAAAGTCGGGAGAAGAGTAGGAGATTCGAGACGGTATATCCTTACATCCCTCATATGAGATATGCCATCACCAACGCAGCTCACAGTAGACGGTGCAAGCTACACCAAAGATTTCTACTACGGCAATCTCGTGATTCTAGGTATTCTTACTCGAGACTAGCTTGTCTAGAATCAGCATGTGCAGTCATTGAGGGGTACGAAGATCCGGCCGAGTTTGACTCCCCTGCTTACACGACAGCCCGAATGGGACTGGCTATGCACTACATGCATCTTGCGTTGGTAGTTATGGTCATGGATTTATGCTTCAATAGGCACGAAGCAGACGGGACAGAGATTAAGGCTAAGGTGAGGGCGGCTTTCCAGAAGTTTGATGATGACAGACACATCTCTCCGCTTCCTAGTCGTTTCCTAAGTTCATTACGCGACGTCTTGCAGAAGCATGAAGTATATCTTAATCATCAACCCGTTTCATCATCCGAGAATGCTGCTGGCGTTGCTAGTGAGATCAACGCTGGCGGCTTCAGTCTTCTTCCTGACATCCAGATGCAGCCCGAGCTTAGTCTGGATATGCAAACCGCAGAAGGTGGCCTTGACAGTTCATTCGACGAGTTCTGGCAGTTTGCAAGTCAAAGCGAGATGAATCCCGATTCGATAACGTGGGATAACCTGTTCGCGGCTCTCGATACGAGGCCGATATGATGGAATTTGACGAAATAATTCGCCCAAAGGAAACCTTCGAGGAAATGAGGCAACGTTTCTCGAGTTTTTTTATATCGCCCCATACCTTGAGAAATTTATGGTCGTATTGCTATCTGCTGCGGAGGTTATTACGAATCATTGCGGTCCATGATCCTACGCGTATTGTTAACTCTACCTGTGCTGCTGCAGTCGGGACCGAACTTAAACGAGGTAATTTTTACCTCCTCGAATAAAGCGGAGATATAAGAACTTGGTAGTTTATGTATGGAGTGGCGGGTTGTCCTTGCGGGCCGTAGCCGATGCCGGCCCAATTAGATATTTATTCAAACGCAGCTTAGAAATATTAAAGAGGCTGGTCAGGAAAGTGATTGGCGGTTGGGTATGTGACAGAAGTTAAAATGAACGGTGGCCGCATGGTTCATTTCATAGAGTTAGGATGAATATTTCGACCTGGCTCCTCTACCGGAATACAGCTCCGTTATATCGACTCCAAGGCGGTTGTCCACTTAACCAAGATTCTATGGAGCGGTTAGGATTATCCTTTTAGTTCTAATAACTATTAAGCAAACGTCATAGAGACTCACCGATCTGAATACGGGTATTGCTTATGGAATAGTATCAACACGATGTCAAACTTAAAAATAAGGACGATGGGCACGCCAAGTACTCGGCTAGTTCGGGAACGTTTTATATCTCGTAATATAGAGTTTAACATGGATCAGGGGTAGGAAACACCCTTAAAGGGCACTCCAGTCAAATCTCAAAGGGAATATAACTAAGTCACCTCGAGGAGCTGCAATATAAGGAGCTATTTCTAGTAATATTAGCCAAGGATGTATCCTGTTAAGTAGAATGCAATTCTAGGGATGGTTAGCACTAAAAGCTTGAACACTTTCTAAATACGATATTGACGGTAGAATTCCCTTGTAGGGCCGAATTTACATCCCTTTCAGTGGAGGAGGAACTTAAGTTGAGCATGAAGGAGCAAAATTAAACGTCTTATGGGATATCTTAAATAATCATCTAGAGTTTATTCTTATGAGTTAATCCTTATATAGGTAGTTTTATTCTTGGAGTATCAATCAAACCAAGGGTTCCTTTTGGTAATACAATCATGCTGTGGGTATAGTCCACACTTTGATACGTCCGGACGAAACTACACCATGAAACATGTGTTTATTCTCCGAATCGTCGACGCCGTGTATATACAGATCACACTATAATCATGATCAGGCACTCGATATCTCATTACGGTAAGAGTAGTTTACACGACTCAGTCAGTCAGGGGTTGATCAACGTTAAATACGAGCCTCGCATAATGAACACATCATTCTTCTGTTCGAATTGCGTCAACATATTATATCTCACCAGACTTCGTGAGATCTAACAGCGCTATGCGGAGTCCTCTCTGCCAACCTCCCCTTCACAAACACCAGGATGTACATCCCCGTGCTAGCCTTGGAAGTGTGACCACAGGTCTTGGAATATCATCATTAGGCCTTCATTGTCCGTAGTACTGGATATGCCTGCGGAATGATGAGCCGCACCGTGGTTTATCCTATTTACTAATACAAACATTCATAGACTGTTAGTTCATGACGTTGCTTCTCGAATGTTTCTAAAACTAGAACGGAAATCAAGTTTTCAGAATTTTCTCGTATTAGGGTCTCCCTTATCCCCGAGTATCTGAGATATAAGCTCGACGGCCTCTGCCTTTTGCTTCAGCTTAAGTTTTCTTTTTCTTCAGTCTATAGTTTCGGGGAAACTTTTTATATCTGACCCCAAGAATTTTCGAAAAGGAGCCCGAGTGTTTGGCTGCGATAATACCGTTAAGATGATACGGGCAAGCAAGCCGCTTGTTCTGTCCTCCATAGTGAGCGGCGCATATTCCCTCGTTGCGCGCCAGAGTGGATGTAGCTTCACGCTTTCGACAGATGGCTCATTCACCGGCCAAGTCGGCCAATATGACGATGGTCAGACTAAAGGTGGACTTCCCGGAACTAGCGTCGTACAGTCTGGGTTTGTCCTGAATGGCGATACGATATCCGACTCACAGGGCCGCGTTTGTTGGTGGACGCCGCCGAGTACCGTGCTCCAATGTGACGTCGGCCAAAACTCCGAAGGCGGATTTGCTATCGGTTGCAATGGGGAGCTGACATACAATGGCCAGTCTACTTTCTGGCAATGCGCCACGGAAGAGGATGGTGTGGTGATCATATACCTCTCACCTGGAGGAAGCAACTGTAACCAGATTTCCTTGATAGCGAGCGGGTGTTATCCTTCATCGTGTGGTTCGGGTTCGGGTCCAGGCTCTGGATCAAGTTCTGGCGCTTCGGGAACTGCTCCGGGTATAGGCTCGACATACCCCGGAGCGAGCGGTACAGCTCCGTGGAGCGGTGGTTCGAATATACCCCCAAGTAAAACAGGAGGAGCTGGTCCTTCGGGAACAGGGGGCGCTCTTCCTACTGGCGGGGCCGGAACTACAGGACCTGGAGATACGGGAGCTAGCCCTCCGGGCGCCGGCTCGACTTATCCTGGGACGCCCGGCACTATGCCACCTGGTGGAGGCGCTCCCCCACCGTGGTCGACTGGTCCCGGAAGCGGCTCAGGTCCCTGTGTGCCGATGACAAGTACTGTTTTCGTTACCGTGCCAAACACGAACTGCGTTTCTACCGTTACTGAGTGTCCTGGACCACCAACAGTAGTGCCCCCGCCTGAGACGCCCACGACCACAGGAGGAACGAGCCCTGAAACATCGCCGCCGGGAACTCCCACAAGCCCAGGTTACCCCACGGCGGTTGTTCCTCCACCAGAAACACCAACCACCACTCAAGGAACCAGCCCTCCAGAGACAACACCGGAGCTCCCTCCGCCTGGAACGACCCCTCCTGCAACTTCTCCAGGGACACCCACAATTCCCACCACCCCGGGATATCCAACCACAGTTGTACCACCACCGGAGACGCCTTCAACTACGGGAGGAACAAGCCCCGGAACGTCGCCGCCGGAGACTCCTACAAGTCCAGGATATCCTACGACGGTTGTTCCTCCGCCAGAGACACCAACAACTACTCAAGGGACAAGTCCTCCACAGACTACAACAGTAGTAGAGACCACAACCACTAGTTGGTGTCCAACAACTTCAACCTCACCAGGAGAGTCGCCCACTACTAGTATTCCAGGTGTACCTACCACTACAAGTGAGACGATTCCAGGCACAACTCCCGGAACAACTCCCGGCACGACTACAACAGGTTCGTTCTCGACCACGGAAACGGAAGTTCCAAGCACGACACCCGGGGTTCCTACCACAACACCTGAGGTTCCTGGAACATCCCCTACAACGCCAAACGAACATCCCACTGGCCCATCGGCAAGAAATAATGCCCCCGAACAGTCCAAGGACGCAGCTTGGGCACCGTCTAAAATTCTTAGACGAGCGACAGGCCTTTTCAATCCTGCTCCGCGTTCGCTAACCTGTCCCGGCGAGCTGACCGGTCAATGGGAGTCACCAGATCTAATAATCCCCGTTGACAGTTCGCGCCCGGATGAGGCATACGGATCGTCTACCTCATGCGAGGTAACATCCACGATCTCCAGCATTTTCCAGTTCCACGTCCCGTCTAGTGACAGCGGTAAGACATGCAAGCTCGTGTTCTTCTTCCCCGAGAGGGAAGACGCACAGACCTCGTTGTCCGGCTCGGGAACAGTCGAGTTCTCACGGCTCGACGGCCACGTGGATCTAGACACAACGCAGAACAATCTCCCAGACACGGCGCAGAGCTACGACCGCCTCACCATCGAACCAGGCAACGCGTACATCATCGAGTCCTTCGAGTGTAACAGGAGCGAAGACGTAGTCGTCGAACTAAGCAGCGCGTCCGGCAGTGAAACCTCACTATGGTTCGCGCAAGACTCGACTGACGCGTGCCCGCTTGGCTTGTTCCTGGTGGCGAGCGCGTCGGGAGACGTGGAGTAGTGAGTAGCGGAGGAGATTAGAAGGAGAAGAAAAGGAAGAAATGAGAAGAAGAAATTGATTGGAATGCATCCATCTCATCTAGTCTACAGCACGGAAGCTGGTTGACAAACAGCGTAATAATGAAAATGTCACCGCACATACGGACGTAGGTAGGTATTAGCTTACGGCGTGGGACATGCAATATATGTACATGGCTTATATGAATCAGAATTTAGGAAAGGTAATAGGAATAGTAATAGGTAGCCATCATAAGTCAGATTATTTCTTTTGTCATCTATGACAATTTTCCTAGGTTTGAAATATCGTGTTTGTGATATTGTGGATTTATTCCTGTTTGTTGTTACGCAGACATTCGTCTCCTTTCAAGGGACCTACTCATTGACCATCTCCAGCCACAACACCCCTGAATTTGATCAGCAATGTGGCTAAGACATGTGGCTAGTGAGTACCTTTTTATCCCCATCACCAAATCGAAAGTCAAGGTGTTTTTAACAAGATACCAGTTATGATACCGGTATAATGGCCTCAATATTACGAAAGTTTATTATGGTTTATCTCCTGAGTTAGGAAATGTCCGTCGCAACCTCTTCTTCTTTATCCCTACAGAGTTTAGTTCCTAGGAGTACAAAGCGTCTGGGCGCAACACATCCCAGTCCGTTTACCCTCTTAGGGAAGACGTTATCGCGACCGCAACCTCTGCATCAGTAGCGCCGGAAATGGCCGGTCAAGATCGACCTCGTTGATTCGCTAGAGATTGTCGTCTCGGCTCGCACTACATAACCACCTGGTAGGTAGGTATTTACAAAGACCATGCCGTCGCCGAGCGAGCAAGAACCGCTACTTCAGCATAGTCAACCAGAGTCGAGCCGCAGTCAAACCCATCTCACTATGGCTGTAGCAGAAGAGAATCCCGTGCCGAATGGTAGCGGCGGTGCCGTTAGCAATATTGGACCTGACGAGGCCCGCCGTATATTGCGGCGCATTGATTGGCGAATCATGCCGCTTCTCTTCCTCGCTTACACCTTCAACTTCATGGACAAGACTATCTTGTCAAGTGCGTCGGTGTTTGGTCTGAGGGAAGATACTCACCTCGAGGGCTCGAATTATTCCTGGGTATCAAGCGTCTTCTACTTCGGTTACTTCCTCTGGGCGTACCCCACGACATTGTTAGTCGCTCGCCTGCCGATAGGAAAATACCTTGCCGCCAACACATTCGTATGGGGCGCGGTGGTCGCCTTAACTGCTGCATGCTCGAGCTTTGGTGGCTTGATTACAGTGAGATTTTTCCTCGGTATCGCCGAGGCAACTATTTCGCCGGCTTTGATGTTCATCACGTCTACGTGGTACACCCGAGACGAGATTCCCGTTAGGACTGGTATCTGGTTCGCAGGAAATTCTGTAGGAGGCATCATCTCGTCGCTCCTTGCCTATGGAATTGGTCACATTTCCGATAATATCCACCCGTGGCGTTGGATGTTCATCATTCTAGGCGTTGCCACTTTCCTCCTGGGATTTGGGATACTCTTCCTATTACCCGATACTATTTCGGGGACCAAATTTCTAACTCCGGAAGAGCGACAGTGGGCAGGGGACCGAGTTGTGATAGCCGGTACAGGTCGCACAGAAAATACGACCTGGAAATGGGAGCAGATGCGAGAGTGTCTGCAAGATCCCAAGACGTGGCTTATATGGTCCGTCGCACTACTCTGCCAGATCCCTAATGGTGGCACCCAGAATTTTGCAAACTTGGTTATTAAGTCGTTCGGGTTTACGTCACTTGAGTCGACACTCATTAATATCCCCTACTCCATCATTTCTGTGATAGCCATCTCCGGAACCGGGTGGATAGCCGGACGCTTCCGATCGATGAATTGTATCCTCGTCGGTCTTATTGTTATTCCACCGGTTGTCGGATCTGCGTTAATCGGGAGCCGAAGCTCGATTCCCCATGGAGTCTCCCTATTTGGGTATTTTCTTCTATCCACCGGACCGTCTGCGCTACCTCTACTTTTGTCTCTTGTCCAGTCCAATTTTCGAGGTGTCACGAAGAAGATGACTATGACTGCGTTGCTTTTTATTGCCTATTGCACTGGAAAGTATGTAAATGATCTGGGCCCTTGAGTTCTTTCTTCAGAGACCGCCTACTAACCTCCTTAGTATTATCGGCCCTCAATTGTTCATATCCGACGAAGAGCCTACGTATGACACGGCGTTCCGTGCAATTATGATATGTTACGCTTTAGTGATATGCCTCATCGCGATCCTCAGAGTATATTTACAATTAGTCAATAAACGGAGACAACGAGAAGAAGGGATACAAGGGAGCGCCGGAGCTTCTGGCGCTGTTGGTGGGGGAAAAGTGGTCGACATTGCCGATACACGTAATATGACCGAAGCAGCCAATGAGATTCAACTGAGACCAGAAGACTACGAAGATACAACGGACTGGAACAGTTTTGGGTTTCGCTACAGACTCTAAAGCACCTCACATACAAAGAACATGCAGCTATTAGAAACTTATCCGGAGTCTAGAGTTTCCTTAACCTACAATCTATAATTTATAAGGCAACCTCAACTAATACCCAACTTCCCGGCTTCCCAGCTTCCCAGCTTCCAATAATCATCGTCGTTAGTTCCTGATCTATACGGATCCAAGTTCCAATAGAGAATATGCGTTGGGATGACTTCAGGCCTAATTTAAAGGATGCCTCGAGTGCTTCCCAAAATTAAACGCATGATATTTTCTCTTCTCTCCCCAACATTCCAACTCTAGATCATTACACGAATGGTAATTAATTATTATCTCACATTACAGTACCATCATCTCTCATTAGAGACCTCCAACGTCCAAAATGGGTAGATATGTAACTAGATCGCCCGAGGAGAAAGTCAAGCGGGCTAAATTCGAGTTCCGTGGATCCTGTGCGAAAGCACCAAATGAGGAGAACATTAAGTTGCTACTCGGCGAAGAATGGTGTCGCAATGATATCAATATTACACTCTTGTCAAATGATTCTCATGCTTATAACTATCTAATTACGAAGCCCAAGGAAAACAAGCTTGTTAAAACTATCATACGAGTGATGCTACCGGTCGACCCCTATTTCAAGACGCAAGCCGAGGTCTCTACTATCGAATGGGTCCGACAGTATACGTCGCTACCAGTTCCCAGAGTCTTGATATTCGATCCAACTGGTACTACTCAGATTGGGCTCGAGTGGGTTGTCCTAGAATGCTTCCAAGGCCAAGTACTTCCTGTCGTGGCCGAGGTAGGCGAAGTAAATTGGGCTATGGTAGGCAACGAGAAGAAGCGGTCATTGATACGACAATTTGTGTCCTTCTATTCCGCGACATTCGATCACCAATTATCCGCAATTGGCAATCTATATATGGGCCGTGCGACCGGAGTCCAGGAAGAAGATGACAAAGTTGGTGTCATCGTCTCACCAGAGTTCTATATGAAGGAGAACCAGAAATATGACCATGGCCGTGGTCCATTTCGAAACAGCTCCGAGTGGCTCAAAACACGCTTGGATATGAAGCACAGAGACTGTCTGGCCATCCCGAATACAAACGGCGTTCTCAAAGCTGAACATATCATCGACCGTTTGAAGAGATTGAGAGAGAGGCTCTTTGATTCCACACTCTTCGAGCCCGCCGTACTCACGAACTATGAGATAGGCCCGAACAGTATCATGATGAATCACAATAGACTAGTCGGGGTAGTGGATTGGGAGCATACATCCGCTCTTCCACTATGGAAAGGGTGCGAACTTCCTAAGTTCCTGCAAGGAATAACACGTACCAAGGAGCCTGACGAGAGAGACTATCTGGACGAAGAGGGCGAATGGTTGGCTGGGGCCAGAGACGACTTCGCCAAGCATGTGCTACAATGGTCGCGAACAATGCTTCAAAAATTGTTCCTTGATGAGATGTCCCGGAAGTGTCCCCAGTGGACGGCCATTTATAATTCTCCCATTACTCGTCTAAGGAAGGACTACGACATCGCCGTGAGCTCTTGCGACAACTCAGCTACTCAAGCTGCAATTGAGAAGTGGCTCTACACTATAGAGTCGGGCTTGGAAAATATTCGGCTCCAGGACCCAGGAAAGGCTCGTGCGGATATCTCGAGTCTAGGCTTCACCGTTCGCAGCCTTCAGGATCGTATCTACGACAGCGCAAACGTATCAGACACAGCAAGACACCCCGCCGCAGGGCCAGAATCACATATATGGAATCTATCTTAATAGGGAAGGAAATTTTTTACAGACTAGGCCTCTTGCCTATTATTGCATGAGCCAACCAAGCATTTTTACAATATCCTCAGAGGCTAGCTCGCGAGGGATCTACGCTATATCGTAGCCGCTCGTGAATCATTACACCAATCACCTAACATGGTCAGAAGTACGGTGAAGGGAGCCCCATGAGGAGGTTGGACCTTATTACTCGCGGTATTATTGCTCGGAGGGGTCGAGTTGCATGCTTTCTTTGGGAAGATCCAGGACTAAGGTTCGAGAGAAGGTAGCCAATCAAGCAGCCATAGTTAATACTAAGCCAACCACCGCGTACCAAAAGAGCTTGCTTTCCTGGATCTCGGATCTAGCAATTTACAGAGGAGCACGGAACCGACCCGAGCGCTGCATGTCTGCAATATCGAATGGCAATGCTGGTAATTGTCATGACTCTAGACTCCCGGAGCTGAAGTCTAGACTTGAGCTCTCCCGCGTCGCCTGACCTTGCCACCTTGCCATAGTAGTCGGATCCCAAAAATAGCTTATTCAAATTGTACCACGATGGGATTCCAAGGCGCGGAATATGTCCAAAGCTCCACAAGACTTCTCTATTATTATTATCTTTTTCGGATACTGTGATGGTGTTCCCGGAGCCTTTCTTTACGATGCTACCACGTAAGCAGCTCAGGCTCCGGACGACGTCGTCGTTGCGAAGCTTGGCGGCGCGGACTCGACTTAGTCAACTATGAGAAATGTCACGATATGTCGTGTGTGTAACGGGGCGATTTGAAATATGGCGCTTTTGCTTGGTCTATTTGTTAGCCACCGAGCCCTCCCTTTTTGTTTTTTTCGTGGAGCCGATGGATGGTGATGATGCATCGTCGGCCTGCAGGCACGAGGTTATCCCTACAACATGGGGGTGGTTTTTTTTTTTCCTTCTGGGCTTTCCCCCCTGTAACCCCCATAGCCGACCCCTTGGTGTCCTTTTAGGGACGATGCTATTCGCTCTGCTATAATCAATGCGGGTAGAAAATGTAAGAAGAAGAAAAGCTTCGTTTTGTTTTTGCCTCGCTCGCTTCTATTTGCATTTTACCCCGGCTTTGATAACCCCCCCCCCCCGTAAACCACCCCCCTAGTCCGTCAATATACGGCTAAATGGATGGCGCGCTCTCAACGTCACCTTTCTGCTACCCCAACCGTCATTTCCTCGGCCCTTGCTACTCCAATTGATACCTGTTACGGCCTTCCGTTTTCCGAAACGAAGTGGCTGTTCGCGGGACGGAGGCTATTTTGTCAGCGCTGGCCAAGACTCGACGCTGCTACCGTATGTAGAATGCTTTCAAATACGCAATACGCAATTCGTAATTCCACGATGATCTTGCAGTTTAGACGGCTCAAAGCGTGTCTGTACCCCTTTTCCTAAGCCTTGCTGGCTGGTATCTACCTAGGCAGGCATGCGGGCCCCGGCCCGCACTCCTTGTTATATCGCCGCGCATCATTTTACGACGTTGGGATCCCCGGGGGTCGAAACTCGCTCACGTTATAATGAGCCGCTCAGTGGGTATTTAATTGCTAAGTGCCAGGAATATCTTCCTCGCATGTGAACTCATTCCTATCTCTGTTGCTTCCAATAGTCTTCCTAGATCAGGAGTGGCTGCTTGATACCCACGTGTAATCTGTAAGCCCCCTATAGAACTACCTACCTATATATCAGAGTAAAGATTCTTATCTAACATTGTGCACAGTACTCTCAAGTAGTATTCAAGGTCACGGTAGTCGAGTACTCGTCGAGACTCGTTTATTCAGCGTCGATAGCTAGTTCTCCGAAAGCTTCCAAGCTAAGACGTTAATATGCGTTGGAACTTGGGTTTAACATGCGCAGCTGCGCTCTTCGGCTTCGGTGCGTACCTACAATAAAGCATCTTGAAGATATCGGAGGAGTTTCAGACGTCAATAGTTACGAAGAGCCTTGGTTAACATTTACGGCGGATATTTGTTTATAGTATCCGAAGCCAGCGCCGATATATTCCGTGATCCCGACACCGGGTTCTCGTTTTCTCAGAAGGACGTACCGATTACGACGAACAACGACTACATCACGTTCCGCATTGCGATCCCGAGCCCCGCGCCCGCGGGCCAGCCCTACGATACCGTACTTCAGATCGTCGCCCCTGTTGTTGCTAACTGGGTTGGCGTCGCCTGGGGCGCTTCCATGCTGAACAACCCCCTGCTTCTCGGCTGGCCTAACGGTGCGAGCGGCGTGGTATCTATGCGCCGAGCGACGTAAGTTGAATAGTTGTTCACATATAGAAACCTACCTAACCTAACCTAACCTAACCTAACCTATATGCCTTATACTTTACCCCCTTTTTCTTTTAGTAAAAAGACACCCAAAAAACTAACACATCACAGCACCCGTACCGCCCCAGCAGTATACACAGGCGCCTCAGTGCAGCTCCTCAAAACGGGCACCAAGAGCAACGGCACGCACTGGCAAGTAACAGCCAAATGCACGGGCTGCACGCAATTCACCACCACGGGCACCACCACCAAGTCGCTGAACCCAGCCGGCAGCAACCGCCTAGCCTTCGCGTACTCCAAGACCAAGCCCAGCCAGCCCGGCTCCGACAGCTCGCCCATCAGCGTGCACGACCTCTTCGGCTACTGGGACCACGACTTCGCGTCCGCCGGCAACACCGGGTTCCAGGACCTGGTCGACAAGAACTTGTGAGTTTGAGTACCTACCTGTTAATTTACCTACCTACCTACCTAGCTCGAGAGGTGAGGCATTTAGGGCTAGGGTTAGGGTTAGGGGCGGGGTTTTTTCTTAGCAGACGAGAAAGGATGGGAGATGAATATGATGATGATGATGATGATGATGATGGCGATGAAAGAAATAAACCTATTATTTATTTATTTACTTTTCAAGCCTTGAGAACCCCTTCTAACACCGTCTTTGCGTTAAGAAATTCTTCGCTTACATACGTACCACCGAGAAGCCCGAATCTGCGGAGAAGGGGCGGCGCTGTCGTGTAGTAAGGGTGCGTGTTGTTTTTTTTTTTTTTCTCGATATGATGTAAGAGCGTGGTAGGTATAATATCTGCGCTGAGAATGGGGGTTTTTTGTAGGTACATGTATGTGTTAGGTACTTAAGATACCTAGGGGAGGAAGAAATTGGGGAGGGAGGCGCTTGAGTGATTTATTCTACTGTCGTTTCCGCCGAGGATACCGTACTTGGTGTATATCAAATAGATTATCCGGATTCGGTCTTACACTTACTATAGGCTTCTATATGAGAGAATATAACAAATTACCCCTAAGTTTTGTTCTGTCCCTCCAAAAGATAACGTCTCGACCTGAGGCTCAAACATGTCCAGGAAACTCAGTTGGTACTGTTGTGTCGACTGCAGAATCGGCATGTCAAGTGACATTGTGATTGAAGTATTTATAGTCTAAGTATTTATAGACGCATATACATATGTAGGTACATATGCGTCCCAGATAGTGGGAGTTTCACTCAACCCATTATATTACCTCACAAGATCACTCGCATACAAGATTTCCATGAGGGTCGATTCAAAATTGAAAGTATAAATTACGTGAAATGATGTCGATGACAACGGCTAACGTCTAACATATTTAACAATTTCAACAAAAACAAACATTGACACCAACGCGCGTGCAAATGAATGTTTCTCTATCTCTCTCGCTAGTACAGAGGGGAAATCCCACCAGCAAAGCTTCGTCGAGGAGACGATGCCATCTTGACCGAAATCAACTTTTCTCCGGTAGGATTCCCCCTGCCTATAAAGCTTCGCACTAAAGAAGTTCCGTCTAAGCCTTGATAGCCATCTCGCCCATGGGGAGAGCCGCGAGCCCTAAGATTTGTTAGTAAGGACATTCTCTTATACTTTGCGGATTTTCGATAGAAGGGGGGGAGAAAAACTTACATCCGTCAACATCCTCGGGAGATTGTTGCTCCTTGGTGCAGGCGTTGTACTGGTCGGGGGTCTGGGCGTGGATACCGGCGGTAGCGCAGTCGGTGTTGAGACCGCATGAGCCGATGTTGTCCATAGCCTTCTGGAGAGTGTCACCCTCCCAGCCGAAGAGGTAGTCACCGTGAGCGGCAGGGCCACTGTAGAAAGTTAGTTAATTACTTATACAATAATGGTCTTTAAAAATGAGGGTTTTCGGCTTACCCAAGGTTCATGGAGTAGACGTAAGGGTTGGAGCCGTCAGTGGGGAAGTCGGCGGCGTTGGCGAACTCGGTGACGTTCCACATCAGCTCGTACATGATCTGGGGGAGCTTGACGGGGTGCGTGGACGGGCAAGCACCACCGCCGGTGGCGCCGGAGCCTGAGCTGTAGGCGACGTGGCTCTGGTGGTCGGGGCTGTCCAGGTTCTTTCCGTCCCAGCAGCTATAAAGCAGGTCAGCAAGTTTGAGCGAGAAGTGATAAATGCGCTTATTACTTACGTAGGGAAGATGATGGTCTGTCGGATCATCTTGCAGCTCTTGGAGCTGGGGATATCAACAGTGTCGGAGCCAGAGCAAGGAGCACCACCAACGAAGGTGTTCTCGTCAGTCGACGTCCAGCATCGGTGGCAGATGTTTGACTTCTGGACTTTGTTGGGATCGGTGTTGGCGGCGTTACCAGCCAACATACGGAAACCCTATTGTTTCGGTTAGGCAATCTCTATCAAAGGGTTTTTGTTAATTATCTCGTACCTTCTTGAAGGCGGTAGTCTTGCCGCTGGGAATATAGTAAAGGTCGAGACCACCCTTGTTAATGAGCTTTCCTTGCGGGCCACCGTTGCCGACTTGGGGGACACGCTTGTAGGTTCCGTTCTTGGCCTTGTAGAACATGACGGCGGTCCAGTAGTTGGACTTGTCTTCCTTGAATGTGCACGATGTACAGGTGGAGGAGGCCAGATCATGGACCTGAGGGTCCATGGTGACGTTCAAGGAGTTACCACCGACCAGCTGGTGAAGATGAGGAGTGTACTTCATGCCGGGGTTGACCAAGGGGTCGATTCGGTCAACGACCAACTGGGAGCATGCGAATCGCAGCATAGAGTTTCCAAACTGGGCGGCGGCATTCTGCGCTAGGAGCGCTGCGGCAGCGAGCGAAGTCAGCTGCATCGTGACTGATTTCACCGAAGACGTTGATCGATGAGCCTTAAAGGGGGTGAGAATGAGTGAGACGTTGAGCGAGCAACGATGATTTGCTGAGAAGAGGCAGCGATATGCACGGTTGCAGAAGTAGAATCCGGGGATCTAAAATCTGGGGAAGTTCGCGATGCCCGTCGTACTTGTATGATCCGTGAGAGGGCTCTCTCGCTGGCTTGCGTCCACGAACTGCCGAGCGCGAAGAACTCGTTCGAAGAATTCTTTCACTTGGGCGCAGCAAAACTATTGGCTAGGATCATTTCCCAACTTGATTGGCATCGATTTCCGCATTAGGGGTCAAGGGCAGCCATGGCTCCGTGTGTTGATTGATCCCCAAGCCTTGCTTTCACCCCCTTCTGGCTGTATCTCATTTACCCGGTTATTTACACCTCCAATTATAGAACCGCGATAAATGGCAACGTAGTAAAAAGCCGCATCTATACTCGGAAATATGGGTCTGAACAAACTCGAATTCAATATTGGATGCGTCTTAGATGCCTCTTTGCCACTGACATCCGTATGTATACCAACACGTGTAAGTTAGGTTCGACCTGAATTAGGCTACCGAACATCATCTTCCATATCGCCTCGCCTGTTGAGACGTACCATGGTTGTAGGCACTATCGAGAACCTTCACCGTCAAAAGTCCGCTATTCTGGTTATCGGGTTACATGTTCTGCCTAGTCGACATCTCCCCACGCTACTGTTGACGACTGATCGACAACCGTGGATAGCCTTATGGCCGAGCGTGCGGCGAGGGTTACCATGATACACAAAGAGCATCCGCTCTTCACTATATCCGGTCGAAATCTCGGCCCTAATGTAGAGAGGAGGAAGCAGTGCCGAGACATATTATAGGCCTTGGTCCGGCATCCATACCACAGATATTATTGGGAACACATGCTAGTGTCGTCATGCCCGAAGAGAAAATAGAGTCAGTTGCCGGTTTGATTCGCCCTGGCGGTAAGCATATTCATTGGTGGCACGCCTAGACATTTATATTAGGCCATGGTATTGTCGTTGGTGCCTTGTGATGGGGCCGCGGGTGCGTGTGTGCGTATGTGACCTGTAAGATGAAACATGTAGCCAACGAATACGTTGCCTCGATATTGCGGCTGCTTGTCATGGCCTTCTCCTAGTTGAAGCTCCCACGTAATGATTCGGTTAACTGTGCCGTAGGGCATACTCCTGAGCGAGGACCACCATAGCGGAGAAAAAAGGGGGAATTCCAAATCATTCCATCGTATAGGAGAAACGGAGTAACTCTCTTAGATGACTTTGCATCCATAGTTTCCCAAGCGAAAATACCAACTCGGATAAGACATGGCCCAAAGTAAGCCCGAGAGAATACGATCGCCGATGGATGACTGTTGGGCAAGATAGATAGATAATAGCTTAGTCTATTGAGTCACAATGTAGTCTATAGGACTGCTTCAATCCGGGTTGAAGGGATAAAAGGCTCGTAACATTTGGAATACTCGAGAATAATCGTCGGTTAGATGGAATGATATTCCAGTTCCTACCTACCATTTGAGTGAACTTGTTACCTCATCATAAAACTTCTCGTTCCATAAAGAAAAACTCACTTACCAAGTTGACTAGTATATGCTCTGGGAATAAAACACGCAACTTGTTTATCGAGTCCCTTCATGGGTGGCGGCAAATCATCAAGGTTGCCACAAGAGTTTCCGAGCCTAAGCCGCGCATCGATGGATTTTTCTCTTTCAAAGCCCGAACTTGGTTGAGTCACAAGGACACTTAGAGTTCTTCGCTACTAACTCTAATGAGAAATATGCCTTCCTATCGATTGTAAACGTCAGCAATATCGGCCACTTCGGAGAGCATAAAGCGATTCGGTCGATTGATAAAATTAAACTTAAGCCAAACAAGCCGGCCTGTTAAAATCTGTTCTCTAATTCTCCAAGACTGACGACAATCATGAATACTTATTCTATACTTGACATCATCGTCAAGAACTACACTCTATAGGTAATACCACTTTCGATCTCAACGTTCGCTATATCTGGGTATCTAATAATAGCTGTTGCTTTTATTATTAGGTAGGTAGTCTAAGAATAAGAAACAGCATACCTGGGAATCCAACACGCTGGCTAGTGACTCTGCCAAAAAAACCTCGTTGGTGGCTATAGTTAGCCTTTCGGACTGGGTATGCCATGTGAGTATGCGTTGTAACCGGGCCACCCGCACATGAGATGAAATTTGATTAATTTTGCTGGGGATTAATCTATAGGGGTTAATCTATAGAAGATGAGCAGTGGTGGGGAGTACATTTGTTATCAAGGAGTAAGAAGATATTAATTATATGCGATCGATGACAAATAACTCAAATTATGTTTTACATGTCTTCATCTACGTTGCAGATTCTCCGTATCCATTTAATGGCAGTTAAGCAAAATCTATCATAAGTCGAGTGAGGTCAGTATAATCTTGCGTAATCCCCTCGCGATATCGCGACAATGATCCAACCCCATGGGGACTCGGCGGGGTTTCGCGAAATCAGCAACCGAGACCAGCCAGTCCAATCATATCGTATCTCTCGATCCCGAACCAGGCCGTTATCATGCTTGCAGCAGATCTCGGGAGATGCCTAAAACTGTCGGAATGCGACCCTGCCACGATCGGGTGCCGATCAGGCGGGTGAGGTGAGGACGGACCTGAGGGCCGGCGCGAAAAAAAAAAAAACCTAAGCATCTACCTATTCTGCTGGATTATCAATCCTGATGTAAGAACATTACGGCGAAAAGCAAGAAATTCGAATGACAATGACAAGGGGTAATAGCATTCTCGCAGGCCTCTTCCTTCATGTGACGGTCTTCGCCGCAGGGTGCATTGGACAACGATTAGGACCGTCTGGATCGCAGGTATGGTGCTTTTCATGTATTTCCCACGAGACTTCACTCCTACAAAATAGTACAGGAGTGTAGCATATCCTTATGCCACTCAGGGGCGGGAATTATCGTAGAACTAATGCTGTAAAAGTCTATCCCGCTTGACCTGTCGCCTCTCTACAACAATAAAGCATTTGGCACATATCCAGGAGAGGCTTCTTTCGACACTCTAGGCCAATCTTATCCGGTGCCGGATCTAGATGAGCTCTACTATATCTCAAGCGATACAGGCATAGGATACTCATTCCCAGGATACACCGGACCCGACAAGCCTGACAATACCATATGCGATAGCCAAGCCATAGCTGTACCCCCCGGGTCGTACTTCTCCGTCTCGTTCCTAGTCTCCGAGGACAAGGAAGGGGAAATAGTTTCTGGTAATGTGACCTTTACGTATACTGACAACAGCACGTCGGTGTATGAACTGCGCTCTCTGGACTGGTATAGCTTCCTGACTATTAATCGCGGGGAGCTAATATTCCCGAGTCGCTTCACCGCGACCGGTGTGGATTACAACACCAGCCATATATTTGAGCGAACTGCGCATTTGGACCCTGGGAAGCAACTTCGCGGTATCACGTTACCGGAAGCAACCAGCGCTGACGATGGCCGACTACATGTGTTCGCCGTTTCTTTATGGAAAGCCGCTGCGGGAGTAGACGTGCAATCTATCCGTCCAACTCAAAAATGGCTTAGCAGCGGTTCGCAAGTAGTTGAAGTCACGGTCAATAATGCCGGACCCGATTGCGTTGCGGGAGATGGGTTAACTCTATCAATCTCTGGTGAAACTCTTCGAACCACCGACAAAGGGCATCTCAAGCGGCTATGCCCAGGAGACCAGAAGATCGTGACAATAGGGGTCGATTCAAACTCTTCCAAACCACTCAACGCCTCAGTAATCATTGACGATGGCGTTACTCAGCGGTCTCTTGAATTCGAGACCGTACAATTTGGTCTGACCGAATGGACCACCGACCTAGACAACCTCGCAAGACACGAAAGCCCAGAATGGTTCAACAATGCCAAATACGGGATATTCATCCACTGGGGGCCATATTCCGTAACGGGATGGGGCAACTCATCACCGCACGAGAGCTACGCAGAATGGTTCTGGTAAGCAATACCCCTTAGGAATCTTTCCATTGGCATAGGTAAACACAGCTTCTAACCAAGACACCCAACCCAGGTGGTACTCGACGCACCACCCCCAATCCGACCCCTCCGACTTCTTCGACTACCGCCTGCGCACCTACGGCAAAGACTGGGCCTACGACGACACCTTCGCCAACTTCACCGCATCTAGCTTCGACCCGAAAGCATGGGTAGACCTGATCGCCGACGCCGGAGCCAAGTACTTCGTCATAACATCCAAGCACCACGACGGCTTCGCGCTCTTCGACACCGGGGACACCACCAACCGCTCCGCATTACACTACAGCCCGCATCGGGACCTACTCGGCGAGCTCTTCGACGCCGCGGCGCAGCACCAACCCCATCTCAAGCGCGGGACATACTTCTCGCTACCAGAGTGGTTCAACCCGTCCTACGGCCCCTACGGCACAGACACCTGGCCCGGGATCCTCGCTCCAAACCCGTATACCGGGGCCACGGAGCCGTACACCGGCCACATCCCCGTATCCGACTTCCTCTCCGACATCATGCTCCCGCAGATGGAAACCCTAGCATATACCTACGACACCGACATCCTCTGGTGCGACTGCGGCGCCGCCAACGCAACCGCCGCATTCGCCGCGCACTGGTACAACGCCGCCCGCGCCTCCAACCGACAAGTCACCACCAACAGCCGCTGCGGGGTCCCCCAAGCCGCCGACTTCGACACGCCCGAGTACCAGCAATTCGCGTCCGCGCAGCGGCGCAAGTGGGAAAGCAACCGGGGCCTCGATCCCTTCAGCTACGGGTACAACGGGGCCACGCCCGACTCCGCGTACATGAACGCCAGCAGTATAATCCACACGCTCCTAGACATCGTGTCCAAGAACGGGAATCTATTGCTGGATATCGGGCCCCGGGCGGATGGGACGCTGGTGCAGGCCGAGGTGGATAGCTTGGTAGAAGCAGGGGGGTGGATTGGCGGGCATGGGGAGGCGATTTTTGATACGACGTATTGGTTTGTGCAGAGCGAGATTGCTGGGGGGGCGGATGTTAGGTTTACGCAGACGGATGGGGCGTTCTATGTGTTTTTCTTGGAACGGCCGGTGCTTGAAAGCGGCGTTGTTGATATTGCGGCGCCGGTGCCGGTGGTAGAAGGCGATGAGGTCAGTTTGCTGGCCGTTGAAGGTGGTGAGAACCTGACATGGAGAGTGACGGGGCATGGCAGCCAGACGATACTCAAGATCGAGGTTACCGAGACACTGTTAGATAAAGAGAAGTTCAGCTGGGTGTTTAAGATCAAGTATGCATAATAATGCCATAGTTTACACCTGTTTAGAAACTACCTGCCTACCATGCTAAGATGCTGCATCCGAATATGCTTTCGTTAGGGTATTGAAAAGGATGCAATCTATTGAAATCAGTGAACGCCATGGTTGGCCCCAAATAGAAATCTTTGCTTCCACAGGACCACAGCTCATATATCGTAGCTCTTCGTTATTCCAGCGTCATCCTTCTTAGATCCCTAGGAAGATCAGGTGGACTCTTTCCATTTCGGTACTGCCACAATCGACTTAGATCCTTCACTCTGATCTTTCCGTCATCAATATCATCTTTGTTTTCGTAGAAACTGCCGTGTACTACAACTTCACCCTGAGCAATAGTTCCCTTTCGTCCAGCAAGTTCGATCAAGGACCAACTATTTTCGACAGCTTCGCGCAGGTCATCTTTTTCTGTTCCCTCTTCAGCCACTTCTATAACGCTGCTCATGAAGTCATTGCGGTCAGCACAGCCCGTAAATTCTCCCTTGGCATTTCGTTTGAGCGGAAACATCTCGTTCAGGTAATGCTGGGAGAACTGATGTCCGCCCCGCGGAGTAGTGTGTTTGAATACGCGTCCAATATATCGAGGCATCTCCGGTGATGCGCGCTCATTTGTTACGAAGTGAAGAATTCCCCATAGAGCGACAAAATCGGTCGTATGGGCGTAATGTTCGACATGAGCAATCGCGCGATCGGATGCCGGCACGGTATAAGCCGTCGCATGTGACGCGCTTGACTCTTTCGAGAGCGAGGTGAGAGTCGGGACCCGTCTATTTACTTCAAACGAAGTTCCACTACCGCTTGACGGTCGCCTCCTCAATGATAATGATTGGGCCTCGACTGGAGAGTCGGTGAGCGGGATTTCGGCAATGGTAGTGGGGATCTGAGTGCCTTCTTTTGAACATTTCTTTTCCATATCCAGAGAGAGGACATGTCGATGCGGATTGTTAAAATGATTAGAGGCATTCCCAAACGTATATACCTCAAGCTTTGATAAGAGATTTTGTGGTAGCTCTTGAAGCAGCCAGTCGAGGACCAAACCGCCTTCTATTCCACCCTGCGAGTGCAAAATGAAAACCACTTTGGTATATTGTGGATTATATAGCTTTTCCTTGATAATCTTATAAGCCGCACGAATGTCGCTTGTAGCGTATCCGAAATTACGTTGTACTAGACACTCGACAACGTCAAATATGATGCCCGTAGTTCGGTTGTGAACACCAATAACTGGTCGCTTGAAAGTGAGAGCTAGACGATTGATGTTGCTCTTAAGCCAAGCTTCTCTAGGTCTTGGGGTTAGCGAAAAATGGCACACACCAGAGTGTCATGGGGTCACACATACCCGACAGCAACGCCATTTAGGAAAATCCATTGCTCATGTGCATGCTCTTCTAGAGCCGGCGCATATTTCGGGTCCGAAGTGACGGTAATAGTTTTACCATTCAAGCCAAGGCATAAAAACCAGTTCAAAGTAAAGAAGGCCGTCATTCCCGCTGCCACCATCCAGACCGGAAATAAGACAGCCAAAGGCAGCGTTAATATGAATAACAACTGAAGGACCACAAGAATCGCGTGGATGATCATGCACCATATATTCTCCCAAGTAAACGAAAGCTCATCAAAATGGTCTCCGTCGCAGGGTCGGAGAGGCCAGATTATCCAAGGTAGGGCCCAAGCGAAGGTGAAGAAGTATCTCACATCCCACATCATCAGCCGCCAGGGCATATCGGTATAGCTGTAGTTAATAACGGACTCGCCGCCGACCTGCGAGCCGACAAACTCGGTACGATCCATGATGGGTCCTGATTTCGCTCCATTTGATCTCGTGAAGATTTTTGACAAGTAGAGAAGACCACCAACCATAGCAACGAGAACGCAGCTAAAGTAGACAGAAAAGTCCATAGAAGAAAAGAGTGACCCCGGATGGGGAGTGCAGCATTCTTTTATAACCCCCAGGATGCCCATATTCGTATCTTTTCAGCTGCACTACCTAGGTAACTAAGCCTTGCCCCCCAAACGTCGGTGGCACAGGGAAGATAAAGTGCACGGTAGTACCCATGGTGTCGGCAACGGCACGGAGTGGCTACTGAACCGTGACATCGTGGCTAGGGCCCTAGGTAGCGACATCTTACAGGGCTGAGGAACTTCGCTTCTTGGCGTCCATAATTATATTTATAACCAATAAGCAGTAGTATACGATGTGTGAGTTGGTCATAATTCGGGTCATCTGAGCTTAGACGCTGGAGCATTTTTGAGTTGTGGAGGGTTGGATACATAAAATAAGAGGGAGTTCTTCTATAAAGGTGCCCTTTCTACTCTAATCGAGCTCTTGATTCGTTAATAATCCCGAGGGGCTGTAATTAAGCCATTTCTTACGTATTTGCTTTTTTTCCTGGGGTAGGCAACATTACGTCATATAAATAGGTGGTTTTAATCAGATAGGTACACAAAGAGATACCTATATGTTAGGTACATACCTGGCCTTTTACTCATAGCAGGCAGCTGCCGCTATAAAAATCCAAGGCTTTAAGGATGTGTTACAAAGTCAGGTCGTACTACATGGACAAACCAAGTGCCATGTGACTCGTGCTCAGGGCAGTCGCAGTAGTATTAGCGCTATTACTCAGTTAGGTAGGTGCCCTACGTACCTGTAGGTCTCTAAGCTTTCTAAGCCTACCTAGGTAGGTACCTAAGGTAGCTTGTGGTTACATCAATTCTCTTTCGTCAACTTCAACCCAACTTCTTTAATCTCTTGACTCGTGATTAAATCAAAGCGAAGTCGATATAAACTTGGAGCAATGGACGAGATAATCGAAGAACCGCAGATTACTTCCCCGGGGACCTCGGTCGCAACGCCGAAGGTTCTTATCATGATGGCCGACTATGGTCATGACCCCACGGGTGCGCCACCTTTGAGATATCTATCTTGCGCATGCATAGTTCGATCTCTAACCAAACACTTTTAGAAACCGCCGTACCTTACACCGCATTCAAGAACGCGGGCTATAAAGTCCAGTTCGCGACCGAGAACGGAAATCATCCGCGATGCGACAAGAAAATGCTGGAGGGGTTTACTCAAAAGCTACTCGTACGCCATGACAGCTCATGACGGCTTACCAGATGTTTGAGCTAGCTATCCTAATATATTAGCAGGGCGCAAAGAAGGAAGTTATCCGCCTGTACAAGAAGATGGTTGTGAGCGATGAGATGCGCCACCCGCTCTCGTGGTCTGCTCCTGGCTTCTCCCTCGATCCCTTTGATCTCGTCGTCTTCCCTGGAGGTCACGATAAGGGAATGAAGCAAATCATCGAGTCGCCTATCGTGCATAAACTTGTAGTAGACTACTTTCCTAAGACAAAGAAGCCGAGCAAGAAGGTTATTGCTGCCGTATGCCATGGGGTCATGGTCCTGTCAGAGTCAAAAGATGCCAATGGCAACAGTGTCATACGGGATTGCATCACGACAGCATTGCCAGCGAAATTCGAACAAGCCGCATACTGGGGTACCCGGGCAGTCCTCGGCGACTACTATAAGACGTATGGTCATGGAAGCGAAGACGTTGAGCAATCGGTATGAAAGCCAAACTGCGAAACGACGTCGACGTTAATATCCAACTAAACCAATTCACAGATTAAAAAGGTTCTTGCCGACCCAGCCCAGTTCAAGGCCAGCTTAAATCCCGGCCCGTAAGTTCTCATTCGCCTCTTAATCTTTAAGGCTACGATCGTATTATAGCCTAGTCTCCTTCGCTCACTGTTTGTTTCTAGGTTCACTGTTGAGGATGAGCAGTATAATTACATCAGTGCTCGATATCCCGGTGACGCGGAACTATTCGCCGAGGAGATCATCAAGCTCTTTGAGAGCTTCCACAAAATTGTGTAGATGCTCTTATTCCTGCGTTAGCGCAGTCTCTTGATACCAGATTGTCGATACCCCTTTCAGTGGATATATAAGAGTTATATTTCACGAGAATGACCTAGCTATATATATGTAATCTAATACACTAATCCTTCAGGATTGAGATGATTGCTTCATCAACCCCCGATGCTACGACTACAGGTGCGCGCTTTTCATCTAGCCGGTCTATCCAACCTTTACCAACCCGGTCGATAAATGCTGCTTTTAGCCCTGCCGCCCTCGACCCGACGATATCGAACGGGTTGGCGCTTACAACCCAAACATCACTTGCTTCCCCCTGTTTTCCAACTTGTTCGACTAGATGATCATATACCCTCCTATCCGGTTTGAAACACTTTAAGCTGTCAACTGTAATTAACGATTTGAACCTCTCTGCGTGCGTTCCCAGTTCCGGCGAGGTTTTGATCGAGTTCCCAACCATCTCATCCGTGCCATTAGAGAATACGTAGGCATCCACCGAATCTTTATTGTTTTCCAAAAGCTTCAACGCAGAGGGAATTTCGGGGAAGACATGTAATGCGTCATACGACTTCATAAGGGTATCCGCGTCTTTCGCCGAGAGTGTCAACCCATACTCTGCCACCGCATGACCTAACGCATTGCGCGTTATCTCGCTAAATGACTTATATTCACCTAATACCCCTAGTTAGAGAATATTCGACGTAACTGTCGAGGCTAGAACGAAACGCCCTACCCATGCTATTAATCCGCCATGTATATTCCAGCTGGTACCGCCGCCACAAGGCAGCCAATTGTTTAGCTTTATCCTCATCGTAGATCTTAGCTAGTTCGTGAGCTATCGACTCGGTAGATAGTAGCGTCCCGTATAGATCAAACGCGATAACCGTCTTCTTGGCCGCCATTTAAGAACCGCGCTCGTTGTGGAGTTTCCCGGGGAATGAGTCAATTAGTGAAGGAAGACGACACGCTCACCCCATAACTCACCCGAGGTTTTGTTGGTGAGAACTCATACGCTTTGTCATCGTCATGAGTTGTCATGGGCTATACATTCGCCGGTTTATGCGGGGTAGCTAGATACTGGATTGGGATAGGTGAATTGATAGCTTTAAGCTGTGTTTATTCTATATCTTCATCTTTATTAATTCGAGGTAGATATAGGAGTTAACAAATTAGGCATCGCCGCGTGTATACTTCGGATTCATTATACTAGGACTCTCTTATATCACTTACATGCCCTGACATAAATCTCTATTCTATACTGTATTACACATGTATACAGATCTCGGGTTTATAACTACAGCATACCACATAATCTCAGATAAAATGTCAACATGACATCACTACCAGAAGACCAGCAAAGAAACTACGAGATCTTCCGAGACTGTCTCTCAGCCGCACTTATAGAGAAGATATCACGTCCCGAGCCAAAACCAAAACGGAGATCCAAGTCTAAGAAAGCCACTTCTTCTTCTTCTTCTTCTTCCCCAGCGTCGACGCAAGACATCGCAGACGCAGACCTCAACAACGCAGACGATTTAGCCGACTTTGCAGACTACATCGCCACCGAGACCTTCCGCGCCCTCCCCGAACAACTCAAAACCATCGATTACCACGAATACACCAACGACGCCAACCTCCAAGCCCGCTTCGCCCACCACCGACTCCCTAATCCACATATGTATAGCATAACCAGCGAATCCGCCCCAAGGCCCCGACGAATTCCTCGCCCCCATCCTAACGACGACGTTCCTATCTTCGCTAGGGACGGCGCCCCCCGCGCCACCCTCCCCGACGCAGACGACGACGGATGCGAGCTCTGCGGGCGGGACCTGGGTCCCGCTCTCTCGTACCACCACTTTGATCCCGCGGTTCGTGCACGGCGGCAAGGGGGCGTCAAGCGCGGGTGGCATCGGGCGGCGACGGACCTGGAGAGCGTGGCGTGGCGTGGCTGTGCGGGGACGTGCCCATCGGTTTGTGCATCGGTTTGCGGGGCGTGAGGAGTTGGCCAGGCGGTATTATACGGTGGAGTTGTTGATGGGGGAGGTTGAGGTGGAAGGGGCGGTGATTTATGCTAGCGGGGACGGTCTGAGATGTTGTGAGGTAGGTAGGTAGGTATGTATGTATGAGGTAGCTAGGAAGTAAGGATGTTTACTTGTATATAGGGTGGTGGTGATGATGATGATGATAGGGGCTCGTCAAGCTCTTGATTAGGGTTGGGGGGTAGAGGTAGAACTAGAATCTGTTTTATAGCTTGTATATACTAACTTTGAATGTTGAATATATCCAGTGTAATGTCGATTTATACTTAATAACATAGAAAGAATATATTTATAGTAGTGGCGAAATAAGATTCCAGAATTTAGAGTAATGGAATGGTCCAGATAATTTAAGGGGTATATGATGGACTTGCTACTCAAGCAATGTTGAGCACTTATACGGCATATACGAGGTACCCTAGACGATATATTAAGAGAAAGCTTACCTCAACCGCACTCAATTACTTACCTTCCAAGGAGCACATCACCCGTAAAGTTACGGTATTATCTACGATATAATTATTCCCGTATCGATATACTACGACCTACGCAGATATCAGGAACGCACCTTAAAAAAGAGTCCCCATAGCACCATTAAAGGCTGAAGAACATAATATGAGTGACAGAATAACCAGATACACTTCATTCATAGTTATCTGATCACCACCTCTTCGGTGCCTCCGCAGTACCCGACGAAAAAGTCCGACTCATAATATTTGCTCTCGATCTCTCCTTCTCAAGTTTCGCCAGCCCTGTCCTGTCCGTGACAGGCGTTGCGTTGATAATATTATCGAAAGCATCATCTCCCTCGTTGTCCGATCCGTTATCCGAGTCCGGTTCTGCGTCGGAGTCGACTTTATATCTTTGCTGTTGGAACGGGGGCGGTATCGCCTGCGGCTTCGGCTTCCGGTCTATCTCATCTGCATTGGCGAATGGCTTTGACGCGAGGACCTTGCGTCGAATCTCCTCCATTTCAGCATCGTCGTCGGTGTCGTCTGAAATATCGAACGGATCCCTGCTGGTCTCTCCCTCTTGCTCATCTTTTGCGCCTTCCCCTAGTTTTGGCCATTGAGTCGGCTTCTTGCCCAGATATATTCCGTCGACACTGTCGTTATCTCCGTCTTCACCTTCTTCCTCGTCATCACCTTCTTCCTCTTCCTCTTCGTCGTCCGAGTCGACGATAATCCGCCGATTAACGTTGCCACCTTTCCATAAATCGTCGTCGTCGGCATTCTCTCTGCTTTCGGCATGCTCCCGCTCTAATCGTTCCATCCATTCCTTCTCTGTCTGTACAATCTCGTCCTCGTCTGCGCAAGCTGCATATTTCTTCAACAACTTCGAGTTGATAGCCAGAAAAGATTCGCCATAATTGAATGGTCGTAGAACCTCCTCCGCCCAATCGGAATGTCCGCATATGTAAAACGAAGCAGCCAGAGCCTCTACGCAGTTCAACCGCAGAGGCTTTCCATAATTGACGGTATTTGCAGCGACTAAGTACGGTAGTAGGCGCTCACATTTGCCGCCAACTTTGCTCCATTGAACTTCCTGCGTTCGCGCCCAGGAGCACTCGACCACTGCGGCGCCGTACTGATCCATGAGCTCCTTGTCGGCGGGAGAGAGCTTGTGCTTCCCGTTAGGTGTGATAATGACACCATTGTGTCTTTGGCCTAGGTGAAGGTCTCGCATGAGGCCGAGTCGTATTAACTTCTTCCCTGAGCATCGTTTCGGATCGCAATGATTCAAATCCCAACAAGCAGCTTTAAAGGCAGGTTTAGTAGAATCCGATCCCTGTTCGGGATCCTCTTCGGTAGTGCGCGGTCGAGGTCGGGCGTTTCCATGACCTTTTCCACCTCGAGATGAGAATTTGTCTTTCTTGTGGCGAACCATGTTTTGGGGATATTTGTTTTCAGAATAGTAATAGCGGAAGAAAGGGGAAATAGGTAGCAATCGTCTATGTAGAGAATATGTCCCAATTGTATCTATGGACGGGGACTATTAAATTCTTCAAAATGATGTTGGATGACGAAACGTGGGGCAGATATCTACCCTGGACCCCGAAATTGAACCTGGCTCTTGGCGGGGTTTACAGCAGTGGATCCATGGATGCCCGCATGTGGATTTAAAATGTACAGCGGATAAACTCGATAGTCCGGTAGTACCTTTTTCTCGGGTACGGAAAGGTACATAGGTACAATTCTACGGGTTCCTTCGTCTTCTTCGCCGCGCCGCTGCCACAGCTCTGTGCCTACGGTGGCATATTAGTGCGCAACCGACAAAACAAAAAAGCGGATGAAAATTCGTCCGACTTGGCACTCGCACTATAATTACAGCACTTACATACGCTAAAGCTCCTTATAAATACAGGGCATTACAGTGGTACATTTGTTAAAATTATAGTGTTTAAAAAAAGTTTCTGAGGTTATATAATATCCGGGCCATTTTTTAATTAAATTAAAAAATTTAATTATTAATTTAATTTTTAATTGTTTTATATATTATACATTTAAATAATTTTATAAAAATAATAATTTAAATATTATATATAATTATATACGTTAAATCCATTTATTTTAATAAATTTAAACCATAAATTTAATATCGTTTATAAAATTATACTTTTTTTAACCATATTATTTTTTAATTAATTAAAATTTAAAACAATTTTTTAAAACAATATTAAATTTATAATTTAAAATAGTTTTAAAACTTTATACATTAAAAACATACGTTTAATATTTTAAAACAATAATATTAATAAAATTATTAAAATAATAATATTAACGCATATTTATAATAAATAATAATTAATTATATAATAATTATTAATTTTATTATTAAATTTATCGATTAAATTTACGCGTTTTAAATTTTTTAAAATATTAAAATAATTATAACGGTTATAACGCATTAACCGTAATAACGGTTATAACATTAATTATAACGTTAACCGTAATAATAACTGTAATAATAACCGTAATAAACGTTAAAATTTAATAAAAAAAGTTAAAAAGTTTAAATAATAATATTATTAATTTAAAATTATTAAAAAAAAAAAATTTTATACATAATTATAAAATATTAAATTATTATACTTAAATATTTTATATAAAATTTAATATTAAATAAATAATTAAAACGTTAAAAATTTTTAAACGTTAAAATTTAATATATAAAAACGTAATATTATATAAATATATAAAAAAAATAAAAATAAAAATTAAATATATTATTAACTTTAAATTATTAAAATTAAAATTATTTCGTACGTTATTATAATATATTAAATCATTATAAATATAATATTTAATTTTTTTATTATTAATAAAACCGTTAAAAACTTTTGTAACGTTATATAACTTTAAATTAAATATTTTTAAATATTTTACTTATAATTTATAAATATAAATATATAAACCACGCGTTACATAACGTTTATAACAAAATAAACGGGCGAAATTTACCTCGAAAATATCGGATTTAAAGTTATTTAAAATAAAAGTTTATTATAATTATAATAAATTTAATAATTTTTTTTAAAAATTAAATTAAAATTTTTTTACAATTATTTATAATTAATTAAATATTAATTAATTAAAATCTTTAATTTATAAACTTTATAATTATAACATATTATTTATTATAATACCTTATATTTATAAAGTGTTTAATAAGTAAATGCGCTATAATTATAGCGCTTACGCCAGCCAATCGGACGAATTTTCATCCGTTTTTTTGTTTTGTCGGTTGCGCACTAATGGTGCACCGTACTGTGCCACAAGCCAAGGTTCAAATGGGCCAAATGGGAAGTCGGATGCGACTCGGGAGTTTGTAGCCAGCGCTTCCAATTACATAGTGGGTTTAATGAATTTAGTGAATTTAGTTTAATGGGCGCCGCATTAAACACCGTAACATCTTAACCTACCATCTTAGTGAATGAACCCTTTTTGAGCTTCGTCACTCAGCAAAACATCATCGTTGCCAATGAATAAAAATACCAATCGTCGATCTCGCGCTACCTTATATCTATGGATGAGCTTATGGCCCTAAGCGCATTGCAATAAACACCCAATTATATCGTCTTATATCAGTTCCCGCTTGTGACAACCCGATTTGAACCCGTCAAGATGGAGGCCGCCTCCGCTCGAGCGGCAGCCAGAGATCGTTGGAGCGAGATGGGCTTCCCGAGACCATCCCAGCTTCAACGATTTATAGCGAGCGCCTGCAGTCCCGAGAACTACGAACCGAACCTTGCGCTGAACCTCGAAATCTCGGATCTGATCAATAGCAAGAAAGGCAGCGCTCCCCGAGAGGCAGCAGTCGCCATAGTCAACTATATCAACTCGCGCAACCCAAACGTCAGCCTCCTAGCCATCAGCCTTCTTGATATATGCGTCAAAAACTGCGGATACCCCTTTCATCTCCAGATCAGTACTAAGGAGTTCTTAAACGAGCTTGTGAGAAGGTTTCCCGAGAGGCCTCCTATCCGTTATACCAAAGTCCAATCTAAGATCTTGGAAGCTATTGAAGAATGGAGGAGCACGATATGCGAGACCAGCCGGTACAAGGAAGACTTGGGCTTCATCCGGGATATGCACCGTTTGTTGAGTTACAAGGGTTACCATTTTCCCGAGGTCCGGAGGGATGATGCTGCCGTTTTGAATCCGAGTGACGTGAGTAGGCCACAGCGCATTTTTTGTTATGTTGACCGATCCAGCTAACCGTTTTAGAATCTTAAATCGGCTGAGGAAATGGAGGAGGAAGAGCGAGAAGCACAGTCCGCTAAGCTACAAGAACTAATACGGAGAGGTGCCCCAGAAGACTTACAAGAAGCAAACCGACTTATGAAGATTATGGCCGGCTACGACACGAGATCTAAGACAGACTATCGCGCGAAGGCAGCTGAGGAGGTTGGCAAGATCCAAGCCAAGGCGCGCCTACTGGAGGAGAGGTTAGCAGCGTTCAAGCCGGGCGATTCCATGAAGGATGGCGACGTCTTCGAAGAATTGGCCTCGTCGCTACAAAGCGCGCAGCCCAAGATCCAGAAGATGTGCGAAGAAGAGTCCGACGACCACGAAGCTGTAGCAAAGCTGTTCGAGATTAACGACAGTATACATAGGACAGTCGAGCGGTGGAAGCTCCTCAAGAAGGGCGATATAGAAGGCGCCAACAAGATAGCCGCGGGCGCACCCGTCGCCACATCATCCGCGACGGCTGGGAAGTCAACGTCGGCCGCAGGCGAGCTGTCGTTAATCGACTTTGATGGGGATGCTGCAGCGAACGGTTCCGGTAACAATGCTGCCGGATCGAGTTCGCAAGCTGGCGGTCTCGAGAACGATCTTTTAGGTCTCTCCCTAGGAGATAGTAGTAATAGTTTCGGTCAAGGTGGTGGAATATCACTTGGCTTCGGGGCAAATCAGAGTATGTCAGATCTACTTTCTATTAAAATGAAGGGTATCGCTAATCTTCGTCTAGATGTTCCGGGGCCTGCTTTGCTGTCATCAGTAACCCAACATAACAGCGCAAGAGCGCCGTCTCCTACTCCTCCGCCCTTTTCTCCCTTTTCAGGATTCACATCGAATCCCGCGGGATCCCAGTCGAACACTCCGCAACTAAATCTATCCCAACAATCTTCATTCTCCAGGCCACCACCCCAGAAGGCACCCGCTCCCATCGATCCTTTCGCGGCTCTCGCTTCTCCCCAATTCTCATCTAAGCCAGCTACCCCCAAACCCGCAGCGCCTCCTGCGACAGCTGACGACGATGAATGGTCGTTTTCTTCCGCGTTACCGCCCGAATCTTCCCTTCCCAAGGAACTCCGAGTAGACGTTAAGGACGGCCCCTTGCAAATCCATCTCAACGCAGCGAGGTCACGGACGCCAAGCGCCCTTTCGCTAGTCTTTCTCTTCTCCAACACTACCGCCGCACCTATAAGCAATCTTCACTTCCAACTAGCCGTGACAAAGGTGAGCTAGCCCCATTACCCCTATCCCAAAATATTAAAAAAAAAAAAGTAGCTAACAACCGCAGGGCTTCGAACTCCAACTCCAGCCGCAGACGGGCCGCGCCCTGCAGCCCAAGCAGACGGACGGCGTGTCCCAGTCCGTCGAGGTGTTCCACGCGGGAGACCGGGCCAAGAAGGTCGACAGCATCAAGCTCAGGTGGCGCGTTTCTTACACCCTGGGCGCCGAGAATAAGGCCGAGATGGGCGAGATACCCGAGTTTAGCATCGCGTGAGCTGGCGGATGTGATTCTACGACGATGAGGATAAATAGGTGGGGATATAGGGGGTAAGAAGGAGTGTGGGTGGGTGGGTGTGTGTGAGTGTGTGTGTGTAGGAAAGGAAGAAGTGCAAATGCAAGTCGGAGTGGAAGTGGAATGGAAAAGAAATGTGGGGGTAATAGTAGATTCGAATGAACAATTCCGCGTTGACGCCCCTTCTACATATGATTCTACGTTTTCTCTTCTTCTGTCTTTGTTTAATGGTGAATGTTACGGCGCGTAGATGGGTTGATCCAGGCCAGGGCCTTGGCTCTTCGAGACTTGCGCTTACTCCGTTGCTATGTAGCTCTATGTATCCTCTACGCCATCGCCGTCCTCGTTAGGCAGACAGCAATACTCTTCTTCTTCTTCTTCTATATAAGTACCTACCTAAGGTATATTCTCCCTTCATATCTAGGTATCTAGGTACCTACCTAACTCACACCCCATTTCCTTCGCTTAAGTAACAGCCCATCAAACTCTCGAGACCAGACGACTTGAAAAATGATGCTTTACTTCAGAGGTATGTAAGGTATGTAAGGGACTTTGATGCTCATCAATTACAAGATTTACTTACATCAAAGTCGAGATTCCCTGGAACTAGAAGAATACATACATACCTAAGTTGCAAGTATATTGTTATATTCCGCATTTCATCGAGGCCATTTCCAATTGGAGAGAGTTGACAGGTGTATATATACACGACAATACCACATGCAAATCCATATGTACAAGCACCCGAGTAGGCAATGCCTGCCTAGATACATTACTCGGCCCAATATGGTACAACTGACGGGAAACGAGTACCGCCCCCAAGTCCCCATCATGTCCTGCCTAGTTCCATATGCTCTTTTCTTCTACCGATGTATATATATATATATATATATGAACGTGACCAGCCCCCGATATGCAGTGCACCGTCTATCCATGTTCATATACACCCATATCATACAAGGCGTTCCATAGTTTATTTCTAGGCTAACTACCTAAGGTAGTTAAACCTCTCATGCAACCTCCCTCCAGCTTCTAATAATCGTCGCTATAGCCGACTAGGTTAGTCACTCAAAAGCTGCGCTCGGTCCTAACCTCCTCGTAAGCCTGAATCTGGTCGCCGACCCGGAAGTCCTGGAACTCGTCGAAGCCGATACCGCACTCGGTGCCCCTGCGCACCTCCGCCACATCCTTCTTGAGATGCTTTAGGGTTTCAAGTTTGCCTGCATAGGGCGTTAGTACAAGAACTGGGAGAATATATATCGGCGCGGGAAGAACCGAGAAGAAAGGAGATGTTGAAGGAAAAGGAATAAAAAAGGAGAGGGCTCACCGTCATAAATCTTCTTCCCACCCCTGATAATACGGAAGAGATTATTCCTCGCCACCTGCCCGTTGCGCACCCTACACCCGGCAATATTCTTATACGTGCGGCCCTTAATATTGATCGGGAAGACTTGCAGCACCTCCGCCTCGCCCAGCACGCGGCTAGTGATCTCAGGCTCCAGGTACTTGCTCAAAGTGGCCTTGATGTCGTCCACCAAATGATAGATAACAGTATGGTCCATGATCTTCACCCCCTTCTCCTCTGCCATCTGCTCGATGTATCCCGGCGTCGTCGTAGCGAAGTTAACAATCACCGAATTCGACGCTGCCGCATGCTCTATGTCGAACTCGCGGATGGGGCCCGTGCCTGACCGCAGGATGCGCGGCTGCACCTCGTGATTGCCTAGCTCCTGGATCGCGGCGCATACTGCTTCCACGGAGCCGTGGAGATCGCCCTTGACTACGAAGTTGACCGTCTTCGGGCCGTTATCTTCTTCGGGTAGGGGCTCGACAACCGCTTCGTCAGCTGCGGCGGCCTTCTCGCGAGCACGTTTTTCTTGGAGTGCTTTGCGAGCCTCAGATATACTTGCCTGAGCGATAGCGTCTTTCTCCCGCTCGAGAAGACCCTCGCGGTACTCTACCGCATCTTTAGCACGACCCTCGTCGGGTGCCTGGATAACTTGGTCGCCTGCGGCAGGAAGATCTTTCCAGCCTAAGATTTCGACCGGAGTGCCAGGCGGCGCCTCGTCTATATCAAGACCAGCCTCGTTGCGCAGGTGTCGGATCTTTGCCCACGTGACACCAGCTGCGATATAGTCACCCGGTCGCAGAGTACCTCGCTTGACTAGAACGGTGGCGGCCTTCCCTAAGGGCTTAAGGCTACTCTCGAGGACCCAACCTTCTGCGGGGCCGTCGAGTTCAGCTCGATGGTCCAAGATTTCAGAGAGCAGAAGGATGTTCTCTTCCAAGTCTTCCATACCCTGGCCCGTCTTGCCACTCACGCAGACAACTTGGACGTCTCCACCAAAGTCTTCGATCTCAACTCCTTCACGCGCAAGGTCATGCTTAACCTGATCTATACGGGCGCCATCCGTATCAATTTTGCTTATAGCCACAATCATCGGCACCTTAGCCGCGCGCGCATGTTTAATAGCTTCAATTGTTTGTGGCTTGACGCTGTCGTCCGCGGCTACGACCAAGACGACAATATCCGTCACATAGGCACCTCGTTGGCGCATCGTAAGGAAAGCAGCGTGTCCGGGGGTGTCAAGAAAGGTGATGGGCAACCCGGAGGAGAGCTTCACAGAAAAGGCACCGATTCGCTGTGTGATACCGCCGTGCTCCTGAGCTGCTATAGACGATTTGCGTAGATAATCAAGCAGGGTCGTCTTTCCATGATCAACGTGACCCATAATTGTCACAACCGGCGGTCGTAGTGGCAGAACCGACGGATCTGCAGGTGGAGGGCGAGGTTTGAGGTCATGTTCCGCACCAGACTCGACTGTCGGCTCGAAGCCATACTCCTGCGCAACAAGTGCAGCTGTTTCTCCTGCCATAAGGCTGTCCAGCGTTACGCCCTCGAAGCCTAACTCGCCAAGTTGAGTCAAGAATAGATCGGGTTCAACCTTCAATGCCTCGGCCAATGCTGGGATGCTGATTAATTCTGGCAGTAAGATGGGTACCGCACCGGCCCTTTCAGCTTCGCGTTCCGCTCTGCGTTGTGCCTTTTGTCGACGCTTCTCTTGATACTGGTCGTAGTCAAAGCCCCCCTCGTCATCTCCGTCGTTTCCGCGCCTAGAACTACGCCGTGAACGCCTATCACGACCTCCGCCTCGCCTCTCCTCATCGAACGAACCCAGTCGATTATCACGGCCACGGTCTCGATCCTCGCCCAGGAAACCAACACTAACTTCAGGTATAGCCTGTGACTTTTTCTCTGCATCTTCTTCGACCGAGGGTTCTTCCGCTCTAGCTCTCCTTTTGGGTTTCACATTATCAAATTCTTTCCCCCAATCGTCCAAATCGGATCCCGTCTCTTTTTTAACTGGGTCGCTTTGTATAGCATCCCAAGGGTCCTTTTTGGGAGGCTGCGTCGAATTTAAGTCATTTTTGTCATCAGACGTTTTCGAAGCTTGCTCTGGAGCCGTTGAGCTCTGAGGCTTCGGCCCTAGAAAGCCACCAGAACTCCTATTCATAATAGCCCAAAAGTCCTCACCATCAGATTTACTAGGCGTTTGCTTTCGTGCTAATAAGCCCCATCCCGAATTGTTGTCTGGCTTAGGAGATGGTTTAATAGTATTATCCGGAGCGGCTTGGGACGTCGGTTCTGGCGGCGGCTGTCGATCCTGGTCTGTACTGGGTATTCCCGAATCCTGGCTCGTTGCCCGTACTGGCTCGGGCCTATCATCACGGGATATAGATAGTACTTTCTGAAATATATCCCGGTTGGGTGTGATGATATTTTTGGCATCGTACTTTGTTATTATGTTTCCTAGAAATCTAGAATTTGACCCTCTGTCTCCCTCCCTCCTGGAATAGTTGGACTCCGGCGAACGGGATGAATTAGGCCCTAAAGTGTCGGGGAAGTTAGGTTGAACAATGGGTTTAGGAGCTGAGTTAGGCCGTAAGGAGGTAAGAGGCGTACCTGAATTGAACCCCGAAGCCAAAGGACGCCTAGCAATCACACCCGGCCTCGCGCGATTCTCACTAGGCCCGTTGTCTCTTATAAAGGCGGGGTTTTTTTGTATAGTCATGCCATCTCTATGAAGGCTCTCCTCAATCGCCTCTTGCTTTTGTGCGTTCCATATAAATCTCGCCCGGGGGCCATTATTAGCTGGCTTCGGCTTCGCGGCTTCGGCAGCCTGCTGGGCTTGCTGTTTCGCAAGTAGCTGCTGGCGTGCTAGGAGCTCATGCGGGGAGAGAAAGTCATCCGGCTTAGACTGCGTCTGAGGCTTAACCTGACTTCCCCATCCGCCGCCCCATCCGTCATCGCCTCTCAAAATCGTTGTGTTTGAAAAGTGTTTTTCGGTCCGCGGGGTCGCTGGCCGTAGCGAAAGCCGATGTCGACAGAAAGCGCATATTGAAGACTCCCGCTGCGCAACATATTAGTTAGCTTAGAATCAGATTTAAAGTAAATATAAAATATAATTGGAATAAATTCAACCAAAATGAAGTGAACTAACCCCTGATACTCTCGCTCTCAACATGGTGAAAGTGGCTGCTTCATATCGTCATGCGACTTTTTGAAGCTAGAGTAATCCTAGTCGAGTTTTATCGAGATAAAAAGTTCCGTATCGCAAGCGGCAACGCACGTCAAGTCGGATACCAAAAACTTTTTAGTGGGACCAAAGGGATGAAGCCGCGGGGCCATCAATGCCAAGAAAACGGATCTGTCAGCCACGAGAAATGCAGGGGGTACCTAAAGTGCCACGGAACGGAACAGGGGTAGCTTCAGCCACAACCCCTGTCATCTCGAATTTTTGACAACTTTCATCCCCTATCTGACCGATCATTCATTTTCAATCATTAACTCTTTTTTCCTATTTTCCTATAATTCTCACTACTATGGCTCGCCAAAGAGGCTCGGGGAAGTCGACTTCCACCAAGAAGAAGGATACCGGCCCGCCAGCCCCCTTTAAGAAACCCCCCGATGTCCTGCAGCCTTTCATCGAGACGCTCGATGAGAAGTGCGTATATATCACACACATCGACAACCACCAACGGAACTTCAAGCGCAAGATCTTCGTTGTCCCCGTGCTCATGAACATTGCCCTAACAGCTGCCCTGCTATATCGCATATGGTACATTGCGCCTTACTACCTACGGATCTTCGTCTCTATTCTAGGCTATTTTAATGAGACCACCATGGTTGTCGATGAGATGGAGTGGAACGAGATCATCCCCGAGGTCGCCAAGCGTGCCTTCTCTTTCATGCTGGACTTCCTGCTTGTTGTATTTGTCTGGTCCTGGCCTATCGATTTTGTTATTGGCAACGAGCACGGAAGCCCCGTCATGTGGCGGTGGAACGTCGGGTTCAGAAACCAGGAGGTTGTCGTGCGAAGAAGTAGGAAATGGGTCGAAACTACTGGCGACTTTGTCAACGACGAAGGGGCAAGGAGCCTCTTCATATCGCGTATCAGTATGGCGACAGCACCTATGCTTATCAACGAGAAGACCGGCTACCTTCTTATGACTGCTGACTGGGACCTGGACTGGGCCGCCATGGTTGACGCCACTATGATGGTGGACGAGAAGATGGCTGCAATAGAGGCCTTTAAGACGGTCATCCTGCTTTTCCACGAGAATTACGGATGGCTTTGCGTGGACACGACAGTTGGTGAGAATGATGTGGAAGACGAGAGGAGACGCCAGGTGTTCGCGTTCAGAGATGCACTTGCTGCCGTTGGCAAGGAGGCTCTGTTTTACCGCTGGATTGAGATAATACAGTTTGAATCAACACGGCCTGGTGGTTTCACGACAGATAGACAGGAAAAAACTGCACAGGAAATCAGAGATTTGTTCAACAAGGAGGGCATCGACTTTGATAAATTTTGGGAGGAGAGTGTGGGCCAGAGTGGTCTTGCTACTCCTGGGATGTAATTGATATAGACAGGAGGGTTTAGAATAGACAGGTATATATACTATTATGCACATTATGCAGATATTCGGGTTAGTTTAATGGTCAACAAGTTCATTCATACCAACTGATTGATTCATTATTTGGTTGCTAGCTTATGTACCTATGTATAGCATCACATAGAGAGAGTACATGTAAGACGTGCGAATGCTCAAGTAGACAAGTTCAGCTGCATAATCCTGCAACATACGAAAATGAAAAACATTAGTACCCATCGGGTTAATAGACACCACACAAGTGAGTTTCACAAAACAAGTAAAACTAAAATACCAAGACAGAAAGAGCACATTAATACCAAGGAACTAGCAAAATGGGACATTCACAACTACGCACACAAGACAAGTATTAGAGACAATAACCTGCAAGGCAACTCAAGAGTGTTTTATTGATATGCAATGTGAAATGGCCCGAATGATTCAAGGCCATGCAGACTACGCCAACCGCAGTCCATCATGAATGGTTACGTTCATTTAGTTGACTTTTTCTTTCCTCCAACACTCTTGCCCAGGGCAGCCTCGCGTTTCTTTGCTTCCTTGGCCTCAATCTCAGTTCTTCGGGCCTTCTCCTGTGCCTCTCTCTCTTCCTTCTCAGCCTAGATTCACACGTTAGTAGACTATAATTGTATGTGTTAAGCGCTTATGATTACGAACCTGCTTTCTCGCAGCCTCGGCGTCTCGCTTCTCTCGGATGAGTCGTAAACGCGCCAGGTCAGCCTTAGCCTCGTCTGTCTTGCCAGCCTCGTGAAGTTTGCGGTACCTCTCCTTGGCTTGCTGGGCTTCTAGGGTTTCGCGCTCCTTTCGACTCATGGTCGACAAGTTCTTGACACCCTCGGTAGCCTCCTCAACATCGTTAGTTGACAACGGGGCCTTGGCCATGTTTCGTGCAGCTTTGGAGTGGTTCGGGTTGGCAGGCATATCGTCATCTTCCTCTTCAGATTCAGAATCAGTAGGCAGGTCGCCGACTTGAACAGTCTTGTTCTTCCTGGCAATAGCTGCCTCCTTCTGGGCCTTCTTAGCCTGTTTGCGCTCCTCTCGAGTTAACTCGGCCGTCTGTTGGGAAGGGCCAGCATCGTCGTCGTCCTCCGAGTCTTCCTCTTCAGAGCTCTCTTCCTCATCGTCGTCTTCGTCATCCTTTTTGGCATTTGCGCTCCACATGCTGATCTCATTACCATCAGCGTCAAGGGGTCGGAGGTCACGAGAGAAGTGCTTTCCGCCTAGAGAAAGGAAAATTAGTGACCGAAAGCTTGTAAATCGAAAGGGAATTTTACTAAGGACATACCTCCTCGAGTGAACTTCCTAAACTTGCCTCCACGGCCACGAGAATTGCCACCGGGTGCTCCTCGTCCAGACATGATGACGGCGTTGAAGGATGGTAGTAAGAATGACGATTGGTGGGATGGCGGATGGCGGGGTAGATAAACCAGGATCGCGACTGGAAATAAATACGGTATGGCGCAAAACAATCCAAGTCAATTTGATTGTGAAATTGGAAGGATTCAAGGTTTTAGTTCTATTGTTCGCAAACAGTGAGTAAATAGAAACAAGAAAAGCAAAAGAACAAGTTATAAAATAAAAGATAGGTTGTTGAGATGAGTAAAAGACGTACCTGAGTCAAACGGCGTTGGTGGAAGAGGGGCAAAAAAACCACACGACGGTGGTACTCCAACACACGCGATAAAGCCTGGCTCTTGCCGTTGCAGTTTACTATTAGCGCCGTTACTGTAGTAGTCACTGCAGTCACCGCTGCACAGGGCAGTCAGAAGTCCCTAAGAACAAGGCCTGAATGGTGGGGTATGTAAGCTGCTAGCACGCTATGTACGTCGACCATCAATTATAACGCCATTGATTGGCCAGCGTCCGATTAGCTTTAGACACCAGCACATGGCTAGCATGTAAGCAAGTTACGTTCATGCTTATTCGACAAAATCTAATGGAAAAAGGTTATGCCGCTAAGGCAATCCAGTCTCTAAGCCCCACTTTACCAATCCAATAAAAGTGAAATTTCTTGCAACAGCCTTTTCTTCTTTTCTTCTTTTTCTTTTCCTCATCATAAAACTAAAATCCTTCATATTCACTCTGGCTTTCGTCGCTCTTCGGAGCTTTTCAATGGCAGGTCTTGGAGGGGAAATTGGAGGAGAGAGGGAATTATATTCGATCACTTACCCTCTGGCCCGTTGTGGTTCCTTTGGAGCTGCCGTTGGGTACCAGAGAAATATTTTGCATCGATACATGCGTCCGTATACCTACCCAGATAGGTTGAAGCTCTGCAACACTTGTGACGGTTAACAACTTGTTATTAAATGAGTAGACGATGTTTAAAGGGCATGATGGTGGTCAAATGAAAGAGGATGCCACTCGGCCTACATGCTTACATTTTCTGGCGTTCATGACTTCGAGATTGATGTGACACTAAAGTTTAATGCTATATCAAAATGCCATTGGCAATTTGTTATAAGGAACCGACTTTGTGTCATATCCTCCTCTATCTGACCAACCCAGTTGGTTTAGCAATAGACTGAGGAATGGCCTCGATATTGAGGAGACTGGTCTGATGCTTAATCATTAAGTCATACGTGCATCCTTATAGTATAAACATGCAATCCAAATGTTAAAGGTATATATATTAGATTGTTTTTCCTATCCGTTGCCGATCAATATGGCAGGGCGAGATATAGCCACTTACGATGTCAACAGGCACGTTTACTAATTCCATACTTACGATTCAGAAAGTAATTATTTAAAACGCATCGATTGTTTTCTACGAGCTTGACTACCTAAGCTATACTATATGTGAGAGCCTCCTCTGAAAACTGCCCCCAAGATAGCCCGACTGCTACTTCTAACCTAGCAGAAACGCAAAGGAATTCCCGAATGCCACACCCCGTCAGTCAACTGACTACTGTTAATTACCGACCGCCTTCAAAATGTCGGTACGGAAGGTCTCATGTACGTAGGTCCCGGCCTCCTTTTCCAGCATAGCAATCATAAAGAGTCGGACCCCAGGAGAAGGATCATATATGATAGTAGACGGGGGGTTCTGAGAATCCGAAGTGGCTAACTTCTCGTCGCGGACGAGCTCTTGCAAGAGCAGATAGCTAAAGTACAATTCAAGTACCTGCCTGGAACCGAACATAAACGAGCTTTGATTGGTTTTATCTCCGAGGATGCGGAGGTGTGTCATGGAGAAAAGGGCGTATTTGGTGATTGGTATGCATAATCCTGAAAGTGCTTTCAGGGCCGGCATTCGGTCTAGCTTGTTGGTGCTTCTAGTAGACGTAATACACTCCGTGAGTGAAATCCTTAGGTGATTATGGAGGTCCGCTTCTCCATAAAGACCGAGGAGGTTGTCTTTGAGATCATGAGCCTCCGTGAGGTGAAGGCCTCTACATTCCTGAATAAATGGTCCTTCTGCAATGCAATTGCCATCTTTGTCCTTATGCGCTTCCCAGCCCTCAAGATTATATGTCGGCTTACGTCCCGCCATGATTAGCACAGCAGCATTCACAGCATCTATCAACCTCCAGAGCCTTAAAATAGGACCCAGAAATGCTCGAAATGCCCTATACTCTGTCTCTATATTCTCCTTCCAAAGGGAGGTCATCGGTTTCGGCAGCGGTTTGCAGGCGTTAGTGATTGCGGTGACCCATACTAGACAGGGGACGTCAACCTTTTTATCCTCTAAATACGAAGAGGACTGAAGAGAGGGTATACTCTGTTCTCTCATGGAGCAGAGGGAGTTTATGAAATCAGTGAATTCATTATGACTTAGTTGGCTAACCCTTACTAAAGGAGCAGCATCCTTAAGTACCTGGCGGAGTCTCTCCGTAAGCTCCTTAGGCGGAAGTAACGAATCGTTTTCTCCCGGGGTCTTGCTCTTTGCCGTAACATATTGAAGCTCGGTTGAGGATTGAGCGTACTCCACCGAGGGCCGAGTCTTCTTCGCAGATGTCTCCCCAAAATTCTGTTCTTCTGTAGAGTCCATCAAAGGCTCAACTGAGCTAGGGCTTCGTTTTTGTGGGTTCATCGTCTTCAGGAGGAAGTTTCCTTGTCGTTGTTACCTCAGAACTGTAGTAGGTGCTTTGACTGGTATCTCGAAGAATTTGAAGTCTTGAACGTAGGGTTCTAGTAAATTCCAGTTCGGTGTGTAGTATGAAATAACAATCTTGGGCACTACTGCATACAGATACCCCGGGTTTGAAAACAATACGGTCTGAGGGCATATATGTTATGAAACTATCGACAATGTAAGCTGATGAAGTACTATACGTTGTTGTATCAGGGATGAAGATCTATCCGAATCCCAGGTTTTAGATACCCAAGATAGAGAGTACGTATTGCAACTTCTCAAATGGTCCGTTCTATTCTTGTGTGGCTTCCTATGCATCTATTCGTTATCGTGGCTTCCGTTATCCTGCACCATCTAACACTAATAGGTATATCTAGCAGCTTCATTCGTTTGATGTTTCTATTAATTATTAGCCACCTGCATATTCCATAGCACAAGTAGCTACCTGGATTACGCGATCCATGGTGGATAGCACTTTCAAGTCGAGAAGTATTGCCTAGGCAGTTTAGAAACAACGTCATCGGTCACTATGTAAATTACGTAGAAGCGAAAGCCAATTTTTTTCTCTCCTTATTAGGACGGCATAACATCAGTGATCTCTTAATTATAATACATACTTCCTAATTTAATCTTGAAGTTTGATAGGGGCCATCTGCTTGCGAGCATCATTGGCCTTTAGTGCAAGTTAAACACTAATGGGCTGTCCCCTTCGTCTCGGGTCTTGTGCACCCGACAGCTATGCATGTTAAGTCTATTCCCATCTCATCTTCGCCACAACAATCATTTCTCACCAATCTACCTTCTTGAATTCTCTCAATTTGCACCTGTTTTTGGAGACTAAATCTGATCCGGCACACGTCACTGCCTTACTCTCAAACTCCTCAATCCTAGCGGTGGGTGCTTGGGAACTATGGAGTTTCGAGAGAAGTCCCGGCCTCATTTCTTCAGTGTTCATCGTATCGAAGCAATGCGGGCTCGTATAGTTTTGAAGAGTTGAGTAGGCGTCTTTTAAGTCGAAGAGCTCCGCAAAATGCGAGGTATATACCAACCCCCTAGAAAAGCCTTGTCTCCACCTACGTAATGGAATTGAAACTCGTCAGTCTGAGGGATAGCCCCCCCGAAGATGAGTCATTGTATATAGGGGTAGATCACCCTGTCGGTCCTCCGGTATCGTGTTATTACCGCTCCGTTGTTTCTCTGCTGTTTCCTCCGTGTGCTTACGATCATCGTAGTCGTCACCTTATAATAGATACCTAATAGATGCTATCATAATAGCTCATACTACAGAAAAGATTTCCCTTGGCGTTGGCGGTACATGTGAACTGTTAAATCCGGTGAATATCATGATCAGCTGCTTAGGTCTAGAGTTCCTCGAGGAACAACGAGGTCGTTTCTATGTTCCTTATATCCACATTGTGACAACGGGTCTCCTTTTAAAAGACCATACTTTCAACATAATTGAGATTATGACTCTCCCACTGAAGTTTGATTCATAGAGCTTTAAGAGTTCTGGGACTGCCTTGGGGGGTTTATATATGGATCTCCCCTTTTCGAATAATTATGCCGATTTTCTCGTAGGTGTAAATGATTATTCAAAATCCCTATACCAATATCAACCGAGCCATGCCCGGTTCCTGTTGTATTATTTGAGAGTTATGCAGTACTAGACTCGGGCTGATGAAACCTCTAGGCTCTAGCCGTTAGACATCCGACCTCCTAATATCGTCTTCTTGGTCATGGCTCTCTAGCTGATATTCGGCTCACTGCATAATTCCTCACAATCACCTTAATGATGCGACAATATGTGACAGACAGCAGAAACTAATCACTACAACAAAACTACTAATTACAAGATACCCTTAATATTATTCTATACCCAATGTCACAGGCATTAGAAATCCTTCACATGTCAATCAAGCGCATACAAACAGCCAATACATGTATAAAACCAAGGTACGTACCCTACAAGCCTAGCCACAAATAGGTAGCTTAGCCCCCACCCGCGCCTGAAAAACAATGGGGCCCTAGCCTCCAACCAGGTGCAACTGTTCCCACCCCCGCCAATGCAGACAAAAGAACCAAAATAGCAGCTCAGTCTTCCACAACAAGGCGAATTCTCCAGTCTGAAATTCAGACAAGGATTATGGTCCCTGGTGAAATCGGCTCAATGGTCTAGTCGTATGATTCTCGCTTCGGGCCACCGAAGTCCCTACGCTTCCAAGCGCAGATGCGAGAGGTCCCGGGTTCAATTCCCGGTTGAGCCCATCTTTTTTTGAATTTATTCAATTTTATCTTCTATATTGTTTTTTTTTAAGCAAGTTTAACAGCAACCCAACAACAAGTGCACTCATGATTACCTAATATACAACTATACAAATTAACCGTCGCAGCCATTATGCATAGGTACCTAATTATGTCATCCGGTATTTTAGGGCGTGAGCACTCAAGCCGCTACCTAGGGCTTGAAATCTTCTGGATGTGTATCATGTAAGCAACTACATAACAACTCCAATATATAATCCCTATTATTCCTATCATCCTTTCTATTCTGGTATCTTATGAGTAAGAGGCTGCTCGTATCCCAGCTTGATCTATTTACTCTCGAAGTCCCGTAAATTAACTTGATATATAGCTTAAGCGAACCAGAATGTACGCAGGGTCCAAAGCATCACAAGTGGCTACTACAAACCTCCAGTGGTGTTATTTACATCCGTCGGAAATACATCTTTCAGCCAACCCGAATGCTTATTAGTACTGACCAGATTCACGACGACATATATCCTTACCAATTATCGTAACTATAATAACAGCAATAATTAATTCATCACCAAATTCTACGAGAAGATCTTGGGGCAATACCGAAAGTGGTACGCATGTCACTCCGATTGTAGAAAATTATCTAGTATGCTGCTAATATCAACGCAAATTACTGCCAATTCGATGCAGATCCGGCAGCACCATCCTGCGCATCATGCCTGCCAACCGTAGTGGCCACTGCAAATTGCCTCCAGTCAACGCCGCGTAGTTGTAATCCGAGATTTCGTTTGCTTCATGCCAGCTGAAACGCAATTCCTCCATTAGAATAGAATCAAATCTGAGTAGAGACTGCTGCCGGTATCAAGTCTCTCGAAATAACTGAAGGAAATGAACGCCTAGATATTACCGATGAAGAAATCCACCCCTAAGAGCACGCCTAAGCCTCGCCATCGGCCAGTTCCTCGTCAATGTAGTCCTCGATCTCCTCCTTCTTGGGTACGACCTTAGAGGCCTTTTTGCCGCGGGGCTTCTTAGTGGGAGTACCTTCGCCAGCCTCGCCGTCGGCCTTGCGCTTCTTGGGAGTACCCCTGCCTCTAGTAGAAGTGGCTATGAAGGGAGAGCCGTCGCCTTCACCGCTGGCATGGGCCATGAGCTTCTTCTGGATGGGTCTCCAGATGTGACGAGCAGAGTCAGCGCTGGCGTAATTGCCGATCTTGGCGAGCTTCTTAGCGTCCACCTACACGCATTATATGGTCAGTGTGCTGGTCTTTAGTAGGTATCAAGAAGTAGTATCACGTGATATATTGTAGCACGGTCTGATCTCAAGGACGAGCGTTGTATTTGGTAAATGTGTACGAGACATATATTTCAAGGGGTGGAAGAAGATAGTGAAATGGTGTGCGATAGGTACTAATGAGATGGAGGGTCTTCCTTACCTGGGGCACGCCGTCTTTGACATCGCTGATGCACATGAATGCCATGGCCATGACCTCGATCTCGCGCTGGTTCAGCTCGAGCTTTTCGCCGGATCCATTTGCGCCAGACTTGGTAGGAGTAGACATGATGTTGAGATTCGAAAAGAGAGTGGTTGTAGTATGTTTCGTAATAGTGTCGAGAAGACTTGTTGTGCTGATGGGCATATGTATGTATGTAGGAAGATATTAGGTGTTGATAGAAATGATAGAAGTGAGCGGATGTCTTCAGCAGAATAAGAAATCGGGAAAGTATTGAAATAAGGAAGCCCGAGAGGGGTGCAGCTGCTTCTGGCAAGAAGGGCCGTGAATTTCTGTGAATAGATACTTCTTGGGAAGCAGGAGCATATAAACGCGCAGTCACGTGGCAGGGTGTTTCTATCTTAATTGACAGTAGGTAGCAAGGTGGAACCCACGCATTTGAGACGGGAAGGAACTAGGAAACACCCTGCTATTTGGAAGTTGTGCTGTTCCTATACTATTACAAAAATTACAAATGAGAATCCAATTGCTAAGACTCTAAGTACATGTAAGCAGCATCGTTTTCATCACTTCACTTTTTGGTTGTTCAGTTTGCTCCTTCTTTCTAATTTAAACTTTCAACAAACAATTGGGGTTTTCAAATCTCCAAGTATTCATCGGAGATCCGAGCTCGGACACTTATAAAGCTTGGGTCATGTATAAAGTGAAGCATTCTTGCGTATAGCTTCTTAATAAATTTGCTAAGTTGCTGACGATGCTAATCAATTCTTAAAATCTACCCTGACTTGGTCGGCGCTGCGTAGAAACATATCCACTGTTAGCTTTCGGTGTCTATTACGGGGGTGCCGACTTTTCCATCATGGAGTTCCTACTGTTCGTAGAAATATAACTTCTAGTAGATCCAGTCTACCTATATTTATATGCTTCCTGTGGCGTAGTAATGTGCAGAAGTACTTGAGTAAGTAGGACTGATAACTTACATCAGCTTTGCCAAGAATGAAGTCGAACTACATATACCTATCTATTCGATGCAACTTGACTATGGTTTCTACGTAGCCCTAGCTATCATAAACTCTTATTAATATACGCAATAGTTACGTTAGAATAAAACGTCTCTAGGTGAACTCCTATTATAATGCGTATGAAATTAATGCAGTCGATGTCCCCCATCATAACCCTTACAGCAAGCCTCTGTAGCAATCAACCTTAAGATAAATCATACTGGAGTCAAGTTGTGCTTTCAACAAAATTTTTATTGTGAGTTATATGATGCCTATATTAATGGGCTGAACATTGGGATAGAAATACCTACGTCTCTACGTATTATCAAGAAAGGGGACCATTGGTGGGCATCACAACCACCTATTAGAATTACATACACAACATTGGTATGAGCCTAGTCGTCGGTATAGGTAGCTTTTGTGGTATATGTCTTATGCGTAGAGAGGCATACTTAAAGGCTCCCAGTCAACTTGACCTAGTTATGTCTAAATCTTAAAAAACCGCATGAATGATCTAAGTCTCGATGAACTTCGTAAGAAACTACCGAATTCGATATAGAAACGAAACTATGTTAAACAATAAAAGGAAAAGGATACCGATTCTCGCTAACCGGGCCGAAACACGATTGCACCCACAACTATCAAGCCTCGGGTCCAAATTTCCAGATACAGTGGCTTCAGGTTTGTCGCCAGTTGATTTCATTCCCGGCTCGCTCTAGCACCACTCTCCAACACTAGGTAGGTAATCATGACAACTAAGACGCAACATCAAGACCTGCGTGTTATCCACGTAGCTCTCTTTCGCATGGCAACGGGGTCCTCGGCCGAAGCTTACGGGTCCCTCGAATACAGCTGGCATCGAAGCTAACGCGCGTGTGTCTTATGATACATATTATAGAAGGATAGGGGATGTGGTACCCCTTGAGAGACGATTGGAATATAAGATGGGCGATGGTCAGGAACCGCTATGTGCGTTTCTAGGGAAAGATGTCCCGAATGTACCTTTCCCACGCGTGAACGAGAGGAAGACTCATAGAGCAGGTGATACTAAGAGGAAATTAACGATAGTGATAACAACCGCACGAAAGGCAGGCATGTTTCTACTCCCTGTTGTAGTCCCGGGAGCTGGATTATGGTATTCTGGAACAAGTGTGAGATATCTTGGGCTGTAAAACTTTATATTAAAGGACTAGTTATATGTTCTGATATATTAAGTTACTTTGAAATATATTCTATCAACCGCTATGTCTAGAACTGAGGTGATGAACTGCTCTAATATGCTGTATCATTCTCTGTGGTTCGCGTTAGATTCGTCCCGTCACTTATACGAGGGGGAATAAGGGCAAGGTAGGTATTACTTAGTTATTTATTTAGACAAGGCAATAACTGTTCTAGCTCGTAAAAGGGGGTTCATGCTGGTACAGTTAAAGGTATGTTGATGGAAAGTGCTGGTAAAAAAGGTACGAAACGCTGTAACTATTTTTAATATCTTCCACATCTAGACCCCTTACTAAAACTAGCACTTAATCATCAACTACCAGCATTCTCTTTTCTTGAATCTCTTAACTACTTACACGTAACTTAAAGCCGTTGCATATTTCCCTCACAGCCACAACCAGCAGTACATGTACCAAGCAAATAAAAAAAATAACAGACACCTAATGCACGAACCTTATGAGGTACCTAGGTACCTAACGCAGCGCAGCGCACATGCAACGTTCTACAAGTAAACCTCATATACCTTAACAACAAAGCACTGGTAATCTATTCCGCCATCTACTGCAGTTAGCTCAACTGTTCATCTCACAAATTTATCTGCCATCTCTTGGATATACTTTACCATATACATTCGAATTTATCTCGGGACAATGTTTGGACTATTTAGCAAATTCGCAACTACCATATGACTGACCATTTTGCCATTTTGACCAACTTTTTTTTCTCCCTTCTTTTTTTTTAATGATTAATTTTCTTCCACTTCTCTTTTCTTCTTTTTTTTCTATTTTTGTTTCCTTTTTTTTTTTTATCTATTCTTATTTTCAGCTTTGTCTATAAATGGTTCGCGATGCTGCCTCTTGGCTTAACTACCACTTATATAAAACGGCTTACCTAACTTAAGCCTCATTTCTGGGCATAAAATACCACTTACCCAGCTACACGTACCCAGTTTTACTTCCAGCTATCGTAAATAAACGCGATATCCGATACCATCCACTCCCGTTTAATTAACGTCTATACTAGCAAACATACCTAAATAAATGCAAAGCAACCTACATGACTTATCATTTAAGGCTAGCTACCTAACCACCCCAACCTCGACCCCCCCATCCCGGCATCTCGACCCGTCTTGTGCAACAAACCCCACCTCCCGGAGCCGCACATCAAGAACCTATTGCTGTAAGGGAACGCAACAACGACGCTCTTATCAGTAGCGATAGACGTCCCGACTTGGCTTTATCCTTGCAGAAGTTTGTCGGGTCCTTACATGAGGAATTTTCTATCATGTCTCGCAAACCAACAGCACTTTACCTTACCTTACCTTACCTTACCTTGGGTATATAAACCCAGACGCAGCGCCGGGAATTATTCCTTAAGACCTCACGGGTTCCTTCTCATTTATAGACCGTAATTTATAAATTCACTTCGCTTGGACCCACCTTTTTTCCCGCAATCCCAATCACACGAGACGCGCAAGTTTTAACTGCAGTCATCTATCCATACATACATCTGTATGTAGGTATTCACATACATATTACTACTTATACATCCGTGCCGCCTGCCGACTCGCCAAAACAAAAATACCACAAACTTATCGTGCCACCGGTTCCCCCCAAACCAACCCCTGCGAGCGAACTCAACAAGGTTTAGGTACGGGGTCCGACAGCTCGGGACGCGCGTACAACCAACATTTTATATACTTTATATATCCTTCTTTTCACCGGGTGGGCTTCCCCCCCCCTTCTTTTATATAAAAAAAAAGGCTGCTGAAAACACAAATTTCTTGCAATGCTATTTTATTCATTTAATCCGCGGCGTGACCAAGATGACCTAACCTATCTCCTAGGTAGGTAGTCAGTCATCTATATACAAGAGGAACGCATGCATGCAAAGATTCCACGATATTTCTACGCCTCGCCGTCCTCTCATGAGACCTTCCGTATGTATAAAACTCCCAAACGCAGCGCATCGTCAATTCTATTTCCATTTACGACGACCAGCCTCCCTTAAACGTCTCATAGTACGGTATAGAATAGGCCGGTTTCGTTTCGTATGCAAGAACCCAGGAACGCCACGCAAAATGTCATGGAACATCAGGTGAGGAAATATTACCACCGCTAGCTTTTCTCATAACTTTTTTTTTCTTTTTCGATTCTTTGTCGAAGCTTCTGCTACCGTCCCATGCCACCCTCGGCTTTGAAGTCCGGGCACATCAGATCCCACGGCTTCTTCTGGTTTTTTGCGGTACAGACCGCTTCGTTCGCGAATGCTCGCCATCGATCCAAAAGGTCACTCTTATTGATGCCATCTTTTTGGGTAAAGAAGCTGAAGTGGCCTACTACGGAGCGGGTGTCGATCACGAATGGCCGTCCAATGCGTCTAGGGATATTTGCAGTGATATCTTGCTCGTCATCGTCGGCAATGGGCAGTTGATCTCTGATATCGGAACCCCATACGGCGCAGAAGTTCAAGTTGTACCGGTTGTACCCGGTATCATATGTCTGCTCACCACCGGGACCATCCCCGTTAGGGAGGACTACTGCGGAAGCATTGGGTCCCAAAGCATTTTCTGGGTATCGGATATTTCGGCCGAAGAAATACCGTTGCATCTTATTCTGCTCAAGATTGTACAAGAGAGAATATTGCTGCTGCGCCCCGATACCCCACGACTTCCACGCCAAACCGAATGCAATTGGGTCGGAACCGCGGTTCTGGTCGTATTTGCCCATAGGTGTCTTCAGTAGGTCATAGTGGTCGTCGGATATAAGGAGCCAAGGATGGCCGCGGTACGACGGTTCCATGTCCATGATTTTATATTCGTCCACCAGTTGGTCCTTAGGGTATTTCTTCTTCTCGGAAGCGCGCCACGTCTCCGCAGCGTGAAACGAAGGCTTGCTGCTCGGATCCGGGAGGAAGGGATGGATCGCACCGTAGTGGTATTGTTCCATTCCCGTGACGGGACTGTTAACTAGGTTCGACGAGATGGCATACGGGTGAGGTAGGGCAATGCGTGTATGGACGAGTTGAGGGATGGCGTCGGGGTGGATATAAACCTGCATAATTAGGTCAGTCAACAACTCGTCCCAGTTTCTTAATACCATCCTGCTGGATGTAGGGGTTTACTCACAATATCGTCATCTATTTTGACATAAATAGTCTTGTCCTCAACGGCATAATTCCACATGCACTTATACTTTTCACCTTCGCATTTTCCCTTGCCCACAATCTTATAACCGGGAGTCTTCTTGACAAGATCTTCTATCCAGGTAACGTCGTCTTTTTCCTTGGTGTGGGCCATAAACCACACCTCGTCAAAGTAGCCGCCATTCGATGCCAGATTCTGCTGAAGGTAACAATCCAAGAGGTCGACATATCTCTTACGGCCATAAAAGACCATACCGATGACTTTGATACCAGCGGGTTTTTTCCACCCACCTTTAGGAGCAATGCTATCTATCTTGATCTTGTCGGTTCGGCTGGCTCCCTTAGGTTCGTACCGGCCATCTTCGCCTACGGGCCATGTGGTGCAATACTTGTCGTTGGCCTCGAGTTTTGGTGGTTTGTATGCAGGGGTTGTACTCTCGGTGGGCTTTGCGGCTTTCGTGGAGGATACGACAGTACTCGTTGGCGTTCCGGGAGACACGTCGACGTCTGTCTGGTGCTGAGTAGGTATTGTCGGGGAATAGGGGTTGAAGATGAACAGCGTGATGAGTAAGGAGACAACAATGGCGAAGATGTAGTATTTAGGGCTGAATTTGCGACAAGGCGCCCAGATAGGTAAGGCGAACGACTGGATACGGCGCCATAAAGGATTCTGTTCTATCCGACGTCTGCGGCGTGATGACTGATTTTGGTGGCTGTTTTCGGGTTCGTCGTAATCGAATTCTTCGCTCGATGGTGACTGACTCTCCTTGGAAAGCAGCTGAGCTTGGGACTCGACATCCTCTTCTCGTTGCTTCATTTTGATTTTGCAACTCGTGCGAAACGCGCTCAAAAATACCGAGATGTTCGTATTGCCAAGATAAAATGTCGATAGGATATGCACCTCGATCCTCTAAGTCTACACCCTTATGTAGATGTGGTAGGATACTTAACGCCGACACATATAGGCGTTTCTATCAATGTCAAGTCCACAACGACGACTGCGGCGACAATGATGTTGACGAAGGGGTCATATTATGGAAAAGGTCATTGGCGACATTCGAGTGGAAAATAAATTAAAAACGATAGACTAGGGGTGTGAAGGAAATGGGATGGGAGGGGCGAGAGAAAAGATGGCGACAATTCAGGCAGTTAATAATTATTTTCCGCTATTAGAATGCGTAGGACTTTGTTGGTGCAATCTACACGGTACCTTAACTGCTATGGTAAGAGATATTCCTTCGCATGGGCAAAATGGGCAAAATGGGTCGAAAGGTTGAGTTGGCTTAGGCAGTTTACAGGATACTACTTTATTAAGTGTTGCTTAGCTGCTTCTAAGAGGTAGGTAGGTAGATTTAAGTTAGGGGATCCTTCAAAGCAGTTCATGGTTCTTTCCAGTCCCACATCATTAGTGTAAGTCTCCATTAAGTCCCACCTCATCATTATTACATGGATCCTGTTATATATATATACATGGATACAGGGTCTAGTGTACATTAGTTACCTTGTAAATGTATATCTTTATTATCTAACGTTATGTAATCTGAAAATCCCATTCTATTTCTCCATCCAACTTGTGCCGATCTCTGCGTGGACACACGGCACATACAATTCCATTGATACCAGATCCACGGGGTTACTACACAGTGATACTAGTGTATGTATATGTACAGCAACCTCATCCTCATCTTTGTCGTCATGAGTACATTTATCTACCTACTCGTTCACTCTCCGCAATCGATATCATCGTGGTCCAGACAACCACACCCAGACTACATCCTAAAGAATCACCGGCTTGAGTAGTTCGATTTTTCTCAGCAGTTCGTATAGATATAGCCTATCATCTGTCTGCAAAACCCCCATTGATCATTGATAAATCACATTGGACGAGGCGAACACGATACTGACTGCATAACACCTCGACACGCGCATATCTACCAGGGTGAGTTACACTAGGGTCTGACGACCATCCGCATTTGTCGATTCAGCTGCACGACGCTTGGTAGCATTTAGAGCAAATATCCGGGTTTGCTCGGATAACTACCCACCAGGAACGGCCCCAATACGCGAGATACTACGTACTAATTTATTCTAACTTCAAGCTAGAATTACTAAAATAACTAACTCACTATTAATATGCTAGTTATTTTTAATTCGAATTTCTAGACCGCGCTGTTTAAAACTTTACGTCCTACGTCCTGCCACTGTGATCGGCTCTGATCAGCAATTAAAAGGAGTAGACGGTGTTGATCACGGAATTGTACCCTCTCTGCCTCTTCTAACAACATCGGTGCCTAGAGCGCGATGGGGGCTATGTTAGCTTCGACCACATCGACGGACCCTTCTGACCGCAATCCCGCAATCCCGCAAGCATTGACACGTGCGGCCGCATAATTTATCTCGTCAGCTTTGCGCATGGGGGGAGCAAGAAAGCGAAAGGGACGACTAGGCCACCTCACTCATGTTGAAGCAAAAGCTTCTGTGCTGCACATGGGCAGTCCTGCCGAAATGGACTCATAAGCGTCTGACACCAGACGAGGTGACGGTCTAGACCCAGAACATCAAAATAAGCATTACATCTGCAAGCCACGGAACGCCGAGAAAAAATAAATACATCTTTAGACCAACTTTGCTGAAGGTACGGTAGCCCCAGATAAGCTAAGCTGGTCGTGTCTTGGAAAGCCAGCCTTATGCTTATTACCGTATTCGACGGAATTACTCAATTAAATGCGAGGGATCTGTCAGCAAAACCCGCCTGAACTCTTTAAGCTTGACTAGGACAACTTTGCAAGTTGCAAGTCGGCTTTTGAAGGAATAAAGGTTTTAAAGCTGACGTGCGCTATCTACATAACACAAATGGTGATGCAATCCTTAGGAATACCAGCGACCCGCCTAATTTTCTAATAATGGTTCAGACTTGCGAGGGTTTTATAGCCTATGCAATGCCGTCAGGTTGCTTTTACTATGCATAACTTAGATCATACAGATCTATAACCAACACATCAACAATCGGCGATATGGAAAATGCGACGTCAAGGGCCATATTCTTTATAATTCTCTTGGGAAAGTCGTCCTGACTCAGGCCTATGGATCCTGAATAGTAGACGTTATACTAAATCAATAGGCTATCCTGTCGGACCTCCTGTAATAAGGCTAGCAGTCCGCCAAGTTTCGCCCTAACACACCCTAGAGCGAGAACATGTACGGATTAGTATCGCCTTATGCACAGACCATAATAATCCCTATGCGTTCTCGCTATGGCAGTACAAGGCGCGTTCCACAGATCATCCCGGCTCACCATGATGCTAAGACCGCCATCCTAGCACGACACCAGGGACACGGACACCTGCGTTGGGGCCGATCTCGACTCGCACGTACATATGAGATTCCCACTTTTTCGGCTTTGGGCTTGCAGAAAGGAATGGCAACGTGACTTGGCAAATCCTAAATTCCATCCCGCATCCTCGGATGGTTCCACAACGTCATGACGATCTCATAACAGCGCTGATATTCTCGAGTGATTTCATCATAGGAGGATTTAGGATGATTTTAGGTATTGATAATGACGATGACGATACAGGTTTTAGTTGAGTTTTTTGACTTGACAGCTAACATGATCTGAAGTCAAACATCTCTTGTGATACTAAGTATAGCCGGCTTTTACTAGCTGCTTAACATAGGTATTGCCGGCCGCTCATTCAAAGTCAGAGCCGGCTAGTCAATGTCACCAGCAAAAAGCCTACGAGTAAGAACACAGATTGTGGTTACGGGGGGCATTTGCGTCTTGTTTTGTTCGACACAATGCTGAGCCATGATTATTACAGGATGACAAAGCTGCTTGTCATTTGATATAACCCCGGGCTGTGGTGTAAATGGCAAATGATGGCCCTCTATTTGGCCAAATCCCGAAGCAACACAGCAGTGAACCAGTCAGGAGGCTGTTAAGAATGGCTCGCATCGAGGGTCTATCTCGTGGGTCACAAACACCCCCTGAGGGAACAGGTTGGTTTCATGACTTTTATATTTCTAAGACATCTCTGTGTTTCTGTGCTTCTAAAACTTGTTAGTTGAGTTACATCGGATAAGGCCTCCGGGTTGCTTCTGCAAGATTGGGTTAGACATAATCATTTGTCAAAAGACTTGATATTACGGTCCGATGGGGAAGTACAACAAATCCTTAACATAGCCCCCGTGGATGACAAACTAGAACGAAAACCTGCTTAGTTAGTACTAAAATCAGGAGTGTTGTTCTCGAAGGGATTCCCCTCGTTGCTATAGGACAAGGACAAGTTTAGCAGGATTGAGTACCTGTTTTCACCCGCTCCTATTGGCTCGATATTGGAAACAAGTCGTTTTGAGCAAAATGAGAGGAGGATGGGTGTTTGACAAGCAGTCCAGTCTAGACCGTCTGCCTGCATCTGTCTTACAGCCAAGGCACGAATTACGTTAGTTATCTGTGATGGTGTAAGTACAATGTAGTACCAAATTGAAGCTAGGTATACCGTATCGAAGGTGATTTGGTGCTAATTACCTAATCCACCAGCTGCACAATTCTTATCAACCACTATCGATAACACCTTATCCATCCGCGCACGTTTTTCCGCCCGAGAAAAAAGTGCAGGTGGGAACTTTAGCTCCAGCAAAATTATTATTCGAGGTTTCCGAAGCTTCAAAAACCTTTCGACAAATTTCCCAATTCGCGAAAACGCGCATCGTCAATCAACCCCGTAGAGGCCAATTGACCTCGCAACACACGTCACTATGTCGAGAGGAGCGCCGCGCGGACGGGGCGGCTTCGGAGGTGGTTTCGGTGGAGGTCGCGGAGGAGGAGGTGGTCGAGGCGGTACGTGTTGATTTTATTCTTGCAGCTTTAATTCTATACTATAAAATCTCCCAAACCCCTAAATATAATGCGCGCAAGGCTAATAAAGTATTCTATAAATATCAGGCCGCGGCGGCTTCGGACAGCGAGACTTCGGCCCGCCGGACCAGATCCTAGAGATGGGCAGCTTCCTGCACGCGTGCGAGGGGGAAATGGTGTGCGAGAGCATCAACCCCAAAGTACCGCACTTCAACGCGCAGATCTTCCTCGAGAACAAGACCGCCGTGGGAAAGGTCGACGAGGTCCTCGGCCCCATCAACCAGGTCTACTTCACTATCAAGCCCACCGAGGGCATCCAGGCTACCTCCTTCAAGCCCGGCGACAAGTTCTTCATCGGCTCAGAGAAGCTCCTCCCCCTGGAGAAGTTCCTCCCTAGGCCTAAGCCCCCGCCCGGCGCGCCTAAGGTCAAGAAACCTAGTCGCGGGGGCGGTCGTGGTGGGTTTGGTGGTGGACGTGGTGGCCCGATAAGAGGCGGTGGACGGGGTGGATTTGGCGGCGGGAGAGGGGGCCCGTCGAGAGGTGGTCGCGGCGGCTTTGGCGGCAGTGGCTTCGGCGGCGGCCGGGGAGGTGGTGGTGGTCGCGGGGGTAGCGGTGGATTTAGCCGCGGCGGCAGCGGTGGTGGCTTCGGCGGTAGTGGTGGTGGTGGTGGTAGGGGACGGGGCGGTTTCAGCCGAGGAGGTCGATTCTAAAAGCTGAGAGCGAGATAGATATACCCCCCGCCCCCCGCCTCCCGATTTTGTTCTCCTGGCGGACACGACACGAAATGCACCACGGACCCGTCGTCGTAGTAGTAGTAATGGGCCCGCTCATTCAAATGTTCTCACGTGGTACGGGAATGGCGTTACGAGGAAGTTCTGATTCATTTTAAAAATGTCTTGTCTTTTTTTTTTTTTTTCTTCTTTCGCACTTGCTTGCATATAGGTACCTACCCCAAGGTAAATAAATAAACAAACGAACAAACGAACGAACGGACGAACGAAATGCTCTGTTGGTTAGGCCGGGATACCTACCGGTTGGCTGTAAATATACGGGTGTTTAGGTAGGCATATGAATTGCGTGAACGTAGTTGAATTTGTATTAGTTACCGTGTGTTGATCTGTTAGTTTGTATTATTGATTGATTGATTAATTGATTAAATTGTGAAGTGTTGGGCTATGAAATGCTCTAACATACTTCCTAATCTCAAGATAGCTATATCTATATATATCTATATATATCGAACTCGAGCTATTTCAAGTACCTAACTTACCGGAGATACTAAGGAAGGGGGTGGTTCTCTATTCGAATAACGACTGGTTTGATGAAAGACCTTGAGTCATGAGTAACCAGGAAGACATAAACATAGATATATATACCTATGTATTTGGAGTTCTATAAGAGATTGAACGTGAATGTTGGGGTAAATCTTAATAGCCTCAATTTACCTGTTTAGAATCCTATATATGCTTTGGTGGAAGTCAGTAATACGTAAATAAAGTGATCGAAACCTAGGTACACAACGACTTGGCCGAACGTTCAGAGACTATATTTCCGGATCTCAGAGCCCATGGCAGAGCCAGCCAGCCAAGAAGTATAGGTACCTGTGAGTGAGTGAGTGAGTGAGTGACCACATCAGTTTATATACCAAACGTAAGAGCTAGCCAAGTCTTGAGGTTAGCCACGGTAATATTAACTTTCTAAATTGGACAAGAGGCTCGATGTGATATATTTCCAGCAATCAAGTTAATAGGAGATTTTTTCGATCCAACGTCCTCCTAAGCATAACTAAGGTACTCAAGCCACGAGACGTATCCCGTAACTTAACATATCTATCTCTCTTAGACATTTCTCAACTTTGTCATCACAACAACTACCCAGCCACTAGTCACGCAAACAAACACTCACACAGCAACACCGCACTCACTCTAAACAATTCGAAAAAAAAAATCATATTTCTTATTGCGTATACCCATACCCATACCCCGTACTCGTAGTCATCCCTATCCATACTTATATCAATATTCAATATTCAATATTCATATCCCACTTATCCCCAACCTAACCCAACCCACCCGCACATCACGAATTCAACTCCCATTGCATCCTGCAACTCGTACGAGCAGGGTATCTATCCACCCCCTACTCTAAGAATCCCATCGTAAGGAAAAACAAACCAACACAAGGATTCAACCCGCCGCCGCCCCGTCCCCTTTTTTTGCAACCTCGGCTAGCTCTGGTATACAAAAAAACGAGAGAAACCAACGCCGCGCAGAAAAAAAAAAAGAAAAGGGAAAGGAAAAGGTATACTTCCAGCATCCATCGCTTACAAAGACAGTTAAATCATCCCCTTTCTATCGAGCATAAACTAAGAACAGCACTCGCTCGCCCTGTCCAAACGATCTAGGAGGGAACCCGAGGCTTTATAGCGCAAAATCTCCAATCCACCACTGCAATAGGATATCCGTTCTGTCCAAGCCGCTAATCAAATCCTTCCAGGCATCTAATAAGCACCTGGCGTACTCCCCGGTGTGCCCCGCGGGTACTCACCAGGGATATGAGGGTTACTGCTCGTCCCATCACCGTACGGCCTCGGCTGTCCATTCTGCCCCGAAAACGGCATACCTGTAGCCGGATTTGGCAACGGCTTCACGAACCCGTTCCCTGCGCCGACGATCTGCGGCTGCTCCTTGCTTGGTATGCTATAAGCCGCCTCCGCGCTCGGCGTATATTTCTGCTGCACGTCGGTAGCTATTTCGTATGCGCCGGGTTTCCCCGAGTCTTGGCTGATAGTAGTCTCTAGGCTCTGCGACGTGCTATTAGACGTCGGGCCGGAGATGATGGCGGGCCGGCTGGGCAGTCCTCTCTGCTGCTGCTGCTGCTGCTGCTGCTGGATAGGTTCTCCGTTATAAGGATTTATGCCATCTGCTCGCGCCTCATTGTCAATAACTACTGCTTGGCTGTGCGCCTGATCCAATCTCACGCTTGGAGTATTCCCGTAGGACTGGCCAACTATCTGCGATGCCCGATTCATAGGATAAAGCTCGCCCATGCCGCTTCCAGGTAATGCGCCCGCGGCTGCGATTACGACTCGATCTTGGTTGATGTCCCCGTTGGCGCCGCTAAGTGCGTATTCGTTCCCTACAAGCCCTGAGCCGACACTACTGGGAGAGCGCGGTACTTGTAAGCCCCTCTGTGCGTTGACTTGTATGTCGGATGGGAACCGACCTCCTGGCTCAGGCCTGTTTTGCATAGAGTCCTGTCGAGAACCTGTGCTCGCGACGGCGGGGTCGACCGAAAACGGCTCGTCGTCCTCATCGTCTACTATACCATCTGAACTCGTAGTACGCTGCGAAGCCCGCGAATACGCGCGAGAGTGGCCCCGAACAAAGTTGCTAAGCTCCTCGGGAGACTTCTCCGTAAGAGCTTTGATATCCTCATACCAAGCCATCATAGTATCGTGGCTTTCGGCACGGAAGACCCAAGTATGACCGCGGTGCATAGCCCCAGTCTGTCGCCCCTTGAGGATGAACTTGTTGGAAGAACCACCTTCTGTGGAGTGAGAACCCAGCTTCTGCTCGGGAAGATACAGAGACATGACAGGCGCTTGAGTCTTGTCTGCAGATTTGAATTCGTGCAGATGAGTTGGCGATAATACGTACCTACCCCTTCATGTTAGCTTACTCGCAGTTTATGATTTCGAAAAGGAACACCTCACCATCCGGCCGTATAACTCTTCAAGTATTTGCTCTTGCGCTCAAGAAGACCTGCACGGATCTCTTGACAAGCGAAATGATCTCGACCTGGGTAATGGATATGCTCGGCCGATCTTAGGGGCACGTCGGGATCGACGAACTGCGAGTCTCTCTGAATGAAGGTGATCCACTCGTAGTCCTTAGGCATCGTAATGGGGCCGGCGCGGAGTTCGTCGATGGCGTTGTACGCCGCGTCTGCTTCCCGCTTGATAATACCTACGTACGCGTTGTACGATTTCTGAATCTCACCAACGACAATCGATTCAAGCTCTCTACCTGACGACTCGAGGTTCAAGTATGCCTGTACTTCTGTGAGATTTTGATTTTACCCAGTTATGTGTATTGGGAATTGTTTTACCTTGTGCAAATAGTTCTCTTCGTCGAGCTGCCTTTCAAGCTGGCGATCTACCGCAAGTCTCAAGAGATATGGATCTTGCTTTCCCGTAGTCGTAGAGGAATCTAACTCGCTCTGTCCTAGGACTTCTTGCAACGCGTTGACAGCCCTTCTGGTACTGTCCATTTCCTTCTCGACCGAATTCTTAAAGTCGCTGGATAGGCCCCTTATCTCCTTTATCTTCTGATTAAGATCGCTTCTTAGACCGGTTAGCGCTAGAATGACATCTTGTTCAATCTCCTTGGCTTTGTTGGCCTCTATAATCATGTTTTTGTGATGGTCTCTCAAGATCTGGAGCGCATCATCCAGCCCACCGGACGAGAGGAAGCCGGGCGGCGTTGACGTATTGTTAAGAACATTAGCAAGCTTAAGAAGCGACTTAGATCGATGCTCGTAGTGCGATTGTATTTCCCTAAAATATGCGATGAGATCCTTGAGAATCTTCCTCCAAGCTACACATTAACGTTAGTGGCAACGAAACATATACGAGACGAACAAGTCACGGAAGACGTCACAACCTACACTGAAATCTCTCGGCCAGTATTTCTGTCGGGCTACCCGAAGTCGGTACAGGGCAATAGAATGCGCTGTGGACCTCGTCTGAATCGTGAGAACTTTGTAAAGCGAGACTCCTCACGCTGCCGGCCTTCATGCTCCTGCGACTGCTGCTGCGCTTGAGACTACCACTCCTACGAAGAGAGTTCTTCTTCTTTAGGGTATTTCCCCTCGATAGGGATATGGCGTGAGTGCTTGCGCCATCGCCGGTATTAAGGATTTCGGGTCGTGAGGATATCGAGTTCGAGCGTTGCATGGTGGAATGCTGGTAATTATTCTGCTGGGATGTTGGACCGTCGACGACCGAGTCACCTCTCACACTCGCATCCCACTCCTCGGTAAACTTGGTCTGACGATTGGCAGTTTGGTAGTTATCGTTCTGGGGTGGTGTAATATGAGAATTGGCTAGCGTGTTGGACAGAGTTTCGTCATGTACTTGAGGTCTTTGTGGCTGGTGATACGGAAAGTAGCCACCAGAGTTGGACCTCGAGTAGCTACCTGTGTTACCGTTGGTAGGGAATGCTACGGGATCTAGGGTAGTGGTGGCGGGCTGGTTCATCATATTGGGTTCGATGGTGGGCGGAGCGAGAGGTAGTAAAGGCTTGGCGGACATGAAAGCGTTGACGTAACTCTAGATATAAGTGCCGGTTAGAGAGAATTCAGCCGAGAAGGTTTAAGACTAATGAATAGAGGGCGACAAGCCCGTAGGCTTAAGCAGTCTTAGTCTTACAAAGTCTCACTAGCGTACCTTGCCTAGAACTTTTGGATCTTTTAGAATGCGCGACTAAGTAGCACCGACTGACAGCGTAGATTCGTGGATAGTAGCGAGGCGAGGTGCATAGGGTTTGAGATGGCTGTAGATTGTGGTAACGAATGGCGTCTTTGACTTTTGTTAAAGCAATGTTTTAATCCTAAATAATGACTAGCAAGTTAGCCTAAAGAAATCATGTACACCTAGTGAGTTACTTCGTTGGGCATTGTTCTATGCTGCAACAGTCAGGAATATCTCAATGTTTAAGTCGAAGTATCAAAAAGTGGCTAGGTCTAGCCGATAAGCTCAAAGGACCGTCACAAATTGGGTCGACGTACTTCGTACACGATTCAGGATATCCTTATCGTTGGAAGTTGGGCGGCAGCTCAATTGGGCTCTAGTATGAAGTAAGGGTCATTCATACTTACGGGGCTAATAGTCTCGCGATTGAAGTGGAATTCGTGGTAGAATTCTGGAGTAATGGGTATCGACGAGAAAATAGGGTCGGGTCCCTATGTAGACATGGAAAAAGAAAAGGGAAAAAAGAGAATAGCTCGGAGAGGGATGCGCAGTGACGATGATGTGGTTGTCGTCACCTTTGCGACTTCCCCCCCCAGCTTTGCCATGCCCGATTCTCTTCACAAACAGGCCCAAAAGAGCTTAGCTTAGCTAGGATCTACCATAACGCATGTACCGTTGGCCGCTGCCATACGTAAAACTTCATACGCTTACCAGCTGTCGGTTCGTACCATCCGCATTCGGAATTTCGAGCCAGCAAGGGTCCGGCAAAGTCGGCCCACTACATAGGCGGGTTGGCGGGGTTTGGCGTTATTGCACGAGTCTTTGTCAGACAATACTATGACGTAGCCTATCCGTCGGCGTATACGGACATATCCGCATGTGTCTTCTACATATTATTGATTCTTTAGGTAACTGAGCATCACACATCAGATATCATATCAAGATTAATACACTACATAACACAGGCTTCCATGCAAAAACCAAGTTTTGTATGTTTGTCCCGATGCCTCATTTAATCAACCTTACGAATTCTATGAATATAATAACCGCCAGCCCACCAGAGTCATACTCATTTATATTTGGATCTTTGACTCGCTCCAATTTAGATATCTACCTAGGTAGACTCCTCTATCTATTTTATATACGCACTTAAGTAATGCAACCATCCATTGCATGTGAATCCAAGGTTCCGCACGTTTCCGTCTATCAGAATCACTGAATCCCGTCCAATAGAAGCAGCACACCCTACTCTGCATAGATGGATATTTGATAAGGCCATCATTGGCTCAGGGTTGTAGAAGTAAATGCAAGAATAGTTGTTCATAACCCCATACTGCCCCCAGATACCCTCTATTGCTTACACCTCTAATAGAGGTACAAGCCACCTACGTCCCTCATCACCATCATGAGCTTACAACCATGTGTATAATCGCCCTTCGCCATGCTGTACTACTACGTCGTACCTGCATACACATATTAAAACGAGACAAGTCTACAACACTCTATACTCAGTTCTGCATCAAGACCCAGGAGACTTATATTAAAGGACCATTCTCATCAATCTATCACAGCTCGCCCTCAGAAACCCACACATAGTTGTGAATACTAAAATTATCATGAACATTAACTATTTCTTACGGACTATAGGGCGCAGGCGTCATTCGGTTATTCCTTGTTCGACTCCAAGAAAGTAAAACCTCTCCCCGTCCTCCCTTTCCTAAACGCCTCGCCTATGCAAATGCTATCTCTGGGATATCGATTCTCAAGCATCGGCTTACTCGGTACGCCATTTCCCATGTCAAAAATGCCATTCTCTGCTGGTCGTTCCCACACGACACGAGGTCCAATCTCCACCGCTGGAGTGCCCCCGCCCATAATTAATCAAATTACATCCTTGCTCTTTCTTGGAAAGCTCCTAAACCTCAAACTAGCTCTGATATAGACCTCACCGTCTCCGTAGTTGTAGTATGCTTAATTCTTCCTCTCCGTCTCGGCGGCGGCGCCTTGGGTGGTGCCTTCTTAACACTCCTAGTGCTATTTTCATGTCCTATAGAAACATACGGTACTCCGTGCCGGTGCTTCGGCACCTCAGGAAGTGGTTTCTTCGGCCTGCTTGGCTTTGATGTCTCCTTCGTTCTAGCTTCCCCACGGCTGGAGCTTGGACGGGGTACTTCGTTCTTGACTTCTACTCCATTGTCAATTCTAGTCTTGGTTTCTGCTTCTGCCTCATCTTTAGCTACGGCTTCGGCCTCGGCTTTCCGGCTCGGCGTCTGAACGCCCGGCTTCTCCATAACCGCCGCCACATGCACGACGCTAACGTTGCTGGCGGTTTCCGCATGCGAGAGGCTAATGCCGAGCAATTTGCGCGCGATCTCTCCAGCACCGGTGCCCTCATCAGAAAGCCACTTGACTTTAGATACGCGGTCTACAAGCCTCAGAGTTGTCTCGTCCGCTGGAGCGAAGTGGGTATTTCCCGACCCGGCTAGTATTCTGAGTAGTTTCTGCACCTCGTCCTTTTTGTAATGAGGCGGCTGGTTAAGTTGCGTATGGGCAAGCAAGGGGTACATCACACGAAGGTACGTATGTCGTAAAGCCATCAATTCTTCCGGGAGGTCGAGAAGGTTGCGGATGATGACATCAAGAAGTACTCGCAAGTCATTGGTGTAGAAATATTCATATGTGGCTTTGGTAGTAAAAAGTAAGTATAAGAGCTTCAAGATGAGAAGCTGTAAAGATGTCTCGGTTTCGCGGTTGAGAAGTAGTATAATATTTTCGCCGAATGTCCTATAATTCGGACCGTGTAAGCTAAGGCACTTAACGACTTTGTTTGTCAGCGGCGCAGTCAGCGTGGGGTCATTCATCGCGGCCGTGGATGCGACCATGTATTGCTCGTTGAGGACAAGCTAGCGACAAGTTAGCATATGAAGTATATTTAATTATATTTCATGAATAGCTTTCAACCTACTAGGACACGGATGATGGGATAATGATATGGATCGTGTGCATCGTCAGAAAAGTCCTCAATAAGTTCGAATAGATAGGTAACAAATCCATCGTCAACGTGTAGCAGATCCTCGACGCGAAGCTGTTCAATTCGCGACATCTCGTACATCAAATCCAATAGCAGTCGATGTAAACCCGGATCGTTGTCTTTTCGCCCGTTGATCAGTTCGAGTAGACGGTGGAAACAACTCTCCTCAATCATCCTTTTGAACGTTGCTTCATCTGCTCGACCATCGAGCAGAAGGAAATTAGCGATGACATATAGGGGCCCGGGTTCATCTTCCTGCAGTAAACTATAGATAATCTGCGTGCGCACGTAGTCCGGGTTGATATAGAAGAGGTTCCCATGGAGGAGTATTTGCGAGCAATTGACTACGTCATCTTCGGACTGGGAAAACTCGTCTCGGCATCGCGACGCGAGATATAACCACGATCGCAAGGCATCATCGATGGTCTCGTGGGCTTCGGCAGGACAATTAGTAGCGACAGCTTTACTTAGCTCTATAGAAATAAGATTAGCTGAGTTTAAAGGGGACGAGATAACCAAGTATCCTCAACGAACCAGTCCATAATTGTTCCTCGCTCTCTATCGAGAAACTGTCTTCGGAGTCGGCCATATTGAAGATCAGAACCCCATCAACGTGTCCGGCATCGCGTCACGAAGCGGGACGAATCTGAAAGCGCGCAATGAATACTAATAGAATAAGACAACAAATGATAAATAGCCAACGGGTCTACGATGTGGAATCATAACCGAACCTAGGAGTTCGTGTTGTGGCTGGGGGTCCCCGTAATGTGAAGGGTCTGAGGGTAAACCGAGTTGAACCGCCGATCAGACGTGCTTGTAACAATAAAATGGGTTGGCGGGTTTAGTGGATGAATAGGAAAAAAAAGGGCAGGGTATTTTCCATTTTCGCCATGGCCCATGGGTCATCTACGAATTCCCCGCGTCGGGCACAAGCCATTTTTAGGTTTATGAACTCATAACCAAAGGGATGTTCTGTTATCTATGCAGCTTATGTATTAATCTAACGGTTATCACAATTAAACTGCGGGGCTAGGACTTGGCATTCTACCTACATACCTGTAAGACATGTACAATTTAATTTACCATCATTTTAAAAGAAACCAACTTTATAATACAATACCACCTGACTCGACCGTCAGGTTGAATCTTACTACATCAATGATTACAAGTTTTTACACAATGAAAAATACTGATCAGATGTACCAACTTCGAGCATAGCCTCCCTCCGTCACATATCTTACTTACTCAGCACCTAGGTTTAAAAATATATCAAAAGACCGAACCTGAAAGTTTCTTAAACAGGGATCTTTTGGTTCACTCTTAATGTAGTCTTGTTGAAGCTTCTGTAGGTCTTAACCAGGTAGTCACATATTTATTCCAAGACCTTATAATCTATATAGTAACTATGTCTTATAAAAGAGACAACTATGAAAGGATAACCCAACAAAACGTGTATTAATATTAAATAACTAAAAGGTACCGCAGCTATAATTACCAAATCATCATCTACTATTAAACTTGCTAAGTACTAGGCTCTATCTTTCCTTAACTGCCTAAGTACCTATTTATAAATGAATTCTTTTTTCATGTTTATTGCTAAGTTTAGACGCCTGCAAATGCTACCTAACTAAGGTACGGCCAGAGTTCAGTAACAGATCAACTATATCTACATTCGGGCCACGAGTGTCCGGATCCAGGAAGAGACCCTGCCACGGCATGTCAGCGTCAACGGTCCAAAGTAAGGTTCTGGCAAACT